ATTTTACATCAGTTTTTTTTTTTACATGAATACAGCAACTGAACTGAAATGTCATGAGATCAATTTTTTTACAGTAGTGCATGTTGTTTTCGAATATTTTGAAAACTCAATTTTTTACTGAATATTGTGCAAAATAAAAGGTAATTTCAGGAATTTTGTATCCGTCTCATTGGCTATTATCACGACTAGTGAAAGACAAGCCAATTATTAAAGTCACCATGAAATCAAACATGAACATTCTTAATTTTTTTAATGGAATATTACAGCTTATTATATACCAAGATTTGCACATCTTTATTTTATTTATTTTTGATTCTCATGTCCTCATTTCCATCTCTTCTCTGATGACTTGTTTACTGGCACAAGAGCGGGACAATAACCTGTCACTTGCATGAGATCAACCAATAGCAAACCACAACCATCCAAACTATCCAATCAATGCTTGATGGACAAAATCAAGTCCCACTCGGCATTTGATCTTGTTCAAGAAGCCATTTCACATGAGTATGCGTCAGAATAGAGTTGTACAATATGACATCACTTTGTAGGCCAAAGAATAGAAGGGGGATTTTGTTTAAATGGCTGAAATTAGGTCTGTGGTTAACAAGTTCAATAAACGTTCACGTTTTACTTCTTTCGACTGCTTTCAGGCTTCAAAATTCATAAAAGTTGTGTTCATCTGTGAAAATGATCTTGATGGACAAAACGTGCAATTAGCCTATCATATTTATTTATTTATTTTTTACAGAGTTTTTTTTTTTTTTTTGTGCTAATCCAAAAGCCTATGGGAAAATCCAGTTGGGTATTTGTCAAGGGAACCAGTGTGATGCGAACTGACTTGACCTACAAAGTGACATCATACCTGGACCACTTCATAGCTAGTTGCTATAACATGAACTGCTGATTCTGATTGGTCAACAGCTTTCTGCGATCAGATATTTTTGTATAATGATGTAAAAATGTATAAATAAACATTGTTCCTCAAATGCAGCTGCATGTCAATCTTAATCTTACATTGTAAAATAATTTTACTGCAAATCAATATTTTTATAGGGTTCAGAATTTGATAAGCAGCCGTAAGTCAAGACAAAAAGTCAATAAAAAAATGAACCCCTTCAGGATGATTCAGGCTTTATTTTGTGATAACTGTATAAGTGAACATGATCCTTTACATATTTTTCTATTTTAGTGCTCATTGTATCGCACTGGCATTAACCATCAGTTCCCCTAGATATTGGCATCCATCGACCATTAAAACAGGTAGTGGTCTAGCAGCACTATTGAAGCCACAACTTTGTAATGTCCAGTCTACCATACAACTACTAACGTCAGCCTGTGATGCAGCATTCATTTCTTTAAAATCTTTAACATGCATGCATAACATGCAAAGCCACCGAGGCTTCGTGCGCAAATGTTAAAGAGCGTTTGAGGAAGTGGCTCTCTCCCTCCCTACTGCAAAACCAAACCACTTTCCCACAGAACAAAGTGCAGCCCAGTTTACTCATTACATTTTTAACGAATGGTGTTAATAAATGAAAAATACGAAAAGACACTCTTACGCAGCAAAGAAATCCCGTTTAACATTTTAGTAAACAATTTGGCTTCAATGTGCTCAAGTCATTGTTAAACGTATAATGAACAGTGTTTCTCTTTACAATGATCATCAAACTGCTGTGAGTGTGAGAGCTCACCCATGAAATGTGAATGTCAGATCGTTAGGCTACTGGATTAAAGAAAACATTCAAATATTGGAATTAAAAAAAACTTACCGTCAGTGTTTTTTTCTGAGAAAATAAGCGTAGCCAACAAGTAGCCTAATAAATGTATATCGTTAAGCCATGGCTTGTTTCTCAGTGACATTTGAGAGCGTGTCGAGCTTCAGGTTTTGACTGTCAAACTCTCTCCGCCCACGCGCACGCGCTCAGGTTCGTGATACGCGCGCACAATGTAGGCTCATACTCATCGTAAAAAAAAAATATATAAAAAAAAAATATTCATTTTAACGGGCTTTTATCTGAGATAGAACGCTTTTGTAACATTAAACACTACCCTTTAAAAGTTTGAGCTCAGTAACAATTTTTATTTTATTTTTTTGGGGGGAATAAAATAAATCAATAGTTTTATTCATCAAGGATGAGTTCAATTGATCAAATATTACAGTTGTAACATTTATAGTAACATTTATAATGTTAGAAAAGATTATATTTTAAATAAACTCTGTTTTTGTTTACTTTTTCTATTGATCAAAGGATTCTGAAAGAAAATTGTACAAAACTGTTTTCAACATTAAAAATGATAATGAATGTTTTTTGCATAAAATCAGCATATTAGAAGGACTTCAGGATCATGTGACACTGAAGACTGAGTTATGCTGGAAATTCAGCTTTCATCAGAGGATAAATTACAATTTAAAATATATTAAAATAGAAAACAATCATTTTAAATTGTCATAATATTTCACAATATTACTGTTTTTTATTTATTTTTTATCAAATAAATGCAGCCTTGGTGAGCAGAAGAGACTTTTTAAAAAACATTAAAAATCTTACAGATTTAAAACAAATGGGCCTGTATATATTTCTTTCTCCAAAGGATATTTTGTCTATTTTTACTTGGATTTAATTTCAATGGAAAATAATGATAAGGCTACTACAATAAAACTTGTTAATAGTTAAAGTTTTTTTTATCCTATAATCCATCTAAAATAGTTAAAAAAAACTTTTTCTAATACATTAATCTTATATGTATTAATTTATTATGAGATTAAGTCTTGTTTTTAAAGGATACATCTTTATTTTTGTTTCTTAATGCTGGCAACTGTGAACATTTCTTGAGAAGAGGTTTGTAACCGTAAATTTCAGCTTCTCACATTTGGCCTGTCACTGGCAACTTTTAAATGCAACCTAATAATCAGTTTTTAATTGGATTTACAGTTCAGTCTGACTAAAAAAACACGCAAACACTTCAAGCAATCCCACTGAACTCCATTCGACTGAAAGGTGTGGTGTAGATCTTAAATAATGTGTTAAATCCAATGTTTATTCCGACTACTTTCACAATCTGATTTAAAGGGCCACTGAAGTGCCTTGAAACATGCAGCATTATTCATTGTGTTGACATAATTTCCACTGAAACAGGAAGACAGCGTGGGACATATTAAACAGCTCTTCCCCTTTTAAAAATAGCCAGTAGCGTTTAGTGTATTTGACAGCTTGGCCAGAGCCGTTGAGCTTGGTAAAGCCGCAGTTATTGTGCAATAATAATGGTCCATTACTGACCACTTAAATAATAATTATATTACAAATAGTTAAGTATTTAAGGTTAAAATGGAGAAAAGTGGTTTAAATTCCAATGCAAATAAGCAAATTAGTCATTTGTCACTGGAAAAACAATAATTTTCATTTGTAATCCCATTGTTTACCCACTAGATGCCTGTATGGCTCTTTAATAAATATACATGCATCTACTAGTTTAGTTGCCCAAAGGAGTATCAGGGCATTACTGCTTAGGCCTTACTTATTTTTAGGTTTTGCATTAAAATAAATATTAAGAGATGATCAAACACTAGATTTACTTGCATACTAATGTGTTAATGATACACATATAAGCACACACAAGTGAATATTAATATATGCAAGCAAATACTGAATGTAACCCCTGTGCATAAATTAAAAAAAATATGCAAATATTCATTTAATGACATTTAAGGACATGGTAATCCTGATATATTTTTAATTTTTTTTACATTTTTTTTTCACGAGGTCGGCCTTTATAGCCTAATGATAAATGAACAAGAATAATTAAAAGTTTCAGTTATGAAGCAAATTAAGGTTTCCTAAAATGGGGTTTGCTTCTCAAACTTATTTAAATAAATAAACATAAAAGTTGACTCTTTGAATCTTAACTCTTTCGAGCGCGGATTCATAAAGACGCCTCAATGTGTGTGTGGTAGGCTAAACTAGTAAAATCCATTGCTCAACGAATCAGTTCCTCAGTGAAATATTTTATAAAACATGAATGAATAAAACTAAAAATATACATATATATTAATCGAACACTATTAAGTGAAATAGCCTAATCTAGAATGGATGGTGCTGTACTCATTTTCTGATCGAATGTTTTTAATATTTTGAAACAAAACAAGACAGAATTCCTTGCTTGCTGACCCTGTGACGTCAAAGAGCAGCACAACACTCAAACACTCGTACAGTGACAGACAGTTGACCGAGAGCGATATTAACTACTGACTTTAGATACATACCGATTTAGACTTCGCATTCGACTAACACACACCTTTAACAGCATCATCATCACACATTTGTGTTGTTAATTGACTGCCGTGACATTTGTGTTGTTAATTGACTGCCGTGAAGTTGAGAGGAGCTGAGTGATTCTGGTGCGGGTGATTGATTTTGATACTGTCAACATCGCGTTGTCTTGCTGACACCATGGAGAACAGCCCAACAGGTGAGATGGAAATTTTATAATTTAATTTATACAAAGATAAAGATGTATCAGTATTATTTTAATTTAAAAACATCAAAACTTAATTTACAGAAGGTGCTATTTTTATTTGGTGTGCATTGTATGATAAGTTAAGTGACACTGCAGTCTAATGTGTCTAGCTTAAAATAGTTTTATGAAACTTTCTTTTTCATTACTACATTGCAAAGCATTATCCCAGACTTTTTCATCTTTTTCAGTTCACTGAAACTTTTCTCGTTATTTAGACTGTTCATCTTTAAAGTGTAGAAGTATGTGACTAATCTTTATAGTGTTCTTGTAATTTTCAATCTTGCACTGGTCCTCCGTGAGCTCATTGCTTTGTGTTTGACTTTTGGCAAAGTCCAGGAATATGAACTTGCAAAAGTGCAATTTAATTTTTCTTTAATGAATTCATTAGATACAGGCCATGTTTATGTTCGTTTGTGGAATATGTTTGTTTTTCATCTGGTGTCATTTGGTTTTATAATCATTTTTCTTTATTTTAGGAAGCCGAACAAAGCGTAGGAAGGGGAAAAAAGTCTGTGCTTTCTTTAGGACAGTATGGACATCTTTAAAGTCAACTTTCATTCACCACGACCCAAACAGAGTGGTGTGTATTCAACCACAGCCAGATCTATCGGATCCCGAGCTGATGCATGTTTCAATTCCTGTGAGAAACAAGCCAAGGCTAGACGCATATCCTGAGCTGGAGTGTTTGCCAGGGCAGGTGTATGAAGAAGATCTGGAGCAAACGCCAGACTCAGATCCTGAGCTGGTTTCTGAAGATCTGGAGTCCCTGTGTGAGTCAGGTTGCTCGTGGATCGAGCAAACACCAGACGCAGAATCTGCTGATTCTGTGATGTCGCCTGCTTCACTTCCCTCCACTTCTGATCTGGATGACGGTGAGTCATTATTACTTTGTTCATGTTATTTCTGCCATCTGTTATTTTCTCTGATCTATTCTTTTTATTATTACTTTCATTTATAATTCTGATTTGACATCGCTTGAGTTAAAAATCTAAAAATGATGTTTGTTGTACTATTTTCATCTTTAATTGCATTGATTAGTACTTGCCGCTCTAATCATCATTCACAGAGATGTTACCAATTTTGGTAACACTTTTTAATAAAGTTCATTAGTTCACATTAGTTAAATACATTAGTTAACAACTAAGAATTAGCAATAACTTCTATAGCATTTATTAATCTTTCTTTCATTAATTTCAACATTTACTAATGTTATTAAAATCAAAGGTTGTATTTGTAAAACAGTAGTTAATGCACTGTGAACCAACAATGAACAGCTCGATTTTGATGAACTAACATTAACAAAGATATAATAAATACAGTAAAAAAATGTATTGCTCATTGTTAATGTAATGTTACCTAATGAACCTTATTGTAAAGTGTTACCATCATTTTCTATTAATTTTTCTTCATTTTAGAAAAACCTAAGAAAGGAAGGAAGAAGAGAGCTCTCCGTGCCTTCTTTCGGAGATTAGGCAAGGCTGCACAGCTGCTCTTCCTCGGCCATGAGCCGGACAGTGTTCAGCCTTTTGCACCAGTGTCGGATCTGACCAACTCCGAGCGGAAGTTTTCCCTGATTTCATCCGAGATCGAATCGCCTGTCGGACTGCAATACGGTGAGGCATTATAATCTTCGCTTCTTGAAATTTCTGCCCTGTTCTTTCCTACTTAGAAGTATTTAGGCTATACTTCTGATACTGTGACATCACATAAAGAAACGTATTGTAGCTGATTTGCTACATATCAAAAGATAGAAGTATTTTAAGATTCTTCAAATGAGTCTTATTTAGAGTTAATATCAGACAATCAAAGGAAACTGCCTCATATATAAATATATATTTATGTCTATGTTCTTTGTCCTGTGTGTTTTTCAGGAACTAGGATTTCTACTTTTCAAGTGGAAGAAATTATAGGATCAGGAGTTTATGGTCAGATTTATGAAGGAACAGACATATTTAATAAGAGAATCAAGGTAGGGTACTCTTATTGAATTCAACTAACATTTTGCTTCTGATGTGTGTCATCTGTCTTAATTTAGAACAAACAGATTGTAGTTGTGCAGACCAGGCACTTTAATAGGCTTGAAAAAATTAACAGTTTGTTTTTGCCATTCACAGGTTGCCATCAAGCATATACCTAAGAATGGACATGACCATTTTATTGACACTGTAAGTTTACTAACCTAAATGAGATTTGGTTAAGTGACAAGTATTGTCAATTCCTGTTGTTAACATGAAGCAGTATGTCAAGAGAATAAATACAATTTACAATTACATAAAAATACAATGAGTTGAGTTTTGCGACAGTGGCATTCTCTACTGTGTAACTTGATCCTTCAAAAAAAATTCAGGGCCAACTAACTGTTTGTTTTTCTCTCTAGCCCGATCATTCCAAACCTGTGCTTGCAGAAGTGGCACTGATGCTGCGTTTGGGACAAGCTCCCTCATGCCCCAACATCATCGAATTACACCACTGGATTGAGGACGAGGATAGCTTCAATCTCATCATGGAGAAGCCTGATCCATGCCAGAACTTGTGGCAATACATCACCGATACAGACGACATCACCGAAGCAAAAGCACGCTGGATGATTCGTCAGTTAGTCCAGGCTATAAAACACTGCGTTGACCGTGGAGTTTTTCATGGTGATATGCACTTGGGGAACATCCTGATGGTGACCGACGACAGTCTGACGCTAAAATTGATTGACTTTGGATCTGGTCGTCTAATTACTAGTGAGGGCTTTAACAGCAGTGAATATCAAGGTGTGTTAGCAGTTTGTGTTAGCAAAGCAGAGTTTGAAAATTGAGTGCAGTGACATTGACACTAAAAATTCTCTCTTTTAGGAGCAGAGCGGTACACCCCACCTGAAGTCTTGATGGACACCGTGTTCTACGCCGAGCCAGCATACGTCTGGGCTGTAGGTCTTGTGCTGTTCGAGATCATGCACAGTCGTCTGCCCTTTAAAACCGCGAACGACATACCGGATGACTATCTTGACACGAGTCTGGACTTATCCCCAGGTAATCACAAGAGACACCTCTGCACGATCTCACACACACAACACAGGGTCGGCCCACGTCTGGACCATATGATCCATGTGTACCAGATCTGGGCCGACACTAATGCTGTCTCAATTACGCACTAAAAGTATGTACTCTTTTGGTGAAGAAAAAGTAGATACTTTTGAGTGTGTAGCAGAAAAGTAGATTTGGGATACTTTCACGTCATACAATTGCATCTTTAACGGCCTGTCAATCATCTTGTCAAAGATAAAATCCTCCACATTTCATTACCTACCGTCTCGGAGAGAAATTCTAAAAGTTAACGTTAAACATTAATTTCACATAATAAACATTATTTCACATATTTCAACATTGGTGATACTGTAAGACTAACCCGCGCCCTCTCTGAAAACTCCACAGAATACCGAGACCTGATTTTCCGGTGTTTGATGCGTGATCCAGCCAAGCGACTGACGCTAGACCAGCTGGAGAAGCACAGCTGGTATGAAAAGTAGAATCCCGTGCATCAGTCGAGAAGAGGTAACGTAACACAGAGAAAAAGGAAAACACGTTTGCAGTGCAAAGAAGTTATTTTTCAATTCTGAATTGTGTTGTGTGACCAGGATGTAGATGATGTACAAAAGACTGAGGACGGCTTCATCAAAAAATAATTGAGGAAGTGAAGTGATGAAAGGACAGCATATGCATGCACATCTAATAAAAAAATAAAAAAAATAAAAAAAAGAGAAGAGGTGTTAGTGAGGCCTGCAGGGGGCGCTGCTCACCCTGTGCTCCGTGTGGGTCTTTTTTCATTTTTTTTTATAGACATAGTTATAACATTAACAAAAGGCTTCCACAAATTCAAATTGTCCAGCCAACCTTAGGCTTAAATACACATATTGTAGCATAATATAGATAACATTCCCATCAGTGGGCTAAGTAAATCTAAGCCAAGGTGAAACCATAAAAAAAAAATAATAGTAATTATAATCAATAATACAAATAAAAAAACAAAAACAATTGAACAAAAAGTCCAAAATCTTCCAGTAAGGAGTACAAATACAAAAAATAATTGGGGCTAATGGGGCGATCGATTGCTCCTGTCTGCCTTGCTGCTGGTTTGCATCTGTATGCTCTGTGTAGCTTTCTGCTTTGAATCTCTATTTACTATCATTTCTTGTTGTTTATATTGCTAAATATAACTTACTCATCAACATATATTAGATATTGTCTAATATTGCCTATCACATTAATCTGACTTCAACAGCTTTTATCTAAATCCTTATCGCTTGGATATGAGGGAACTGCTAGTGTTGCAGAGCGGGGATAAGTGATGTACATTTTTTAGGAATCAAAAAGCATGTCTAATTAATTGAAATAATATATTGTGAATCATTGAAATTATACAACATTAAAAAAATCTATGCAAAAAAAAATTGTGTTGTGTTTTTTTCTGGTAATAAAATGAAGACATAAAACACTAATAGCATTTATCATCAAAAAGCATGTCTAATTAATTGAAATAATATATTGTGAATCATTGAAATTATTCAATTGACCTATGGCTAAGCCACGCCCCCTCCACTCACTTGGTCAAACAGTCAACATTCGGGGACAGGTGCTATGGCAGCTGTCACAGTAGGAGACAATTCACAGGAGGCAATTGGTGATTTTTGGAGACAGAAAGATTATATATCATCTCAAAGTCACCATTGGAGGGTTTTATTAATAATTTTATTGTTGAGAAGGTCGATGAAAAGCTTCAGCTCAAGGCAAAAATGTACAGGTCACAGTGTAAACGTGATAAACCGCATATCGTTGCCATCACCGTTTGGTGCTATTTAAGCCTAGTGCACACTACATGATTTTAAAATGTCGGGCTGAACTGTGCAGTTTACACTACATGACTTGCTCTCAGTGAAATCATGAGTGTTCAAGTTGTTTAGCTGTTCACACCACACAACACAGCGTGATTGATCCACAACAGGAGGTAACTCACTACACGAGTTAACAACGCACTACATAGAGATACAACCACGATCGGATGATAAGAGCATATCATTTGTGACTCAATGAGAGCTGTTTCAGTACTATAGTACGGTCTAAATCCTGAAAATAATCAAACAAATAACGAGTTGACAACAACACGATTCTATCTGGTCTAGAAACCATGTTTTGTCACGAAAAACCACGCAATAAAACGAACCAGAAATGACGCGAAACTGCAGAGAAGAACACAACACGCGAATATGGACGTCAGACAGAAACTAGTGCTGCACACTGTTTGCTCGACGATCTGCTCTGAGAAAAAAAAAAATGCAAAAAAGAAAAAGTAAGATTTACCTGGTGTCCTCAACCCATGCGTTGCTATGATTGGCTGTACTCATGACATCACTGAGATTGAGTCGCGCGACTGCTCGAGATATCTAGCATGCTAGATATTTTTCTGAGCTCGGTGACCTGTCTGCGAGCTGTCTGCGAGCTGTCTTTGATGCGTTGTTGGCTCTTTCACACTATCGGATTGGCGAGCGTTAATCGTCCGCTAATCGCCCGCGATTTGCACGCGATAACACCCTGACTTGTCGGCGACTCAACGATTTGCAAATCGGGCTTAAATCGGGCTTAAAATCACGTAGTGTGAACTAGGCTTTAGATGAATCATTCCGCACAACATTGTTAACATTTGTTATCTCAGTTATTTACAGATACGTTAATGAAGCTAAGTGACATGATGTACAACGCAGCTAGAAGCTAACGTTAACATTTTCTAATGTTAAGCTAACGTTAGCCTAACGTTATAACGTTCAAATACGTTCTTGACTTAACTTAGAACAGGTGTAGACATCCTTGTTTGATTTATCCACGTTTAGTTTGTGTTGTGGTCTATCGCATAACTTAATCTCGGTTGAGATGTGGCTTGGGAAAGAGTAAAAAATACACACCGTCGCCCAGCCTCTCGTAAACCTGTCGGAGTTGCATGTACCCCATGCACACCGTTTGACCATTTTAAAGTTAAAATGACAAGAAAAAAAACAAATGAAAACTGACTAACGCATTTCAATGGACGTGGAAGCAGAGAATGACCGAATGTATTGGGTTAGATGCGCACTGATTGGCTCATCGCATTTGAGGGCGTGGCTTAGCCATAGGTCAATTCACTCACGTGGTGTTTTTCTCTCAATCTCTCTTTTCGTGACCAGAATGATAGTTCCGCTTAATTATCTCATCGATGTTGTAAGATTTGATTGACGCGCTTTGACAAGAAGGGGGAGGCGGGGCCTTGTGTAATTTGCAGGGTATAGGGAGGATCGGCTTGAAGGGTTGGTGGCTCCTGCATCAGACATCTGGACTTTATTATTTGAATGTGCCAAGTGTTGAAATTGCAGGAAGGTCAGACTAACTACATTAAAGCAGGCGTCCCACATGGCCTATCAAAGCGGAAGAGCAAAATGCTGGTAGTGTGGGGCAATCCCATTAACTAGACTGGGGTTTTGCTACATGCAGACAGACAGAAATGCTCTGTGAGCCTTCACATGAAGCCAGCATATGGACGTTCCTGAAACATCTGTGAGGCTCTGTTTCTTTCTCTCCTTCTACATCCATTTCTCCCACCCTCTCCCAGTGATCTTTGATATTTATTTTTGGGCACGTTGGCTAGCCTTACATGGTCTGGCATTGGGTGCAGCTCTTTCTGGAAGACGCCCACTGGTCTGCCCTCCGTCTGTGGCAGCGGCAGGACAGGAATACCAGACGTTTGAAGTCATTTTCATTTTCATTGTGCTTTGGAGATCAGAATTACGTATATCGGATTATTAGAACAAGATTTATTCCAGTGGCAAATAAACAACTGTAATCTGACTTTCTTTGTAATCACTGACATTGGAGTTTACTCGTTTACTAAACAATGGAGATCAAATCTGTGTGTGATAAACATCTTGTTCACCAATGTAACTGCAATAACAATGAATGTTTGATGCAACTGTTATAAAGAATGAAAGGAACTATTTGCCTGGTACTCGCTCAGGACAGTTAGAAAGGGAGAGAGAGCTGGCCAGAACTTCCCACACAGAGAGCGGGTGGTGAATAAGACGCATTGTGTCACATAGGACACAGCAACAAATCGCTCTTTGAATTGTTGTGGGGTAAGATTAATGCACAACAGCACAATGCAAACTCATAAAGCCCAATTTAGAGGACGACACAGAGGCGTCAGGCGCCCCATTCTCCATTCACTGGTCTGATTAAGTCATTAGGTCAAGGTTTTCCTTATTCATTGTGGATTTCTATTTAAGTAAATCTTGATATTTTTTATTTGATTTGTTTTGGAATGGAAAGTACCAGTGTTTAGTTACCTAAATGAGTCACATAGGCCTTATCATCGCTGTCCTCGTCAGAGCTCCTTTCCCCAAGTACATTCAGCATCTGACTCATATTCATGATCTCAAACATATTCTCAAAACTATCATTTTCAACACATTCAAAATCAATATTTTGATCGCTAACAGGCAGCTTCCTCACCATCAAGTGACTGTGACACTAACATTTGCGCACAGTACTTGCTCTGCTGTAAATTATCTGGTGTAATCCTTTGCTTTATGCCTGCAGTGATTATGAGTGAAACATCACTTCATCATCAGACATACATTTAAAGGGTTAGTTCACCCAAAAATGAAAATTAAGTCATTAATTACTCACCCCCATGCTGTACCAACCCCGTAAGACCTTCGTTCGTCTTCGGAACACAAATGAAGATATTTTTGATTAAATTTGAGAGCTGTATAACTACCACATTGGCTCCTAAGGGACTGCCTCTTGACGGCCCAGAAAGTCAATGAAGAAAATGTTTAAATATCCCAAGTGACTACCGTGGCTCAACTATATGTTTATCAAGCGACGCGAATACTTTTTGTGCGAAAAAACAATAAAAAATAACGAGTTTATTCGACTATTTCTTTTCTTCCTTGTAGGCCAGAACGAGACTTCCTTATAGATTTCCACGACGCATGCGCGAGAATTGCGATCTGAAGTAGTGTAAGCTGTTGTACGCAGATCGCAAATCTCGCGCATGCGTCGTGGAAATCTATAAGGAAGTCTCGTTCTGGCCTACAAGGAAGAAAAGAAATAGTCGAATAAACTCGTTATTTTTTATTGTTTTTTCGCACAAAAAAGTATTCGCGTCGCTTGATAAACATATAGTTGAGCCACGGTAGTCACTTGGATATTTAAACATTTCTTCATTGACTTTCTGGGCCGTCAAGAGGCAGTCCCTTAGGAGCCAATGTGGTAGTTATACAGCTCTCAAATTTAATCAAAAATATCTTCATTTGTGTTCCGAAGACGAACGAAGGTCTTACGGGGTTGGTACAGCATGGGGGTGAGTAATTAATGACTTAATTTTCATTTTTGGGTGAACTAACCCTTTAACATTGAAGTCATTAGAGAATCAATTATTGTTCCATAAAAAATATACTTACACTTTTACATACCTTGGGTCGCTAGTGACCCTATCCACGATTTACAAATATAAAACAATTAGACAACAGGCATTCTTTTCATATTTTTTTTCTTGTTATATTGTTTATAACAAATAGATTTAGGAAAACCAAGAAGGCTGATGTCTAAGTTTCAAAAATGAAAGAGGGAGGTGACTTCCGGGTTGATAAAGACTTTCATTTTCTTGTGCATTCTTATTTTTTTTATTGATCCACATGGATTTGCGTGATATTTAAGGCTAATTTTTGTTGCATAACTCATCCTGTCACATACTGTAAATGAATGATACTTTGATCCATATACAAATATGATAATTATACATACATGAATGATTTTACACCCTGTTGAGGAGTGGTGCGTTATTACTTTTCTAACCTGTTTGACTTTTATGATGATAAAATGGGTGAAAAAAAATCCACATCTGAAGACCAGATACTTGGCTGTGGAGTCTTTTGACTTGGCTAGTAAAAATCAACAGTGACCCTAAAAACCCTAGCAACACTCTGGCAACCGTCATCAACACCCTATGATCATGGAGGCGAAGTGAAAGCAAGTTTTGTAATATTTCTTGGGGAGAAAAAATATACACTGACTCTATTGTGATCCACTGAACTGTATTCAGGTGATGAACTGTGCTCTGAGGCACAACGTGGTAATGAATCCACTGTAGGAGTATTCTCCTAATACAGTACAAGAGACTTTAGACTGTGTGTCTAAAGGTCTTATTACACTTTGTGCACAGGATTAAGATCCACAGGATGACTACATAAAAAAAAGCAGGGATAAGAGGAGACGGTGAAGGCAAAAGTGCTCAGGTTACGCATTACACACATGATTAGGCTTCATGCTCCTGCATTAAGCTAGTTTTTCGTCACACTCCGGAGCACTGATGTTATGGAAGTGAACTTCAATAAAAGAAATTCTGTGGTTAGTCAGTACAAAACTTACCACCAAGGTGCTAAGGTGTTTTGGATGGTTCCCAGGGTGTTGCTAAGAGGTTCTGAGTGGTGTCTAGTGTGTTGATTAATGTTTGCTTACTGGTCCAAGTCAAAAGGGCTCACCTTAAAGGGATACTCCACTTTTTTTTTGGGAAATGGGCTCATTTTACCACTCCCACCCCCAGAGTTAAACAGTTGAGTTTTACCGTTTTCAAACCCATTCAGACGATTTTCTGATATTTATAAGAATATCAGAAAACAGACAGTTTCTGGTCTCATTGACTTCCATAGTAGGAAAAAAATATACTATGGAAGTCAATGAGACCAGAAACTGTCTGGTTACTGATATTCTTATAAATATCAGAAAATCGGCTGAATGGATTCGAAAACGGTAAAACCCAACTGTTTAACTCTGGGGGAGTGGTAAAATGAGCCTATTTCCAAAAAAAAAAGTGGAGTATCCCTTTAAATCTCTACGATATTCATGTCTCCAGGTATGGTTTCGGTCCTTTCTTCAAGGTAAGTCCATCGGATTTCTTAATTGTACACCTCTCCTCAACAAGTCTCATGGTGTATCATTCATATCCATTTCACAAATGGTGCAGGATGAGTTGCATAGCAACATTTAATACTTACGGTTAGGGGTTTGTTTAAATCTCTAACTCTAACCTTGGAAAGGGAAACACAGAGTAGCAGAGGGAAGAAATGCTTGGCATCCAGCAGACAAAAGGGTGGGACTGGCAGGAAAGGCAGCGATGAGTAAAGCTCATGTTCTCCTTTATGAGCCCCTCATCTAACGGCCGCATTTGATTACAGTAAGGCTCAGAGTTGAGGAACTTTTACAGGATTACTGCCAGTTTCCTCCAGCACACACACACACACACACACAGACTGCTGGATGCATGGACCGTCTGGGTGAAACCGGAGTGGGGGAAGCTTTAATGAGGGGTATGAAGAGATGATGTTGAAGCCAGTCAGGGGAAACAGTGGGGAGTCTCCTTCGGATCGTACAATCCACTCGACTCATGTTATGTGGTTCATTCTGTTTTGATCCCAGTGAAGCTTCAAGAAGGAGTAAAAAGGTAAGGGTTCCTGTTGTTACGATGTATGCAGATGCTTTCTTTTTATTTAAGAATCTAGAACTTAGTTATACGTATCCCAGAGGAAATGTTTATTTAGAGAGCAAACTGAGACTTTTTCATGCTTCTCAAATTTTTCTCCTGAGGAAAAAAAAAACGTGGTATAATCTCCTGAAGAATTCCTATGGGATTTTGACTGTCTTTCAAAGTGTGCTCAAAATACCAAAAGTTTGCAGTCAAATATGAACTCAATTCCCTGTTCACATAAGGAATTTTAAGGAGAAACATCTGAGACAAAGTTGATTAGAAATGTCTTTTAAGCTACGAAAGAACAACCTGAATGAAATTCTAATTTTTTAAATGGGATTTTATGGCATCTTCTTCATGTTTCCAGTAATGTTGTCTGAAATTTTGATATATTTTTATATAATCAATATATATGTATATATATACATTCATACATTTATTGCAATATAGGTAATTATTGAACATTCCAGTGTTGGATCTACTGTACAAATGATTATCATATCGATTCATGAATTTGTGTACATTTTTACAAAGTAAAATTTGACATTATTACAAAGTACACTTTTTAGAAGTGTGTGAAAAGAAATGTCTTTTAGAAAACTTCATTGGTCTTCAATATAGTATTATATTATCTGTTGGTACTTTTTTTAAAAGATGCTTTTAAAATGTGAAGTACACTACAAGTGCACATTCAAGACAATTAAGCACACTCCTTTTTTTTACACTCAACCAACACCTCAAAATCACAATGTTTGCTTACACTTTATTTTAAGGTGATGTAGTTAGGCCTACATTGTACTTACTCAAATAAGCTCTGAGTAATATTAATTAAGTACATGTGGTTACAATAGAGTTGCGGTTAGGGTTTGGTTTAGGGTTAGTTACTTGTAATTATGCATAATTTACTGTTTTTGGTTTGACTTTATTTTAAGGTGTTATTGTTAGCATGTTATTATACTTTAAGTACTGAGTAATATTAGGCAAATACTACTGTACTACTACTATACTGTACTACTGTACTATACTACTGCAAATTTACTGTTAATATGGTAAGTAGATGTAACGTAACAAGGACACTGTAAAATGAGGTGTATTTATTTATTTTTTTACTATAGTAATGTAACGTGTAACTACGTCATCTTATTTCAAAGTGTTAACACATTTTAATGAATCTCAGCTTAAGGACAACATTTATTTTCTCACTTTAGTAATACGAGTTCAGATGGTGACGAGGCCCGGGCCAATCGCACCCATTAAGACGGCATTCAACCACCAACACTTAAAACGTACAGCAGTGATGGTAAAGATTCTTTACATCCCTCTTAAAGGACATTAAACCATTACCTAAGTCAAACTGATTTAAGACGTCTAATGAGTAATCCGGTCTGTAGAGTAAAATGCAGTCTGTGTCTTAAAAAGTGTGTTAGTGAAAATAAGGTGAAGATATACTGTGCCACCCTAAATGTCAAGAGTGCTCTCTAATTTGAACTCACACCCTTGACTCGTGGCCTGGAAGGCAATGCTGTTTTTCTGCTTTGAACGAGGGGCCAAGTGCTGTAATCTCAGCCCTCTCACATGATAAGGTTAGGCTGGGGTTGAGTGGGGGGTCTGGGCTGTTAGTGGTCTTGATGGGGGTGGATCAGTGTTTCTCTGTTCAGAGAGTGCACGGCTGCACGTTCATGCTGTTAATGGAGGGACCGAGAGATGGGAACTGTAATTTCTCAGATCATTTTCTACCACTTTGGTTTGGCCTCAGCCCCCCTTGTTCATTAGCAGTCATTAATTCCCAGGACAGATGATCAGAAAAACCTCCAGTGAGGGTAGTGAGTGCCGCTGAAGGCAGAAAAACAGCAGTGAGGATCACATGTGGAGGTCATGAGAGGCATGATTTGGGGCCCAGCTTCCCTCTCTCTTATCCAAAAGCATGTATGAACAACTACACATCAAACCATGGATGGAGCCTCAGTGTCAAGTGATTTCTCTTCAAAGTCAAATAAGTTACAAAAGATAGGTCAGAAATAGAAATAAATTCTGTAATTGTTTATATTTTTTCGTAGAACACAAAAGGAGAATTTTTGAAGAATGTTAAAGGAGAACTCCGGCGCAAAATGAACCTTTGGTCTAATAAAACATTGGTACCTAGTCAACCATGTTTTCATGATAATTGAATTTATCTCTAAAAACTGTTTAGCGTATAATGCAATGGGGGAATTGACTAAGTAAAAAGAAATACCACCAACAAGTCTCAAAATAGCCCCACACTAACACAGTAACATGAGGGTCCATACATGCAAAAAAGGGTAATAAATGTCCCTACAGCGCCATCTTAGGAAAACAGTCTCGACTAGTCGAACCACAAGCGACGTGCTGAGTGAGCTGAACTGTATGAAGTTGAGCGAACTTCTGAACTGTATGAACTGCTCTCGTGGTTTGACTTTTCGAGACTGTTTTCCAAAGATGGCGCCGCCTGTATACGCGTATAAGTTCTCAATGCTTCGTTTTGCATGTATGGACCCTCATTATGTTACTGTGTTAGTGTGGGGCTATTTTGAGCCTTGTTAGTGGTATAAACTAGCGATTTCCCTTTACTTAATAAATGCCCCATTACTAGCATTATAAGCTAAACAGTTGTTAGAGATAAAACTCTTTACATTCAATTATTATGAAAACAAATCTCAGAGAACGATTGACCAGGTACCGATGTTTTATTAGACCAAAGGTTCATTTTGCGCCGGAGTTGCACTTTGACATAATGGTTCACAATTGACCACATAAAAAAAATCAGAAAAGTAGTTCATATGACACAATATTGCAAGTCTCCTGAAGCAATGGTTGAACTATTGTCATAAGTAGCATAATTTTGTTCACCCCATCACAAAACAATTTCATCAATGTCTCAAACTGTGCTCAAACATTATAAAATACTAAAGTCTGCAAGATTTTGAGAGTTCGAAATTCAATGAATCTTTTAATATCTATAATCTTGTAGTATGTTCTGTTTTTTTTATTTTAACAAAACAAGTTTAGATATTATTGAGATACCATTGCTGTGAACTCTTGTATGTCTCTTGAGTAACATTTGAGCAATAACATTTTCCCCCAGGATCCTTAACTTTCTGTTGAAACTTGTGATAAAAGCAAAATATAAAATAAATAAAAAAATACATTGGCAGGCATGAATTTCATAATTTCATGACTGACAACCGTAAAAATTGTCTGTATTGCAATTGCTCATAACTCATCTCACACTCAAGCAATTTCCTTGCATCACATTGCACAGCTAAAGAAAATATGAGGTAGAAAGTAACCGGTTTTAAAACAAATTCAACACAGCTGGACTGGTGCTCAAACAACTGTTGCTTGCTATGACTCAACGTTTTTACTTAGACAAATGTATACAGGTGAGGAAAACTCATTGAAGGATGGATTTATTACCCTTTTTTGACTTGCGTCAACATCTTAGTAACTGCATAGCAACGCCCTGGCAACCACCCACAAACACCGTAGCATTGTCACATTAATGAGCTGTTTTAATCGAGCATGTGGTGAATGGTTGCTAAATGCTAATTAGATTTAGATTTATGTCGATTTTGGAATATCTATTCTTTTTAGTGTATGTATTTGTGTTTATTTTAATGTATTTGGATGTGTTTGTGTACAGTGTACTTTTTAGTCATCTGTAGCTTACCTGGTCATCTTTATCAGACAACAACGAGGACCAAACTGGAAATAAGTTTGCAACTTTCTTGTGTTATCCTCGACAGTTCTGATAAATGTATAATGTCACGGTGATGGCATCCTGTATGCATTTATTTTTTGTACTGTCTAATAAATCAAATCAAATCACTTGCGAGCATGCCTCATGATAAATGTCTAATCTAGTATGAAATCTAATACCCATAAATATGCCTGAAGTCACCTCTAAATATATCTACATACTATACAGAAAGCTATAATCAGTAATAATGATAGCGAGAGCAGGATACAACTGCATGCACAATACATCATGTAATGTAATATCCCCCCAATTTGGCTGAAGACAGAAGGCCGTTCTTCGCTCATGCCCCTCCACACCCACATTACGCTGCACGAAGTGGAACGGAAGCAGCGTTTGATTAGCCTCTGTAATCAGGGTCTGTCCAGACACAATAATGACATTATTACAGTATTACAGATTCTTATCTAGTAAAGCCCACAGGTCATGTCCTCAAAAAGACAATCTGGACTGTACTCACAGCAACACAGAGGAACTAACCCCACACTACTAACCCCATTTCTTTCATATAAGAATAAAAGAGCTTACATGCAACGAGAAGTAGAGAAAAGATGTTTCAGAAAGTTGAACTTTTTTGAAAATGTTGGTTGTCCACCTCAAGAGGTCAAACTAAAATAGTTTATGATCTATTATATGATAAATACTATACAAAATTTTGGAGATATATCACTTTTTAGCAATAAACATTTTCCCCAGCTCTAATACAGCTATATGAAAATTGTAAGAATATGCAATGGGGTTGAAGATAAAAATGTTTCCGATTTAGGGTACTTATCCCTTGAGTTAGTTTTGTTTATAAAACAGTATGGTTATTACAGTAAAAAAAAACTGTAATAGATCTAATAAGGCATTTCATGTCATTTGACAGTACTGTAATTTTACTGTACTTAACAACGTGTAATCTAAAGGGTTTTTATTGTGAAAAATAAGAAGAAATCTTAAAGGAGAACTCTGGCACAAAATGAACCTTTGGTCTAATAAAACATTGGTACCTAGTCAATCGTTTTCTGAGATATGTTTTCATGATAATCAAATGTAAAGAGTTTTATCTCTAAAAACTGTTTAGCGTATAACACTAGTATATGGGGCATAGAATAAGTAAAAAGAAATCACTAGTTTCTAGTGAAAGAAATTACTAACACAAAGAAATTACTAACACAGTAACATAATGAGTGTCCCTACATGCAAAATGAAGCATTGAGAACTTTGTAAGTGTACAGACAGTTTAATAAGAAGATACTTTATAAAGGTAGTTCACTTCGTGTGTCAGACAGGAGCCATCTTGGAAAACAGTCACGACAAGTCAAACCACGAACGTTGTGCTGAGTGATCTGAACTGTATGAACGACATTCAGGGATCGACTTATCGAGACTATTTTTTAAGATGGCTCCTGTCTGTATACACGAAGTGAACTGTCTTTATAAAGTATCTTCTTATTAAACGGTCTATACACTTACAAAGTTCTCAATGCTTCGTTTTGTATGTAGGGAGCCTCATTATGTTACTATGTTAGTGTGGGGCTATTTTGAGCCTTGTTAGTGGTATAAACTAGTGATTTCTCTTTACTTATTATATGCCCCCATTACTAGCGTTATACGCTAAACAGTTTTTAGAGATAAAACTCTTTACATTCGATTATTATGAAAACAAATCTCAGAGAACGATTGACGAGGTACCGATGTTTTATTAGACCAAAGGTACATTTTGTGCCGGAGTTCTCCTTTAAGAAAAAATCTGTAAATTGACATTCCTAAAATTCATTCCTACATGACACTTGACATTTGGTGTGTTTTTTGTCCATTAAAATAACTCTTTCTGTGTTTTTCTTCTTATCAGATACACAATAGGGTTTGATGTTACGTCTTATATTTTTATGCAATATGTGCACCTTCTACAACACATTAGTATTTACCTCAGCTTGTGGAAAAGCTGCTTGTTTCTTTCTCTTTTACAGTGCACTTTTCTAAAATGTTACATTTCTTAAGGGAATCAACACATGGGGAAACTATTTTAGCTAAACATTTTAGGAATTAATATGTTGATTCATTAGTATTTTTTTTCTACAATGTTTTGAATATCTATGTTTGATTATTGAACATTCAGTTCTAACTTATAGTCTTTTGTTTTGCAGCCTAACAACTGTCCTAGACTCCACGACTATCCTCCTGGCAGGGATCGCTGAATATTTCAGACGAGCAAGGAACATTCAGACTGCAGGATTACAGTCCTTCTTTGGAGTTTGTAAGGCTTTTGGACTGCACTTTATTTTGAAAGAATTAGATGCAGTCTGTTTGATTCACTCTTGTGTTCTGTGGCACCAACCCCCCCACATAGTGTAAAGCAACAAACTTAATTTAGAGATGTGCGAAATATCAGAAAAGCCAAACGAAGGACTTTATAGAAAATAGTTCTTTCAGTGGCATTTAAAAATTTCACATGAGAGTAATGATTTCTTAAAATGATGTAATCATGTTTGCTATACTTGGCAATACACAAATTAGGGGTTAAACACTAAACTGTGAAAGCTGATCAGCCCTCATGTCTGTGATTCAAAATGCTACACCACAAATTAGCTATGTTTTTTCGGACATGTCCCATGGTGATATTCTTTGAACAGACTGATCTCATGAAGTAGCGTGTGTATGACACGCCAATTCGTATTTCCATTTTTGCCGTGCTATCAAGACGCATAATCACCTTTCAGCGTGTTTATGAACGCCGTTGACTTAACGTTATATAAATATATGACTTACCTCAACCCCGTCCCTAAACCTAACCGTCACTGGGGTTAATGGCATTTATGACTGTTCCCTCACCATCCTAGGTAAAAAAAAGATATGACTTACCTCAACCCCATCCCTAAACTTAACCGTCACTGGGGTTAATGGCATTTATGACTGGAGATTTGACTGCGTGTACAGACACGCGGAATGACGCGGACGTTAATGGCGTAGACATATACGCATACACGCATGTACGCGGATAGCTCAAAATGCGTAGAGATGACACGCCACCTGACTCGAAAGTGGCGTATATGTTTACGCAAAAGTCATGATGTCATGTTGTCTTTGGAGTACCTCAGAATACCACGTAAATACATCTATTTATACCATGTCACGAGGGTGTTACCACCATCCTTTTAAAGTACATTTTTGCAAGAGCTACTGCAGATAAGAATCTTTGCCGCAATGTAATGAGTGTCAGATTACATCTCTTTCTCACCTCACCCATGAATTAATCTTACAGCAATATGCAATAAGTGATGTCGACTGTTAATTTCAAAAGCCTTATCTTTTGTTGCTTTATAGCGAGAAAATTGCATCAAGTTTCTTATCTGGGTGTAGTGTGGATAATTAGGGAAATACCTAGAGTTAAGCCAAGCATGGGAGAAGCAGGATTCGGGGTGGGATGGTGGGGGTTACCGGTTTGTTGTGGCTGTGTGGGTTCCTGGCATGCGGATTTGTGACTGTAGTGAAAAATCACATTGCCAGGGATTACCACACTGTCATGGCCTTACCAGCAGTTCATGAGGAAATGGACAAAAATGGAGGAAATTTGAAAAAAGTGCTCCTGCTATTGGGGTTTAAGAGGGAAACTTCCTTAGGGGGTTTATACTCAAAAAGCAAAACACCTGCATTTGTGATGTCATTCTGAGCGGGTGCAGAGCTTAGCTGATTGGTGAACGTGCACGCTTGGTTTTGTTGTTCACAGTGGCTAAGTTCTTCACCTGAAAAGAAACTAAGAAAGTGACGTTTTTTTTTTTTCTTTTGGCCTATGAGACTATGACTATGCTAAAACTATGCTATGTATATGTGCTAACATACTGGTAATATATAAACCTGGTAAAAAAGAAGTGCACTTTAGCATACTTTAAAGGGTTAGTTCACCCAAAAATGACAATTAAGTCATTAATTACTCACCCCCATGCTGTACCAACCCCGTAAGACCTTCGTTCGTCTTCGGAACACAAATAAAGATATTTTTGATTAAATTTGAGAGATGGATCACTGCTACAGTACATAGGCTGCCGAAGGGATCGAAACTTGATGGCCCAGAAAGTCAATGAAGAAAATGTTTAAATATTCCATGTGACTACAGTGGCTCAAGTATAAGTTTATCAAGCGACGAGAATACTTTTTGTGCGAAAAAAAAACAAACAAAAATAACGACTTTATTCGACTTCGTCCCCTTGGAATTATAAGGTTCTATCTGCGTTCTGAACAGTTTTGAGATATTGAGCTTCAAAGTTTTTACATTCCATATAGGAAAATGTGTATGGGGAACAAGTTTCTTTCAAACATAAAAATAACAGGGACCCTAAATGTACAAAACACATCACATAATGTAAATAAATTGTCACAGAATAAGAATATGTGAATAACTCAATTTTGACAAAAATGTCAGATAGAACCTTATAATTCCAAGGGGACGACTTTTCCTTTTCTTCCTTGTAGACCTGAGACGAGAGTTCAAGAGATTTCCACGACGGATGCATGAGAACTGAACTTCTTGCGCATTCGTCGTGGAAATCTCTTGAACTCTCGTCTCAGGCCTACAAGGAAGAAAAGGAAAAGTCGAATAAAGTCGTTATTTTTGTGTGTTTTTTTCGCACAAAAAGTATTCTCGTCGCTTGATAAACTTATACTTGAGCCAATGTAGTCACATGGAATATTTAAACATTTTCTTCATTGACTTTCTGGGCTGTCAAGTTTCAAGGTTTTACAAGGTTTGGTTTCACCAGTTTCTGCAGGAAGTTAGAGAAAATAGAGGAGTCAAAGGTTATATGACGCCATAGACGGGCGACGAAACGGAAATAAAGAAACGTCCTGTGTCTTCGAATTAAACTTAAAACTTAAAATTTCTCTGGACTTGAAAGTTGGTGGAAACTGTCGGGATAATGTAAATACACATCTAATAGAAATATATAACATAGATACAGTTATTTTTGCTATTTTTAAAATGGAAAAAATACATATTGTACCTTTAAGTCTGAACTGAATGTAGTTTTTGGACACATAACTGCATTGCAATTAAATTAATATGTGTTATGGTTTCAATTTATAATGCGATTAGCTGGACTTGAGATTTATTTTTAAACCCACTTTAGTATGACTTATAGGCCTAAGAAGTTTCTTTCTTACTATTGAAAGAATATTTTACAACACAATATTGTGTAAACTGCTGACAGAATTTTCTCAGGCCATATTTCTAAATGTTAACGTATAATATATTAGCATCAGACAGACATAATGAATAACAAACATATCTAAGCTGAAGATGATAGATGTGTTATGATCAAACACACATGGGTAATGATAAATCTTGCTTAAAATGTGCCAATTTTGAAACAGAACACTGCTCCCATGAGACTGTTGGCTGAAGCTTTCATTGTGAATGCAAATGTCTCATTCAAAGCAGATGGTCATTATCTTAAAGGTGAAGTGTGTAATTTCTGTGCCACTATAACAGTGTCGCCAAACAGAGCTGCAAAAATAATAGTGTTTTCAAACAGGTATCCCAAACACTGCTGTGTACTAATGTAAAACATATAGCCCCGCCTCACTAACCCCATTGGTTGAGCTGTTGCTGTTGTCTGGGTGGGTCAGGAGCCTCAAACAAACAACGCAATGTTTTGCTGCAGTATTTACAGTTTTTGAGGGAATCAACCTACAAATTGTTGACTTGAAGTTCTTGCTAAATGTTTGGATAAGTGTTCTTCAACATCGTACTTCAGCTTTAACTAAGGATGCAAATGAACATGATTTAAAGTGTAACAATGCAACTAAAATAAATCACTGTGATCAAGAAATCATTATCCTGAAAAGGTAAGATGAGTTGGCTTTCTAACTTGGTGGTCTTTTCATGCACCTGTATGGTTTTAATATCAAATATTAAAAATATCAAATGATAATCTGTGTAGAGTTGTGTGTCTCATCAGGACCTGAGCTCCGGTGCCTTCTGAGCTGATATCAGTTGTAGTAAAATACTGGCTCAGTTCAGCAGGAACAGGAGTGTGGCCCAAAGAACCATCTACTTTCAAAGGCCTTTTGCAGAACCTACAAATATTACCTGAAACAAGTCTGTGTTTGATTTGTTCTTGTCTCTAAACGAATGTCCTGAAATGCCTTGACCTTAAATGAACCAGGAGGGCTGGTTTCCCAGGCACGGATTAAGCAAAGTCCCACAATAAAAATAATTTCCAGTGAGAAGGATCGAAAGTTCATGTGACTTGACTTGGTCACATTTGAATGACTTGAGAACTGTTTGAAAATAAACCACTTGTAAATTGACTTGGTCTCTTTGTATGACTTGGATTTACTTTTAGTTTGTTTCACACAATGGACACAAAATTAATTGTAAGTCCATTAAAAAAGTACAACAGTAAAATAGAAAAACATTTGGACTATGTTATACAAAATAGGGCCTTAATAATCTCAAATAGTTTGTTTTTGACATATGAGAAGAAAACCCCCCACTACATTATTATTATTATTATTATTATTTATTTTTTTTATTTTTTTTGGAATAATGGCTCTGTGGCCACAACAACTGCCAACACACACACTGCCTTTCCTGTTGAGCTTCACCAATGTACTGTATGTGCAGTATGTATGAGTGTAACGCCCCCTGGTGTTGAGCCTGCAATCTAAATTCACATCCAACTCTTATATACTGTACACACTATATGCATCTAGCCTAATATATTTCATTCTGTAAGGAAGCAGAAAGTAAGCATACATATCGGAAGGTTTTGAAGATTTTTTTTTTTTTTAATGAACATAATCACTAAATAGAGATGTTAAAAATGTTTTGGATTGCTGCGGGTCTGCACCCAATTCTTAAAAAGAGATTTATCAAATATGGTTGGACTTTATATGGAAAAAACAAAATACATTTCATAAAGAAAACAGTTGAATTTACATAATTGAAACATTAAATAATACATATAATACAAGTTAAGTGGCTTAGTCAGATTGTTATGCTAATTCAATTTGAAATTGTATTGCCTCCCATATTCTCTCAAGCCTTGGAAATATATATATTTGAATGTTGATAAATACCAGTAAATAAAAATGTATTTGCCAGGCCTTTTATCATTGTCCTTGATTTCCAAACATTACTTTTTACCTCATAGGTTTTATGGAACAATAAGAACACATTATAAACACATTGGTTTGATAATGGCATCATATTGGTGGGTTGGTTATACCATATTTTACATGGTTTTCTTTTAAATTGTAGTACGTTTTCGCACATTATAAGATTCCTGTGACACCAGGGGCCTATGCAAAAGTTATTGCTGTTTGTTAAGTTACAGAGCCTCCATGGCCATGACAGGAGAGGCAACAACAAGTCCACCATCACAGCCATGATGGCTGGTTCAGGTTTGGACAGGAGTAAACCATGAACGATGAAGCTGATGAAGAGTAGCCTGTCTGTCAGTGTGATTTCATACTCATATGAAAACTCACAAAACGGCTAGATGTATTCCTATTTTGACTTTTAAATTGCCAAGTAGTAAACTCGGCCCATGATATATCTAGATGGGCTGCTGGATCTACTTGGCGTAGTCTTCTGTTATGAGTCACTGCTCCAAGACTTGATATGCTGCCCAAGTGGCAAGCCTTTATTTTGGACAATTCATTAGAGTAGTCAAAAACAGGTAAATGGTCAAATATAATCCAAAACATGGCAAAATTCAAGAAAACAGACCAAGAACATGAACACTGGAACAGGGAACTACAACATGTGCTCAGAAATGCAGCAGTATGTAGAGAAAGCAATGGAGAGCACAGCTTAAAAAGGCTAATTTAGACAAGCTAATGATCGACAGCTAGGATAAATGTAACCCTAGAGTATGGGAATGGATTATGGGCAATATAGTTCATCATGGAGAGAAAGGGAGTAGGTGGACATCATGGGCAGTCCAGCTGGAGGATCTTATTGAGAGTGAGGAGTCACGTGCCGATTTGGGTGAGATCTGAGCCGGTCGGCCATGATGGTAGGAGACCATCATGGCTATTGTTTGCCAGGGGCAACGCCTTCAAAACTTCACAGAGGCGCGACTAAACATTCCAGAAATAGCGAAAGAGAGACAGTGCAGTTTAGTATTATTTTACATTTTAGCGATACGCTGTAGTTTCTTTGGAAGATTTGGAGAAAGAAGAGAAATGAAAGGGGTTCTATCGGGAGAGACTACTGTAAAACAATGCTAGCCAGCTTCATTTAGGGAAACTGCTTGACAATTAACTGACAGCAGCAACAGCGAGCAAATAATGATTTCAAAAGCACAAAGTTCGCCTTTTTATTTAACACAAACGAACTAAATTAGTACTCTGGTTTCAACTAGAGTTGATTAATTTGTTATAGATATATCTGTACACCGAGATGTTTTAAAAAGACTAATTTTTTAATGACGTACGCCTCGCATTGACGGGAATGTCCGATCTATCCACTTAACATTGCATGGCAGGTGCAAATACATGTACATGATTCACATTAGATTTATTGACACATATGAATTGGGCCTGAAACATACGGACTGAACTCTTTAACGTAACAGGTTTGGGGGTTTCTAAGTCTTGCATCCAGCTGTACCAGAATTGTTTATTTGCTTCAAATGACTTAAAGCTTCTGAACTCTTGCATTGTGTTGGCAACCAGTAATGGCTTGTTAATGGATTACTGTGTCATGACTTTATATCATAATCATTTCACTGTTAACTATTCTTACCGAATTCAGCTCATGATTTAACATAAACTTACAATCAATTACGCATCCCACTACTTAACCAGTACTGAGCTATGTTGTGTGTCTGGAATCTGGATGCAGCAAATGGTCGTCTGACCTTAGTTCATGTTTCCTGTTTTTTGGTAGGGAGAACCGATTCCTCGGGAACTGTTGTAAGTCACAGTAGGTTGAGTTTGATGGGAAAGAGAATATCACAAAACAGATTAAGACCTTTTAGGAAAAAAATTATTAGTGGATTTAGTATTTTCTATGTTTGATATAGAGGATCAGTGAAAATAATGTCAAACTAATCCTGTGCCATTCAGTAATGTTTATGACGAAGCTGCAGATGTTGACAATAAATTGTTTACATTAATTTTAAAATTAATTATTCCTTCTGAGCCTGATTGATTTAGTTTACCCCTAAATGTTAATTAATGCATTAACTATCAGACATGTGCAAACATGTAGTTAAGGCTGTAACTACAAACATTTAGTTAAGGCTGTAACTACAAACATGTAGTTAACATAGTACAAACATGTAGTTGTTATTCATGCATGAATAATGACTCATGTCATAGTAAAAGGGGTGGTAAAGTATGATTTCACTTTTCTAACTTTAGTTAGTGTGTAATGTTGCTGTTTGAGCATAAACAACATTATCACAGCTACACACAAAGCAAGGGAAGATATTTGCTTTTAAAGAAAAGGATTACAACAGATGGCTGGTATATAGGGACTACAATTCCTCCAGAGTAAGAGACATCACACAACACGCAGTCCATGTTGGGAAGAGGAAAAGTTGATGCATAAGAGAACATTTTGTGAGTCAGCTCAAACTTTAGCATCCATCTTTTCATATGCAAAAGAAAGTCACTCTGTGTGCATAACTCCACATCAACAACATAAATTCATCACCTCAAAGAGACGTCCTGTTGGATTCTACCTGTTGTCGCTTCTTGAGTGTCTCCATCTTTGACTGACTCCGTTTTAACATTAAAGGGAGAAGAGTTTCTGTCATTTTAGTGTGTGTGCGTGCATTAGGAAATCGCAGCTGCTAACACACGCGAGTTCTTGAAACCCCGCCCGCTGCAGCAACTCATTTGCATTTAAAGCAAACCCTTAAAAAGTGACAACTTTAACATGCTACATAAAAATATCTGTGGGATATTTTGTGCTAAAACTTCACACACACACACACACACACACACACGCACGCACGCACACACACACACACTACATCAGAGATTTATTTTACATCTTGTGAAAATGCCATTTTACCACCCCTAAGGATAACTCTCCATTGCCTCATGATTCAGGCATTACATGATTATTGTAAAGTATTACCGTTATGTTTACATTTCGAATGGGAGTTTGTGGAGAGTCTTCCACCTATGTGTGGTAACAGATCATAATTCAAATAAACTAAAAGCTCAAGATTTAATAGATTTTGTAATCTATTTCTGTAGTATAGCTACTCACTCAAAGCCTTTGATGACAGCATTCAGCATCAACATACATTTACATGCTGAGGTTGTAGCCTAGCTGATGTGTTAAATCACTTTTTATCCAATTTAAGTTTTCCTCAATTTAATAAAGGACAAATAAAATATATATAACATGTTCAGTTACTTTATAGATTTGTTTATTTACCTTATTTACAGCACATTTGTCAAATGTAAACAATGTTGACAAGAGTGAAATATCCTACATAACACATTCATCGCTCAGATGTGTTATTCATGTCATTCACTCATGTCATTCACATCTGCTCATTTGCATACTTTTCGCTCGCCCTTATTCTTTTCCCCCATACTAGGGAAGATTGCGGTTTCAAACCAAAGTAAAGTTTCGAACGCGTGCCTATGTCTATATAATGTTGAATAATTCCTGAACTTCGTCGACGGAAACAGCTGACGGACTGATCCATTGTCATAAAAGGGGTGCCTTTGTGACAAGAATGGTTTTTTTTTTTTAAATTAAACATACAACAAACCTGCCACTTTTTTGTAGGAATAAGAGAACAATTAGTTTTTCCTATAAATGCTTTATATAATAACTTCAACTTGTCCAGAAGCAGTATGTCTTGTTCTCATCGACGTGTCATCAGATGGTTCAGTCCGAGGATGGCCGCTGCTGTCGGTGTAAATAAACAGGCGTCGATGGAGCCGTGTGCGAGACACGGCCGCGGAAACACTTCAAATGCGGTGAAGGTACGACATGCATGACATAAATAACTACTACACTAGATGTTTAGCGTATAGAAATCACGAGAGGGATTTATTTTTGGACCCGGTGGAGTTCAATGAGATTCTGCAGGGCGTTAGCACGCTAATGATAGCATCATTCAGACTGTCACTGCGGTTTTTTATATCAAACACACTGTTGCACACTCATTTAAAAGCTCGACTAAAACAGTTCATAGGGTGTTCTGTTAATAAATGTAACTTCCAGTTATGACAGCAGTAGTGCTGAATAGGTTAACGTATGCTGGCTAGAATGGGGACTGTGCCTCAAAATACTCAGTAGGGCAATTTGAGAAATTATGGAGATATAGATATGAATTTACGAATGTTTACATAGATTGTACTCAAAGCTTATTCTTATAAATACATACAATGTCTATGCATGGTAATATTTGACTTTATATGCATATAATGTAGTAATTACTGCTTCTAAATATTAAATTAAGCTTTAAATTCTACACATTCATATGGCATGCAGTGTGTGTATATATACTGTGTATACATATGTATGTATAAATGCTAATATTTGTCAATCATAAATTTTAATCCCTGTATGCATGTGATTGTGAAGGTGTTGGAGTGTGGTGTGTGCGAGGATGTGTTTTCTCTACAGGGGGACAAGGTCCCACGGCTGCTGCTGTGCGGACACACAGTGTGTCACGACTGCTTGACCCGTCTGCCTCTCCACGGCAGGGCAGTCCGCTGCCCCTTCGACAGACAGGTCACCGAGCTGGGTGAGCTTTACATTGCCGTTGTGTTCTTCATAATAACAGGATAATTATCTAGCATTTCTCTAGTAGAAAGAAAAACGTTCTCATTGTGCTCTGCAGGAGACTCGGGTGTGTGGGGCCTAAAGAAGAACTTTGCCCTGCTAGAATTGCTTGAACGGCTACAGAATGGGGCATCTCATCAGTCAGGCATGTCAGAGGATTCACTTCGGGAGATGGGCGAGGTTCGAAATATACAATTTCAGTTTAAAATAAATACTAATAATTTATGTAATAATTATTAATTATTTTGATGTTTATTACTGTTAAATATATATTTTTTGTCTTAAGATTATTTGTGTTATTTATTGAACACTTAGGCTATATTGCTGCTGAGTCATGTGATAAAGTGATTTTATTTTGAATTTTTGCCATGTCTCCTTTAGTGCGTAATCCGCTGTGATGAGGATGAGACTCACACTGCTTCCATGTACTGCACAGTGTGTGCCACGCACCTGTGTGCCGAGTGCTGCCAGCTCACACACTCCACCCGGACGCTGGCCAAGCACCGGCGCGTGCCCCTGGCAGACAAGCCCCATGAGAAGATGCTCTGCCCGCAGCATCAGGTGCACGCCATCGAGTTTGTGTGCCTGGAAGACGGCTGCCTGCCCGGGCCGCTCATGTGCTGCGTGTGCAAGGAGTACGGAAAGCACCAAGGGCATAAGGTGCAGAAATACAATACAACTCAGTTGAAAACCACTTGTTAATCTTTAGGCATAGAATTTGGCTTGGCTTGATTCTCTTTTGATCCCAAATCGATTCTTGTACATTTTCCAATTTTCTTCAAAGTTTTTCAGAATGTAAAAACAAATGCTTGTTTTTTTAGATGCATTGTTTAAAAGTCAGATGCAACTGAATTGAAATATTTAAGAAAAATCTTAATATCTTAATAATATCTTAAAACTAAAACCATTTAAAAACATCTCTTACTTAAAAATAAACATTAACTGAAATATAAATAAAATGGAAATTCTTTCATATACTTGCTAAAACTGAAAAAAAAATAAAAAATAAAAATAAATACATTATCTTTTTTAAAATTCCCTGAAAAATCACAAATTTTTACGTTTTATTACGAGTTATGTAATCGATTTGCTGTTCACGGTATTGAATCAAATTGAATTGTTCTCAGTTTACTTATCAAATACAAAATTTATAAATATAGAATCAAATCAATTTGCTGTCAACCAAACACTTTTTGAGTTTCCGTTGTGAGGAAGTTCAGCAGAAACTGCAGAATGGGAGATCTGCAACAAATAATGGGTAGCAAAAAATTGTATGCATCCACCAAACAAAGCATGGATTAAAAAAAGGTTATTGTGTAGTTTAAGAATTGTTATTGGATTAATCAAATATTTCTGGAGAATTTAAATTTGACGTTTTGTTCCTGTTTTATCAGCAAAAAACATCTTTGATCTCTTTTCATGAAAATGTTTTACCAGCATGCTGTACTAGAGGGTGAAGCCAACCAGATTCGAGGGTCCATTCTAGACATGGCACACTGCATCCGTACGTTCACAGAGGAAGTATCGGAGTACTCCAGGAAACTAGTGGGCATCGTGCAGCAGATTGAAGGAGGAGAGCAGATCGTGGAGGACAGCATGGGCATGGCTCACACTGAACATGTATGAGAGTGTTCTTGGGTGATTGTGATAACCTAAAGCGTTTGCATCTGTGTAAGATTCTTGGTTTCTGCTCAGGTTCCAGGAACAGCGGAGAGCGCCCGGTCTTGCGTACGTGCCTACTTTGCCGATCTACACGAGACCCTGTGTCGTCAAGAGGAGATGGCTCTGAGCGTGGTGGACGCGCACGTGCGAGAGAGGCTGATCTGGCTTCGACAGCAGCAGGAGGACATGACCATACTGCTGTCACAGGTGTCCACTGCCTGTCTGCACTGCGAGAAAACACTACAGCAGGTACACACGACGCTCAGGTCACGACAGACGCTCAGCTGGATCAGAAGCAGTTCAGGAATTTCAGTTGGTTTGATTTTTTTTTTTTTTTTTTGCCAGGATGATTGCAGGGTGGTTTTGTCGAAACAGGAGATCAACCGACTGCTAGAGACGCTGCAGAAACAGCAGCAGCAGTTTACAGAGCTGGCCGACCACATTCAGCTGGATGCAGGCATCCCTGTTACTTTCACTAAGGTACTTTACATCGCCTTGTTTACACAGCGATGGATGAGATATGACTTCCATAAAAACTTAAGACCCGTAAGACCTTCATTCATCTTCGGAACACAAATTAAGATCTTTTTGATGTAATCCGAGAGCTTTCTGACCCCTCAATAGACCGCAATTCAACAACCACTTTCAAGGGTTGAAAAAGACATCTTTAAAATAGTCCATGTGACTACAGTCGTTCAACTTTAATGTTACGAATTATCCAACTTTATAGGTGGTTTGCAGTCACGTGATTGTGTTGACGCGCGGAATGCAGATGGAGGGCAAGGAGTCAAGGGCAAAATGGACGAGATGGAAGAAAATCCGTACTGTACTACTTTGACGCTATTACAAGAGAAATACATAAACAGAAAATCTAAACATATGTTGGACGTGATCCTTACGTTATGAAGAGGACCGATTTTCAACTGAATTGAGAGATTTGCCTGCAATCGAGGCTGTAGATATCAGCAACTAACTCGTCTTACAGACATACTTTGACTTTACAAAGTTCGGAAACTGGTACGTTACACAAACAGCCACCTGAATAATGTAATTATAAGCCACATAAATAATGTATTAACTCACACTTGACGAAGTGATCACTGCACACACACACACAGGCATTTTCCCAATTGGCTCCTCCCGACCACAGACGTAGGTTTGCAAGGCATTTTTCCTGGTGTTTTTCTGTCAATTTCTTGTATTTCCCACCCTTATGAACAACAACTTTTGGCACACCATAAAAACTCCTCGTGGTTTGATCGATTTGAGCAACCATAAACGACGGAAAACATAGGCATTTTGAGTGTGTTATAGTGCTTCCTAAATATAGAAATTCACTTCCTGCCCTCCATCTGCATTTCGCGCCATGGCAACGAATGTCACATCACGTGAAAACAAGCTAGTCAACAATCTCTTCTCTTCCACATCATTCTTCTACACTGTTGAAGTCGTGTAAACAATGCAGTGCTTCTGGATCTACGTCAGAACTCCGCTTCACTATTGGCCAACGCTGTTCACCTGAGCACCACGACACATGCATGTGATGCTGACTAAGGAGGGTCGACAATAGTGAGGTGGTGTTCTGACCTAGAACCAAGAAGCGCAAGATGTTTTACACAACGTCAACAGCATAGGAGAATGAACTTAAAGGGGAATGACGACATGGCGATGTTGGTGAGTAATTAATGACAGAATTGTTTTGGGTGAACTGTCCATTTAATATTTGACGCGTACGAATAAAGTTTGTGATCTTTGAGTTTATTTAAGCGGTCACGCCGTGATGTTTCGATCCTCTATCGGTCACACATCTCCACTCCATATGGGAGTAAACATTCATTCTCAAATCAGAGTTCACCAAACTTGAACTTTGGTGCACGGCAAACTTTCCATGAGTTTGCATATCCAGTCTCCTGCATTTGCATGCATATGAATGGAAGTCAGTGTAGTGTAGTGTGACCGTCCCTTTAGTCAAACAAACAGATGCCTCTAGCAGTGTACTGCACATAGATCAAACATTGTAATGCAATGTTATGTTTATTTGTGGCTTATGGGGGCTTAAATGGACGCTGATGGTCATTGTCTGCGTGCAAAATGAAATGGCTAGAGTTTAAACTTAAACTCCATACGAATGTCAAGGGATATGTTGGAAGAATTCGGTGCCATGGCCAGACCTCTTGTTGGGCCTAATGCGTAATACCATGGTGTTTTACATGCACAAAAGCTCACAACGCGTCATCAGTATGCAAATAAACCGTTTTCTTCATCTTAAAGGAATAGTTCACCTTAAAATGAAGATTCTGTCATCATTTACTCACCCTCAAGTTGGTTCAAACCTGTATGAATATCTTTCTTCTGCTGAACACAAAATATATTTTGCAGAATGTAAATAACTAAACAGTCGATGGACCCCGGTGACTTCAATAGTATTTTTTACCCTAGCATAGAAAGGGACTGTTTAGTTAATTAATTCTTCAAAATATCTTCCTTTGTGTTCAAGAACTTTCCTTTTGAAGTGAACCATTCAACAAACCTGCTCCTGATAATCTGCATTTAGTACATTACATTTCTGTATTAATTGATTCTGAGTTAGGGATGGCTCGATACCACAATTTTGGCTTCGATGCGATACCAGAACCTAATACCTCGGTATCGATACTAAATCGATACCACAATCGGAAAAAAAAAAAGTCTAAATTTAAGTGAATTGAAACAATTTTATTAAACACTGCTTGAAACTCTCAACTACCATATGTGCAAAGAAAAGTATCCAAAAAAAAAAAAAAAAAACATCAAAATTTTAAAAATAAACAAATTATGTGTAGGTAAAATTTTGATTTGGGAGGGAAAAAAACACTGATATTATACAATTAAAATAGGTTAATATCTATAATAATAGATTAACATAATAGGATAATGAAATGACGTAAACCATTAGCTGTCATGCATCAACAGAGAATTATCAACATTTATTGCATTTATTCATCTTGGTTTGGTTACTGTTTGTGTTTGGGTTCATATTATGCATATAATGCATTTCAAAAAGTAATGTTATGATGCTAAACATTTATTAGGATATTACATTTTTAGGTCATTTTATTACTGATTGATCTAGATTAATCAATGCTATATTGTTAGGCCAGGTTCCTTAGTGAATGTTGACAAATGTAGCTTAATTGTAGGCTAATATTATTAATATTTATATTACTACCATCTCTCTCTCTCTATGGGTCGCCACAGCGGCAGCAATGTCATTCATTTTACTATCACTTTTATGATTTATTAATTCAAATTAAATGAATATATTTGTTTGAAACTGCAAAAATGATGAGATCATGAGACGTAAACTGAATTGGTTCTAGCGTGTCATGCAAGAAGATTTGAGATTCCGTGTTTACCGTATCATATTTAATTGATAAGCTCTTATTTATGTGCGCTGTTCAGTGTTCAATAAAAGTCTAAATTAAATCATTTGAATGATGAACTCACCAGTCGATCTCTTGAACAAGTCAGGATGAGCAACTGACGAGCGCTTCGGCAGATTTGATGTATTGCATTCCATGGCAACACATTATTGAAAGCAAAGTTTGCAGAGTGGTGCATTGAGGTCTGTTTCTACACTATTCTCATTAATTTAGTAGGCAAAGTAATGCCTTATTTCACTTATACTGCTCTCTCTATTTATTAATTTCGGCCGTGTAGAAATCCGAATGAGCTTCATTTCCACCGTGTTCCTTCGTTTGCCAGTTTCGCGTGACTCGCGGCAGTTTCGGTAGCGCACTGCCGCCTAGTGGAGAACTTCGGAACAGCAGCTCATCAAATACCGAATTTAACAAAATTATGATATTGTACCGTTTGAAATTTATTATATACCGGTATTTTTGCAATACCGGTATACCGCGCATCCCTATTCTGAGTGTTTATTTGCGTTAACTTTATTTTCAAAATGTGCATCAACAATAGTTGGATGGAAAACCCCGACTAAGATATGTATGTGTGCTCAGTTACCTTTAACTTGCCAGATATGTTACCCCTTTTTATTCTGGGACCTTGGATTTTACTAATGAAGCACTGGTATGTCATTTTACAACTTGACTTAACTTTGTCTCATCTGTTTGTTATTAGCGTGCTAAGAAAGTAACTGCTGTACTTGAACTGAGTTGTGTAGTGATGATTGCGTTTGATATCCGTATTAAACAGATGTGTCCGTCTTCTTTTCCAGGACAACCGTGTGCACATTGGTCCAAAGATGGAGATCCGGGTTGTGACTTTGGGCTTAGATGGAGCTGGCAAAACTACCATTCTCTTCAAACTGAAGCAAGATGAGTTTATGCAGCCCATACCGACCATAGGTATCCTTGTGCAACGGAAATACATGTACAGAAATGCAAACATGCAACGGTGTTTAGATAATAAAGAATTCTCTTTCTGTTTTAGGTTTTAATGTTGAAACGGTTGAATACAAAAACCTGAAATTCACCATTTGGGATGTGGGTGGCAAGCATAAACTCCGCCCACTCTGGAAACACTATTATCTGAACACACAAGGTAACGCGCAGAGATGCTGCTTGTAGAGTTAAAAACTTCACTTCACTGTGGCTTTTTCGTTCATAATGAAATTCACACAATCACATTTTTTGCACTTTAATGAGTGTGGTCGTTTGTTCTGTCTCCCAGCGGTGGTGTTTGTGATTGACAGCTGTCACCGAGACCGGCTGATGGAGTCTCACAGTGAACTGGCCAAACTGCTGACAGAGAAAGAGCTCAGAGATGCTCTGCTGCTCATCTTCGCCAACAAACAGGTGAGATGTGAACAATTGACTATGTTTTGAACTTGGCATTAAAATCAATATTATTGTCCCCCAGAATATTTTGTTGTATGAATAACTAGCTTCATGAATTCTTTTTTTGTTAACACCTATATGTTAAAATTAATAGTTTTTCAACGACTACAACGTGCAATAGGCTATGCTTGTTTCATTGGAGATTCTCTACTTTCAGAAGATGCATGTAACAGGTTTTGCCAGTATGTGTGTCCGCTGTAAACTCTTGACCAAGACTCTGTGACGTGTGTCTCTGTAGGACGTCCCCGGCGCGGTGTCCGTGGAGGAGATGACTGAGCTCCTGAGCTTACACAAATTGTGCTGCGGGCGCAGCTGGCACATTCAGGGCTGTGACGCCCGCAGTGGCATGGGGCTTCACGAGGGCCTGGACTGGCTCTCGCGCCAGCTGGTGGCCGCAGGAGTTTTGGATGTGGCCTGAGGGACGCTCACCCACTCTCAATAGACTTGTGACTCACAACTCAAGCCTGTCTGTGTCATTTGCACAGTCAACCTTCTCATGTTTACCCATGTCATACCATCATACATCAGTAGACTTGCTGCTGTGCGCGCTTGTGGTTCAAAGGTGTTCATAAATGGAGCTCATATAAGACTCCAGGGTAAATACAAGGCAACGTCCTGCAGGTTATCACCAAACATATTTTCAGTTCATCACTCATCTTTCTAAATAAAAACAAACGTATTATGGAAGCCTATGGGCAAGTGTGCTTCATAGACTTCCATTGGAAATGCTTTACTGTATAAAAAAAAAGAAAAGATTTGTTTATTATAACAAAGTGAGTTGAAATTGTGTTGTTAACAAAAATATATTTGCAGATGGGGTCCAAAAAGTTGATTAACATGAACTATTCCTTTGAAAAGAAGTTAACGAACATGACTAACTAAACTTACTGTACCTTCTGTTAAAACAGAGAAATGCAACATCTGGTATATGATCCTTGTCTTTTCAAGGTCAGTTTGCTCATTCGCCTAATAGTAACTAATGCCTGGAGATATTTCTAGATGTGCTTAAGCTAAATATTCTGGTCAATTTTGTACAGACACCCATTTAAAGTCCCTGTAGTAGTTTATATATAGATCTATTAAATGTTTTCATAGGTAAAGCCCCTTAGGTAAGGATGAAATGAGGCTCCATCACTAGATTCATGGTTACTGCAATGTGAAGTGCCTGTTGTGTCAGATTAACCAGTTACTGAAATCATCAGAAAGGTCATGTGATCAAATCCATTGCCATTGATAAAGTAATTTGAGGGTGAATTTCACAAAACACGTCAACAACATGTATAGGCCATGCTTCCCTTTAATTTATACAATTATTTTTTTCATTAAACTTGTTCTAGGAACATTAAATTCTTGCATTATTCATTGTTCATTACAATCAAGCACATCCTACCCTTATATTCTCATTACTGTAATATAATGTGAAATTGTTTTAGACAATTACGTATTTAGACATGGTAGTATTGCCTTTATGGATATTTATTCAAATAAATATTAAAATCATCACTGGGATTTAAAAAAACATCTGTAAGGAATATAATGCGCTTAACTGTTATGAAAAAAATTTCAGACCCTTACAATGTGACCCACACATGTTATTTTGCTGTTGTTGCGAGATTCACCTAGACATACCATTATTCTTAACATCTCCAGCTGTTTTTATTTTTTTTTTTTTTCAGTTTTTTTGTGGCTTTGTGAATGAGCCTGTAAATATTTATTGAAATGTCCTTTGTGGTCTTATGACTGATGCATGGGTGTAGGTGTATTTTCACCATGTATGAAGAGATGGAAGTGTTTGTGGCAAAAAACAATGTTACTGATTATTTATATTTGAAAGAATTGTAGTTGTCATGAAAAAAAAAAAAGTATAAACCTGTTTCCAGTTCATCAGTCCATTGCTTATTAATATCTGGCTATATCTTGATTTGTTGGAACAAGCATTTCTTAGCATCTTAAAAGGCAAAAACATTACATTCATTGATATACTTAATGCATCACGCAACTGTGGCCGCATGTAAACGCTCCATTACTCGACATTATCCGCATTAGTCCGGTTTAGGAACCATTCTTTGTTTTGAAACATTGATCCTCATTGCCATGTAATGTTGAATAACTGTACTTAGATAAAGCATGTGTGAAGACTATCTCTGTCCCCTATTGCAGGATGATCTGAAGTTATCGTGAATGTGAGTTTTGGACGCCTCTCGAGAAGCACACTGCTAACCCACATTTGTTGTTGATACGACCACGGCTTTTTGTATAACCATTCATAATGTTACGCTATTAAAAACTAAGCTGAATGATGCATCACTATTGAAAATTAGTATTATTTAAAAAAAGGGTAGTTTATTTTACAAAATCAGAAGAATAGAGCTGAGACTGCACATCTATTTGACAGTGATGTTTATGATGCTGATATCTTCATACGGCTTGTCGGTTTTGGGGTTCACCTTTAAGTTGGAGATCCGCTGGACCACCTCCATTCCTTTAGTGGTCCTCCCAAAGACTGTGTGCTTGTTATCCAGCCAGGGCTAATTAAAGAGAGAATGAGAAAACAATGATTTAAAGGAGTAGTTCACTTTTAAAACAACTTTTGCTGATAATTTACTCACCCCCATGTCATCCAAGATGTCCATGTCTTTCTTTCTTCAGTCGAAAAGAAATTAAGGTTTTTGATGAAAACATTTCAGGATTTTCTCCATATAATGGACTTCAATGGTCCAAATGAGAGTTTCAGTGCAGCTTCAAGGGGCTTTAAACGACACCAGACGATGAATAAGGGTCTTATCTAGCGAAACGATTGCTCATTTAAAAAACAAATAAAAAAATGTAAGTTTTATAAGCACGAATGCTCGCATTGCTCTGTTCTGTGATGAGCGTTCATGACTCTTGTTCGAACTTGTTCATCAAAATGAACAAATCTTTTTTCGAGTCATGACTCGAAGGGTCCTAGATAAGACCCTTATTCATCGCCTGGTGTCGTTTAAAGCCCTTTGAAGCTGCACTGAAACTCTCATTTAAACCGTTTGATTCCCATTGAAGTCCATTATATGGAAAAAATTTCTTAATTTCTTTTTGACTGAAGAAAGAACGATGTGGACATCTTGGATGACATGGGGTGAGTAAATTATCAGCAAAATATTTTTTTAAAGTGAACTACTCCTTTAAATTAACTATTAGCTTAATTGGCAACTCAAAATGAATGACTTAAGATGATTTTTCCCAAAGTCATAGTAATTGACATGACATTCAAGAAGTGAGACATTTAGGACTATATTGACTTGATTGAATATTTAGGGCTGGTAAAAATTAGATTTTCTTTTTAATGAATTCATTTCACAAATTATTTATGAACTGTTTTTGAAAAACTGTCCTAAGAAAAACAGTGCAACCAGGGTAGTCATATTCAGAAATGTATCCTGAAATCTGAAAGTTTCTTAAAAAAAAAAAAAAAAAAAGGGGAAAAAAAGTGATGATGGTCTTACAGTTGGGACGACAGTGATGAAAAACTGCGACCCGTTGGTCCCCGGGCCTGCGTTGGCCATGCTGAGGGTGTATGGTCTGTCGTGCCTCAGTGTGGCATGAAACTCATCCTCAAACTCTCCACCCCAGATGCTTTCTCCACCCATCCCTGTGCCCGTCGGATCTCCGGTCTGGATCATGAAGCCCTGCACACATACAAGAAGCCACCTGTTCAAGTCTCATCCACAACTCATCTAAACTAAACACTACTGTGCTCATACCTTGATGACACGATGAAATATGTGTCCATTGTAATAACTGTTCCTGCTGTGGACGCAGAAGTTCTCCACTGTTTTGGGGCACCTGAGAAGCACAAATAAATAAATTAACGTACAGCCATCTCAGACCAAACTGCTGTCAAATGACACAAACACATACTCCACAGGAAAGAGTTTGATGTGAATGTCGCCCATTGTGGTGTGAATGATGGCGCTGTCCGACACTCTTTTCGGCCCTTCTGCCTGTGTGGCTGCCATCACTTCCTCTTTAGACGGCTTCTCATTAAAGACGTCACGGTCCGAATCAGCACTCTTGGTGTCCTCCGGTTCTCTCTTTGTAAACTATTCAAAAACAAAATACAGCATAAAGAGTCTAGATTGTCAGATTCTTCTGGACACCAATGGAAAGTAACATTAGAGCTTTTCACACTGGGTTGGTGATGGAAAACATCAATTGGAGTAAAGAATAGACCATTTAATTCTTAAAGGGATACTTCAGGATTTAGCATTAAGCTTTGTATTAGTAGAAAACCTGTAGTACTTTTGAATTACCACGCTTTCCACCCTCATATCCCCTTGAGACGAGAGATTTATGTATTTTTTGTCTGGAAAAAAATCCTCAGATGACGCAAAAATCTCTTCATTTTGAATCATCAGAGGATTTTTTTGCCTAGTGGGTGAGATCTCACTGACTCCTTTTTGGAAGCTAAGATAGCAGGCTCTTGTTCCGTGGAGAAAGCCGAGTAATAGGGGTTACCATCCTCTATTTGGCATGTCCGGCTTTTGCTTTCTGCAGTTGCCATTCATTGTTTACATGCACCAGGGGTTTAAAAAGAACCAGAGTTAAAGGGTTAGTTCACCCAAAAATGAAAATTAAGTCATTAATTACTCACCCCCATGCTGTACCAACCCCGTAAGACCTTCATTCGTCTTCGGAACACAAATGAAGATATTTTTGATTAAATTTGAGAGCTGTATAACTACCACATTGGCTCCTAAGGGACTGCCTCTTGACAGCCCAAAAAGTCAATGAAGAAAATGTTTAAATATCCCAAGTGACTACCGTGGCTCAACTATATGTTTATCAAGCGACGAGAATACTTTTTGTGCGAAAAAACAAACAAAAATAACGAGTTTATTCGACTGTTTCTTTTCTTCCTTGTAGGCCAGAACGAGACTTCCTTAGATTTCCACGACGCATGCGCGAGATTTGCGATCTGCTCACATCGCTTACACTACTTCAGATCGCAAATCTCGCGCATGCGTCGTGGAAATCTAAGGAAGTCTCGTTCTGGCCTACAAGGAAGAAAAGGAATAGTCGAATAAACTCGTTATTTTTGTTTGTTTTTTCGCACAAAAAGTATTCGCGTCGTTTGATAAACATATAGTTGAGCCACGGTAGTCACCTGGGATATTTAAACATTTTCTTCATTGACTTTCTGGGCTGTCAAGAGGCAGTCCCTTAGGTGCCAATGTGGTAGTTATACAGCTCTCAAATTTAATCAAAAATATCTTCATTTGTGTTTCGAAGACGAACGAAGGTCTTACGGGGTTGGTACAGCATGGGGGTGAGTAATTAATGACTTAATTTTCATTTTTGGGTGAACTAACCCTTTAACTTAACAGAGATAAGTTAAGTGTGGAAAGCCCTATACAGAAATAAATGATTATAGTAACATATAGAGAAAGCAAAGCTTCAGGATAGTGTTGGGTTTTTGTAATGGCACCATGTAGAAGCGGTTCTTCTTGAAGGCGGTGCAGAAGATGGTGGGGTCTGGACTGGAGCTCTGCAGCGCTGGGTTGTCGGAGGCCTTCATCTCAATGGTTGGTGCCGCATGCATGGTCTTGGCTACTCCCTGAAACAGACTCAACTGCGCCACACGAATGTTCTCCAGTTTGCCCAGAATCCGCACACACCTTGACAGAGAAAACAGATCACAGACAGAATAAAAAGACTTTCAGAATGGCTCATGTATTAATTTTGATTTAGGCCAATGCCGTTACCTTGGCTTAAGTTTTCAAAAATTTATTTCACAACAAATCTTAAGCCATTATGCTTCTGTAATGTGACAAATTTCAGAATGAGGCGAGAAGATATTTGGTCAAAAGACCATAAATGATGAAAATTATACTGATGCTAAACTACTTATGGTGATATCTGAAACGTTGTGCCATTAAATTAATTTAGATTCAGAAATGGTAAATATGCTCATCATAGAAGAAATGCATTTCATAGTGTGCGTGTATCTACCTGTTAGTCTCCACGTTTATGACTTTAATGCCCAGCATGGTGCCATACAGCACAAAGTGTCCCGTCTCATCGAAGATGACGTTGGTCAGTCGGATGCCGTCCACCTTCTCCAGCTCTCGCTCCACCGCCATTCTGCGGCCAAACTCCATATCGGGCAGCTGCTGCCTCATCTGCTGGAGCTCCGTGAACATCTGCCGCCACACAGAGAACACACACTCTTACTCAAACTCTTCCAGTGAGTGTTTGTTAACCCTTGAAATCTGTGGTTATATGATATTATAATTATCAAACACTAACTTACGGTTAATGATTCGTCAAAGACCCTCATCAGCTTCCCAGTGAGGAAGCGGAAAATCCTCACTTTGCGGTCAACGGCGATGGTGGCCATTTTCTTGCCGTCTTGAGAGAACATCAGGCTGGTGGGATACGTTCTGCTTTTGGCAAACTCGTACAAGTCCGTGTCAGTCTTGAACTCCCACTCCACCTGCCGTGGGAATTTGAACTCGCTCGGGAGGCCTGTCCAGTATTCCAACATTCCCGCTTTATCAGCCGACACTATGACGCGATATTTTGGATTCAGGCGGATCTGAGACAGTGGTGCGCTGTGCATCTTTTCAAACTTGTGCAGGGGTTGATTACTTCCACGCCCGTCGTATACAAAAATCTTCCCGGTGGATTTCTCAGAGCAGGCTACGGTGGAGATGGCATCGCCCGGATTATAGATCCACTCGCACTGGCCTGGATGGAAGCTGGGGAAAAAAGAAAAGAAAAGAGAAATAAATAATAAACTCTCTTGTCTCTTCACTCTCTGGTGGTCTAAACTGAAAAAAAAAAAATTACATTTGAAATTTTATACTTCAGTACAATGATATGATTTTTTTGTAGAACTTGCTATAAATACACACCAAAAAATTGTGGTCATGATACTAAAAGAATAATTACTCTTTTAAAAAAAAAGGTCACTTGTGAGATTTTGAAATGTTTGAGAAATACAAATAATACAGAGCAATTTTTTGGACACAATTTAGAAATCAGTATCGAAGTATGTATATGTATATATACACACACAAATGATTTACTTTATTTCTTCCACCAAATTACACCAATCCTCCTTTGATACATTGGATTTAAATACATTCTCTATATTTTTTAAACTGTATTAACTGAAAATAAGGTTCATATGAAATAGTTCTCCTAATAACTATATAAACATGGTACTAGACAATGCTAAATTCAATTCTTAATTATGCAGTATTTCTACATAAAATAATGCATAATTTAGATGTGAATATTGTCTAGTAGCATAAAATTCCCTCAAAATACAACATATTAAAGAATAAACATTGAAACAAAATATAGTAACTTATTATTTTTTTTTAATTACTAATCTTAAGGTTTTATTTTTAATTTACTCCCAAGGATTACAAGTGTGTGCCAAAAGTTTTTTTCTCTACATCCCATCACATGATGGAGTTTGGGTTCCTTGCCACTGTCGCCACTAGCTTACTTAGTTGAGGGCACTAAATATTCAGCAATATTACCAATCTGACTGAGCTGGATGATGACATCACTGTTTTCTACAGAGCTGCTTCATGGATGAAATTAACTAATTTAATAATTGATTATCTTTACAATAGAACTGAATCAACACTGAAATATCACTATAACACTATTTTCTTTTATGCTGTTCAGCTCAAATGGACTGCATGTTTGCATTATTGAATTGTTTTCACTGTAAAGCTGCTTTCAAACAATCTGTATTGTATAAATTGCTATATAAATGTGACTTGACTAAATGAGGAATAATACCAGAGTGTTAAACACTCACACGCACGCGATTTTACCCGAGTTTGAGCATGTTGATCATGTCGAAGTTGACGACATCAAAAACCTTCATGGCCTGATCATCACCTACAGAGCAGAAGAGCGCACCCTCCGCACTGACAGATATACTCTCGATCACACCTACGCACCAGAGACACAGATTATTTACACATACTGCATTTTGTACAGTTTCCAAATGAAAAGCCCCCTGCCACAATGCTAGACATAAGGTACCTACCCAAGTGGCTGCGGAAGTGCTTGACAAACTCCACTCCCTCATCCTCCTTCTTCTTCCAGAATTTCACATGCCCATCTTGACTTGCTGTTATGATAAAATCTGTTCTAGAATGGTATAAAAATTATAATCCGTACATCTGGAGTCAAATAAATGCACTTGAGTGTTGATTTACATGTAAGATCCAGGACTCGGCAATAAGGATGCCAGCTTGACCAGCGCCAATCGGTCAGCACTATCATACTATTTATTTATTTTTCAATTGTGTAAATGCATTTTATGTCTTGTGAACGTAAACATTTGGGGTTTCTGCTACAAAAATGATCTAGCAGGCTGACAAATTCTTTTATAAGTTTTGGAGTTTACTGTATAATAATAATAACTGTATAGTTTCCAACCATAACCAGCCATGGTGTCTGTTCAAATAATAATTATATATTTTTTAAATCTTTTAAATGAACAATAAATAATTTCCCCAAATGTAATAATAATAATGTCAGAAGTATATAATTATAATGTATGAAGAAACAGGGGAAAAAAACCCTTGCTAATATATTTAGGATTTACTAGTCAAATATTCTGTGGTAGCAAGTTGGAGAAAGAAAACTTACTTGGAGCAAACAATGTGTGTTATAACATCTCTGTGCATGTAACTTCTTTCATACATGGAGGCGGAAGGTAAATTGTCCAGGTACAATTTTTCAAACTCAAGAACTGCAAAAGAAGACATATGCTCCATTAATAATTATCTCAAAACTGTAAAATCAGCTGCTATGAAAACACAAGACATACAAGCTGTTATAGAAACGGCTATATAGCATAGTTTTTTATATCAAAAGTTAATCTAGATATAATACAGGCGACTTTAATGCACAAAAAATGCTGTCTAGGACTCTGGGCAGCTCACCAGGGTTAGAGACAGTAATAGTATACGCGTCCATTTTTTTTTATAAAAGAAGCCCAATTAACGTACCTTTTTTCTTTTTTGTTTGTGTTGCCTCGTTGGGCAGAGGACCGACCCATTCGCCCTCATCTTCCTCTAGTTTGCGTTTATTTTCAGAACCATCACGGCTCACGTCCGACGCCATTTTCAAATAAAAGTTGCTATTTCTTACTCGATGGTGGTTTTAACGTAACAAACGTCTCTCCTTTGACACACTGCCGCCTACAGGAGGGGAGGATCTCGAGACTAGACCGCGGCGCGCAGTCACTAGCCTACACGAGGAACATCTGATGTTCAGTCAAAATAACAATGAGCAATCCTGCTCGAAATGTCACATAAATGGTGAATAAAATCCAAGCACATTTGGGGATAAAATTATGTTTTAGTAACATGAAGCACTGAGTGACAGACTGAGACTGACCTCTACAAAATCACATCATAGGCAACGTGTTAAAAGTTTGGCAACACTGTATTTAAATGTTTCTGATAGACGTCTATTCTGCACACCAAGGCTGCATTTATTTAGTCAAAATATGGTAGAAAAAAACCCCTAATATTGCGAAATTTATTTTCCAATATTTTCATATTGGTAACTATTCCCCTAAGTTATGACATCAGTCAATATGCCATTCTTTTCACCAAACACTATACAAACACTATACTCATTCCACAGAAAAAAGGGGGAAAAAAAGCCCAACAAAAATCAATGGATTTTACTAGCCTAGTTGGCGATCAACAGGCTCAGAATAGAATTTTAGACTAGGCCAGTAGGCCTACTCTTAACATTCTTAAAAACATGCTTGATATTTAGCATCAAGGCACACTTACACACACACACACACACACACACACACACACACACACACACACACACACACACACACACACACACACACACACACACACACACACACACACACACACACACACACACACACACACACACACACACACACACACACACACACACACACACACACACACACACACAAACAGGCGCACACATCTTTGTGGGGACTCTCCATAGGCGTAATGGTTTTTATAGTGTACAAACTGTATATTCTATCCCCTTACCCTGTCCCTATCCCTAAACCTACCCCTCACAGGAAACATTCTGCATTTTTACATTTTCAAAAAAGATTAGTATTTATACGCTGTTTTCCTCATGGGGACCGCTTGCTGCTCCCCACGATGTAGGTGATTTCAGGTTTTACTATACTTGTGGGGACATTTGGATCCACACAATGTAAAACATGAACACACACACACACACACACACACACACACTAGCCTTGCACTACTTTAAGGACAAGACAAGGTGAGTGGTTGCGAAATTTTTTTTAATAAATAACAGCAGTGAAAGCAGCAATGGTTCTCCCCAATGAATGATGTTAACCCATCTCGGATCCCCGAACTTCCCAGTGGTAAATACGACTTGAGAGGGTGTTCATGTCAAATTTTTAACTGGAAACTCGCATTATTTATTATTGTGCTAGGCCTATTTACGTAAAAAGCCACTGAGAGTATAGCCTCGCACCGCTGACCGTCAATTCCTAAATTCTATCCACAATTGGTGATGTGAAATTCAAATGCTTTATTTTGCATGCAAAGTAGGCCTATACTAATCTCATATTTTTTTAGTCTATGATTTCATATGATAAAAAAGAAATTGCAGAAAAAAATTTGATTGGCCTATGGAGTGGAAAGAGCACTTTATGATGCAGAATCATTCCTAATGAACATTTCCCTTATTTATGATATAAAAACATGACAAATAAGTAAAAAACAAAACAACTTCAGTTTAGTTTAAAAATAAATTAGCCATATTCTAAAAAGGATATGTTGAAGGAAATTCTGATAGTTCTTCGGGTAAATGCAAGATTAATCTGTGAACTCCAAATAGTAACAGCTATAAATGTATGCTATTTTTTCTGAGACTATACATTCGTATTATTTTATATAATAGTTGTGTATTATTAGTAGACTGTATCAGCCTACCCAAGCATCATTGCACCCTCATATAGTCACCACGCGGCGGCGCTGCAAACTAAGCAACAATTCCCTGTCGGCATTCAAATATCCAGTGGTGCTAAATGCCAACAATGCACATGAAACACCAGTTCTTTTCTTCCGAACACTAGACTTTATTTTATATATATATAGCCTATATATATATATATATATATATATATATATATATATATATAAATGAGCCAGGGTTGACTTTACAAACCCAAGCCACGTCTAACTATTAGAATAGCCTAAGTAACTGTTTGTGAAATGTGGTTATATTGTGAAAATAATGTCGTAGTGCAAAATAAATAAATAAATGAATAACACATGACTGCGAATCGGAATTTGACTTAGCCTAAATGTGTTCTTGATAGGTTTGAATGTTAAGCATTTAGATGTCTGTTAATCATTAACTGATTCGAAAAGTTCGTGTTGTTACCGGCTTCTCACGTGCATTATTCACCTGACTATCCGAATGAGCGGCGCGCGCGCGCAACGGGCAGGCACATCTGCATCTCCAGTGACGTCATGTCGAACCTCCCAGTCTCCGTTCTCGCGCTGCCAGTGTGTGAGTTTGAGTTTGACTGCTGGCTCAGATCCGGCTTCAGTATTAAAGGCTGCAAGTCTCCTGCATGCGCACCGGTCCAATGTGCATTACTGTTATTATTCATCTCTGGTGAATCAAAGATCACGAGACTAAACAATAAGCCATCACACACGCTGGAAACTTGAACAGTTAAACATGAGCTGAGTTGCACAAACTTATTCAACAACTTTTTTTCATATTTTGGAGATGATTGCATGGAGTTTTTTTCATTGCATTGCTGATGCAGTGAGTTCATGAAGATCTTTTTTTGGTGCTGTACAAGGACACAACTAGTACATTTTGTTGGCATATGAGAGGTAGAGAATGGCTTGAAGCGAAACGAGAGATTTGCTGAAGAATGCACTGCAGTGGATTCAAATGAAGATTTCTACTGTCTGCATGTGTTCAACAACAAACAAACAAAAAAGAGATGAAGACGGTAACTATCATTTCTTACGGTCGTTCAGACAGGAACGATAGTCTGGGCATTCCCAGTGGAGTTTGCATAGAAAATGTCAATGCATGACAATATAACGGAGTCTGTTTTTAATAGTAACCCTTTGTAATTGCTTTATCTCAAGCGACAACATTAGAGACTACTTTATCAAGTAATAAAAAAGGGGGAAAAAATAGAGTCCCTTGGTGCACATTTGTAGTCCTCTGACTGGGCTTGTGTGTTTTTATTTCAGCGGTCAGTGTAATAGTGTTGGGCAGTTGCCAGCTGTCTGGGTCAGACACGTTTTAGACTCGAGCTGCTGTCTGAAGGAAGCCGCTTTATTAAACTCATGAATGTTCGTCTGCACAGTAACTACCGCTTCTGCTGCGATAGTAAGAAATACACGCAAAAGGAGGTGATATACAGGATATATCTCTGTTGGAACTGGACGACTCTTCTGCTGGATGTTCTAGAGAATAGCCGGCATTTCATCTGATGTTCATCCGGTGAGTAACTACTTGCTTTTACTCTCACTAGCTATATGAAACATTCAGTCAAGCAATGGTACTGTAATACAGTCATGCTTGTGCTTATTATGATTGACAGACAGACAGACAGACAGACAGACAGATTAGATAGATAGATAGATAGATAGATAGATAGATAGATAGATAGATAGATAGATAGATAGATAGATAGATAGATAGATAGATCTTCTAAAAAATGCACACAGGTTTGGAATGACATGAGTGTTAGTAAATGTTGACAGAATATTACTTTTTGGGGTTAACTCTCCCTTTAAGTCACACTTTATGAAATAAAAGAAATATGCTTTTCAAAATGAAAGTATTTTGGCACTTTCTGGATGTCAGTAGTTAGCAGATCATATTCTGCACCTGTGGTTTCTCTGATAGGAGGACGCCTGTGTGAACTTGAGAACTGGCTTCATACATCCACTAAAATCAGCTTGAGACCAGATGATAGTACTACAACACTGCAAAAAAAAAAACACACTCAGAAACCTTCTGTTCAAAGCTCTAGCTGCATTCGAGTGCAGATGACACTTTATTTCATACTTTGCACATTCAAAAAATACTTGTGGGTCCCATTTACACATCAACAAATGTTGCAAAGTTCAAACCGACTGGTGAAACTTCAGTCTGATTATCCAGTCATGTTATTTGTAACAGGTTTTCATGCCTTAAATCGGAAACAGGCAGAGCAGCTAATAGTCAAGTGCAGGTGTGAAAATGATAACCTGAAGTTACGGCATCCCACTCAACACCTATGAGCTCACCATTATGTGTGTGTGTGTGTGTGTGATCAAACCTGTTCGAGTCCAGATGTTGCAGCTGCGGAATTGCAATCAGCTCTTGATGTTTGATGAGACACAGTTGAAACTTTTAGGAACATTTTGTAAGATTAGAAACTGGCAATTTTCCACTGACAAGGTTTTTTCCACTCTCGTTCTTTTTTCAGGCAAACAAATGGATTGTTCGGGACAAGCTCCTAATATAGATCTGCTGCTGTGGAATAACATGAAGAGAGTTCTTATGGATGATTCTTGGCCTTCCTAGAGACTTCACCTTTAGGAAGACTTTTAAACCTGGGATTAAGTGTGAACTGAGTTTCGAATGTGTCGAGGATGCTTGTCACGGATATGTTATGGTGCGAAGCTGGATTGATCATATCACTTTAATCCACTTGTAGCCTGCCCCGACCCCCCTACCCCCACACTCATGTCAGATATTCCCTAAATTATGGAACTTTTTTGGAAGACGCTGACTTGGATATTTAGCCTGGTCTTGGCTGCTGCTGAATCTCAGATCCTGTCATACAACTCTCAAGGTAGGTTTAACAGAAAGTGATGACTGTAGCTGTAACAGCTGATATCGCACTTCTGAAAATTCACCAGACAAGCCATAACTCATTTCTGCTTACAATGATGTCATTAGGACACTTTCAGCTCTACCCAGAGGAAACTTTCATTGCTCACTTATGTTTCATGGAAAGTATCAAGCTTGTCTCAGGTGCTTCTCCTAAACTTCCTGAAGAGAAACAAGACAATCATTGACATTCTTCAAAAGTACAAAGCTATAAAATAAATGTGGGTAGAATGACTCAGATGTTTTTGATCTTTGAAGAAGTTCATGAGCAATATTTGAGTTCATTTTGAACATGGTGTGAGACAAGACGAGATGCCTAGCAGAAACACATAAGACATTGAAGAGATCTCATTTGTTTCTTTATTATATGCACACATTAGTAAAATATCTCTTTAATATGTCATTTGTTTCTCTTTGACATCAGTGAGACAAAATAGAGAGCAAATGGAGTAAACTCCTCAGTAATCTCACTATTCTTCTTGAGTATCAAAAGAGATCTCAACAATGTCTCAAACTGCTCAGATTTCCCAGTCCAGAGGGAAATTGTATTGCTCTTGCATTTCATCAGGAGATTTCAGGTATCTTGGGTAATTACAGGTAAAGTCATCTTAACACCTTTATCTCAGGTGTTGCTCCTTAAAAACATTTACTACCGGTTTCACAAAAAGACTAAAATGCATGTTTGAGCTGTTTTAACTGAAAGAAACTTGCACCTCTTAAAATATCTTATAAAATATCTTAAAATATGTCAATGCAATTGTTTTATCAGATGCTCATCAGTAATGTTTTGAATGTTTATAAAAGCTACTTAAATGTCCTAATTAAACTAAGGCTTAATGCTGATTTAGTCTAAACCCCATCTATGAAACCAGGTCCAATAGAAATTTCATGAAAAACGAGTTGAGACATCTGGCTTTCAGCTAATCAAATCTGACCCTAGTTTGAGACAATGTTGTTCTACTTTGAAATGACAAGAGGCGACTTGTGAGACGAGACACATGTGAGATTACTGGGAGAGAAATCTAAAGACAAAAGTCTCCATTTGGTCTCTTTGAATATCCCTACTGTGATGGAGAAACAACTGAGACATTAAAGAGATTGTGCAATCGAATTTCCGAGATTCAGACATTTCTCATCAAATTCTTCAGAGACCAAAATTACTGTAGCTATAATATCCACATTCATTTATGTATATATTTTTATTTCTCTAAAGCAGTGGTTCTCTACTGGTTTGGCCTTGGGACCCATATTTTCCCATGGCCATTATGCCACGACCCAATTTTTTTTAGGAATTTGAACCAAGCAAATTTATTTCTCAAAAAATGGTTGACATACAAATATGAATATGTTAGCTTTAAAGGGACACTTCACCCATTTGCATTAAGCGTTGTATCTTTAGAAACCCAGTCATATTTTTTAATGGTCATGGTTTATTCCCTTATTTTCCCCTGAGATGGGAGAAATAAGGATTTAAGTGTTTACTTCCTGCTTATTATGGCGTAAAAATCGTCATTTTGCGTCATAATAAGCAGGAAGTCACATTTCAGTGTAGAAACTACAAACTTAGCTTCTTATTATTCAAGGGTCTTGGACCCACTGAGAGTTGTTTGGACCCACTCTTGTTGTTGTTGGGACCCACTCTGTTTGAGCTGTTCTGGATTAGTGGGTGTGGCTTGCTGAGATGTGCAATTTGGTGCATTGTGGGAGTTGTTGTCTTGCATACAAATGCACCCCTCGGTTATTTCTCTGTCAAGAGGGCACCAAATTCAAAAATTCTTTTACATGTCGACTACATATATGATCCACTTTCAATAAAGATTAATGTAGAAATGGGTGAAATGCTCCTTTAAGGTTATTAAAGCTCCACCCCCTATGCTTTAAATATCACCTGGCCAAAACAACAGTTGACACGTCACAGAGCAAAATGGGTTGGAGATGTGTGTTCGGTTGCTCAAACGTTCAAGTTTTATTTCATTTTCCAGCTGTACGTTGGTTAAGAATTACATTTCTAGAATTTATTCACACCTCTACTATTGAATCCAACGTATCATCAGCGCTCGGATTCGCTTCATAGTGCTGTCAAGTAAACTTGCAGTCTGTGAGGTAATCTAAACGCTATTGATATTTGAAAAGGGGGGGAGCCATTCAATAGATCCCGCCTTAGCTTAGTTTCAGTGGAAATTTCATCAACACATCATACAAAGTATAGCCCGACTGATAAAGGATTTTTTATGGTTTTTGAAGCCGATACCGATACAAATATTTTTTGGTTTTAAAATCCAATATTCAGATATATATGCCGATATTTTATTTATTTATTTATTTTTTTCAGAAACACGCAACAAAAAATTAACAGATTTCCCCAACATTAGTTATTTGTAGTTATTTATGAGTTTTAACTAAAATAATATGATAATGCATTTTAAAAAGAAACTTGTTTCTTTTATTGTCACAACAGAACAGACTGATGATAGTGGCATTAGTTAGCTTTGTGGTTAGCTAGTCTATGATGAGCCATAATTTAGCAATGGATAACGTCGTACTGCAAATTGTAAAACATACATTTTCAATATAACAGGCCAAGGAGAGATGATACGTCTCATTGCTATAACTGTCACGCACTATTAAAGAAATACTTCAGTCAAATACAAATACAAAAGTTAAAAGGACAGTCAGTCAACTACACTGTAACAACGTAACGTAACTATTACAAGCTAATTTCGCTTCACTCTCGGCTTATTTAACAGCAAAACTGGACATGATAGTCACAAATTTTGTCATGCTTATTTGAGTTAAGAGAACTGATGGGGATGTTCTTTTAATTGTTATTCAAGCAATGTATGTATCGTGACCAACTCAACGAGTGTTGCCAACAGGAACGGTGTAGAGTGCCCTCTGGTGGACAAACTATACTAAACTCCAACACTCATGACATGGTTCAAGCGTGTTTCATCCGTTTTTATTTTATTTTTGAAATATTCATTTATCAGCCATTCTAACTGCCGATACCGATAGTTTGGAAAATGCCTAATATCGGCCGATAATATCGTCCTGCCGATATATCGGTCTGGCTCTAATACAAAGCTGTGCATTCCAAGGCACTTCAGTGGGCCTTTAAGGTTTAACTTTTAACTTGATAACCTTGTTTTTAGAACACCGTGTCATACACGAGACACTGCAAAAATGGTTTGCAACGGTCAAACGCTCCCATCTAATGCAGAACTATGAATAGTAGCACAGTCAAAAGGAAAACCGACAGAAAATCAAAGCCTTTGCAGAAGAGTCAACAGCATTCACCAACACCTTTCAAAATAAAAGTACGGTTTGTTGTTGTTTCTTTGACTTCACACTCGGCGACCCACCCAAAGCGGTCTTGCGACCCACTTAGCAATCGAGAAACACTGCTCTAGAAGATTTTTTGGAGAAACATAAGAAATAAAGTTGTTACACTTAGAAACTCACAGAAGCTGTGAAAGATCAACCTCTGAGCAAATAAACCTTCCTCTGAACACACCTGCCAATTGCAGTGCTTGTTGATTTTTGGTTTCCCATGATTACCCTCCTTTGTTTTGCTCACTGTTATCTGCTTCACTTTATTACCCAAAACCAAAAGCGGAATTCCTGTCCACGCTGGAGCACTATCAGCTGACAGTCCCAGTGCGGGTGGATGAGAGGGGCCAGTTCATGAGTTACACTGTGAAGCATTACAGGCCCGGTCGGCGGAGACGTGGACTGGACCAGGCTGAGCTGGACCACACTGAGACCAGGCTTTTTTACAAACTCTCCGCCTACGGCAAGCACTTTCACCTGAATCTGACACTCAACCCCAATCTGGTTTCTAAACATTTCACAGTAGAGTACTGGGGCAAAGACGGACTAGACTGGCAACATTCAGTGGTCCATAACTGCCACTATGTTGGATATCTACTGGATCAATATAGCACTACAAAAGTGGCATTGAGCAACTGCAAAGGCTTGGTGAGTACAGCAGATTTTGAAAATCTTCATGCTTTTGGCTGTATGAGAAGGTAGGTATGCTGTTTTTCTCCAAAATACCTCAGGAAAAGGCACACTGTTTTCTACATAAAAGAACAGATTGGAAATTGTACATTCACACAGGGATATGAAAGCAAGCTGGCCAATGACATGTGGAATATGCATTGCATTTTATTGCCCACATATCTAAAGATCCTCAGCTGAAGTGTTTACTTCCTCAAAGCACCCCATATTTGCTGACTTGGCCTTTTTTGATGTGACTGAAATGCTGTCCTTGCTGGGGATGGTTATTTCTAAACCACGAGAATATGTGCTATTACTTTTAGTGATTGAAATTATGAGCTTTGTCTGGCACTCAGAACACCTAGAAAAAGTAACCGCATTGCAACGACTCAGACTACCTTAATAAATGCAAAAGTAAAGGTTGTTGTCAACCAGGTTTCATGAACACTCTGCTGTTTGTTGGACAAATCGGTAGTCCTGCCCAACCCTCCAGGCATTGGTTCAATTGCTATATAGGGAAGCTGATTCCCTTTCTTGGGAATCAACCTACAAATGGCTTCTTTGTAGTTGTCTATTAAGCCTATTAAGTTCAGAGAGGAGACAGGATTTTAACATTGAAAAATGTAGTTCATTGTCCTTGTCAATGTCTTGCTCAGCACTTTAACTCCAGAGCTTCAGGCCAGCGTCCAAAGTGAGTCAGCGTGTCTATTTCACATTAATAAAGCTTAGGCAGCTTCAAGAAACTCATGCCTCATGTGTTTGCCTAACACGAGAGAGAGAGAAAGAGAGAGCTGCCAGAGTTCTTATCTATGTCCCTGTCTCTGTGTACACGGCTGCTTCTGCTCACTGTTAAAGTGACTGCTGAGTGACAGCAAAATATTAGCTTAGCTGTCTCTCTGCATCGGGCTTGAATCCCTCTTGCACCTGCAAGGCCGTTGCCAGCTGATTCCTATCTCACGCTGAGCATTTCATCTGGAGGGGACTTTGACATTGCTTGACTAAACCACACTCTACACGGTTGCTGTGAAACGTGGCTTCCTGTGATGCGATGTGATTATTGAAATGTTAGATCATGGCTCCTCTGACTAGTATAAACTAGTGTGACATTTCAAATTGCCCCAACAACTAACTTCTCTAGGAAACTAACATGCTTTTAATGCTACACAGCTTAACAGCGTAGCATGTTATAATAATAAAAATAATAAAAAGATAAGAGGGAAAAAATGGATTCTGATTGGTCATTTCGAAAAGAAAATTCGAAGGTTAACTGGTTAATTAATTTCATTGTGTCATTTATTGAGGGCGTTTTCATACCTGAAAGTCTGCACCAAGGTCCGAACCAAAGTTCATGTTTTGATACATTTTATACTTTCAGAAAGTTTTGGTTTGGTTTCACACTGCAATGATGCGAGCGCACTATAGAACTTTACGTGACATACTTGCGTCCTGTCGTCATCATAAATGTGGGCTGCATCATGACATTGATTGGTTTGTAAACGGACGTACGTCGTCTGACGTCAGCGTGTTGTCAATTCGGCGGCCGGCGGCAGCGGGTAACTTTGGCAACATGAACGAACAGACGCATATCGTTGCAACTATATTGTTATTTTTATGGCATAATTACCTGCAGCACCAACTATACATGAGGCTAGTTCAAATTCGCCAAATGAACGTCCTCGTCGTGTGAACATTTTATAGTCGCTGGCAGGAGAGGAGAGGAGAAGATTGCAAGTTGACTTCTTATGTCGTCTTCAGACCATACTTTAATTAAAAACCTCGTCTCCTCATCTCACCATGTGCAACACGGCTCATTTCTCCTGCCACCGTCTGTTTTTTCGGCTTTTTGAGATCCACCAGAACTTCCTTTGAAAGGTTTGAAAGTCCGAACCATACAGAAATGCTTTCACACTATAAACGAACCAAACCTTTTTTCAGTTTGATCCAGACCGAGACTACCTCTTTTCGTCGGACCAAATTTCATCTGTTTGGTCCGAACCGTGGTCCGGGGGAGGTTTCACACCTATAATTTTGATTCGGACCAAGCTGAAAGTACCCTTCTCCAACATTGGAACTTAGATATCTGTGCATGTTGTGTTTGACAAGAGACTGAGGGGAAAATTCCCAAGCCAGCCAGCCCTGTGCAATTACCTTAAACTGATGTGTTCGTGTGGGAGGACAGGCCTCGATATTGGATTCCACCCTGGTATCAGCAGCACCCTCGCATAAATCTATGAGAATTTAGAGTGGCTCTGCTGGTCCTGAGGCATTTCCTGCAGTCACTGTGTCTGCGTGCAAACACAAAACCTTCTCCCTAAACCACTCTGCAGACCTATAGTTTCAGGAGTTCAGTAGATAGCCAAGTCTGTAGAGTTTTACCTGAACCCATGAGTTGGATATCGCAAGAGATAACAAAATAATGATTTAAACAAGTTTGAATACACCTCCGAATCTCTCAGCAGCATTTGTGACGTGGTGTTGAGTACACGGCAAGCAATTTCCTGTTCCTTAGTTTGCTAAAAAACATCTTAATGGCAGTGGTTTGGCTGGCACATGACCCCCGGGAAGCATATGACCTGTTTGCTGATCATGGGCATTCAGTTTTGGTCCAATTTTATGGGCAAATCACTTATAGCTTTTGACTATTAAAGGGATAGTTCACCCAAAAATGAAAATTCTGTCAGTATTTACTCACCCTCATATTGTTCCAACCCTGTAAGATCTTCGTTCATCTTCGGAACACAAATTAAGATATTTTTGATTAAATCTGAGAGCTGGATCACTCCTCCATACTAGTTCATAGGCTTCTTGAGGGATTGAAACTTGACAGCCTAGAAAAGTTATTAAAAACATCGTTAAAATAGTCCAAGTGACTACAGTGGCTCAATCTTAAGTTTATCAAACGACAAGAACACTTTGTGCGAAAAAACAAACAAACAAAAATAACGACTTTATTTCAACTATTCATTTCCTTCTCTCTGGGCGATCTCTTGTTGTACGTCACACGCATCACACACATGACCAGCGTCGCCCAACAGTGAGCCTACGTGTGACGTTTAACTGACTCGAGGCCCAAAGAGAAGGAAATGAATAGTTGAAATAAAGTCGTTATTTATGTTTGTTTTTGCGCACAAAAAGTGTTCTCGTCGCTTGATAAAGTTAAGATTGAACCACTGTAGTCACTTGGACTATTTTAACGATGACTTTTCGAAGCCGTCAAGTTTCAATCCCTAAAGAAGCCTATGGACTAGTATGGAGGAGTGAGAAAGCTCTCAAATTTCTTCAAAAATATCTTAATTTGTGTTCCGAAGATGAACGAAGGTCTTACGGGGTTGGAACAACATGAGGGTGAGTAAATAAATACTGACAGAATTTTTATTTTTGGGTGAACTTTCCCTTTAATGACTCACAGACTGGTTGATGGCACCACAAGAACAAGCAGAGGCTTTCAGCAGTAACTAATCTGACCTAGAAATTGAAGTATTCTTCAATTACCCTTTTCGTTATACTGGTTGAAACTCTTCACATCCTTATAGCAATCATTAATAGAAGTGGATTCTGTGGAAGTCTCAGGACCAAAAAATGTTAGTCCAATGTTTTTCCATACCTCCGCGCACCTGCTCACGCAGTCATCACACGTCATCAACGCGTTCAGTAAGGCACCGAGCGCCCCAAACGAATAGCAGCCGCGTTTATAGTTCCTCCTGAACCAAAACAAGGAGCTTATGCTGCGCTCACGCCATGTCATAACCGTAATTACGAGATGGCAACCCGTGACGTTCTAGACTCGGATATCAATGCCGAAATGAATCTGCAGCAGTCAGATGGTACAAATCAGATATCTAAGATGTTTACGTTCATAATTGTAATGTTATGTGCTTTGAGACGTGGTAATTTAAGTCTGTCTCGTGACACTTTGCAAACGCTGCTATGTTCGTTAATGTGTTTTGAAGAAGGCGTGGCTTTGGAGACGCTCTGAAGGGAGGTTGTGGTCTCATACATCTCATGCATTTTAAAGCTAGCTGGCTATTGCTAGCCTTTCCTATATTGCCTACCCTAACTTTAAGAGACCAAAACATGGGTACTGGTTAAACGTCTGCTAAATTGACTTGCAAGAGCAAAGCATATTTTGTCAAAAAGGAGTTATGACCAAAATAGGGCCTCTTAGATTATGATATGTCCTGTGACAGACTGTTTTGGCTCATTTACACTAAGTTTGTGCGGAATCAAACATATCAAAAAGCTGTTTTTCTCACAATCAGTGTTGATGTAGTTACTGCATTTTGTCTCTTTAGAAGGCTATGAGAAAATACATTGCAGAGAGATGTGCTGTTAAATCTTCCTCTCTTTTTCCTTTTTTTTCCTTTTTTATTGGTGGTCTGTTGGCTGAGTTCCCTATGTTTGTAAAGGTTAAAACTTCTGCACTAGTCTTATGTTAACTCTTTTGTTTTGTCTATAGACAAACTTGAACAATAGTGTATATTTTAACATTCTGGCCTATTGTCTTGACCCATTGACTTCCGTTGTAAGTCCCCTGTAAACATGACGTTGAGTTTTTACAAACTAAGGGACGAGAGTGAATTATTTTCATTCACATCTGGTGTCAATAGAGTTTAGAGACCCATCTTTCCATTTTACGTTTTTGGCCACATAAAGGAGTCCTAAATGACCCCAACCCCAAATTTATTAATTTAATATGATGCATCACAACTGATCTCATCTCATCTCTCAAATTTGATCTTTCCCAATGGCTGTGATCAAAACTCATTCTGAAAGTAAAACCAAACTTAATGTTTCACTTCATTAAATCATCCACAAAAGTTTTTTTTTGAGAAATTCCAATCATAAGATGTTATATTATTATTGTTGCAGCCAAAAGCACTGGCTCACTTTACTTAATAAATCGAGATCTCTGCATTGCCTCAGTCATTTTATTGAAACCAAAAATGGAAAAACAATCCTTTGAATGCCTCAGCAGTTTTCACCGTGCATCACACAGCATACGGCTTATATCAACTGCGCTTTTGTTTTGCGTGTGCAGCGTTTGCTATTTCTTTGTAAAGATTTAATTGGTCTCATTGTGGAGTTTTACAGACTTGGAAAACATGCCAGAGTGTTTTTTTCTTCTTATTATTTTTCTATAAACACATTTCTGAGGCACTTTTTGAATTTATGTTAAATTGGGGGTGTTCAAGGGCGCAGATCTGTGTGCTTTGGTTCCTGTCCAGGTAATTAAGGTGTTGTTCTTTATGTAATTGGTGGTTTTGAGTGATTTATCTCATTGATTTGTATTGTGGCATGTTTTTGCATTTGCTTGCAATGCTGAATGATATGAAATCACTTGAAATAATACAAGTTATAATTATCTACGTTCTGGTATAATCTAAAGAGACTATTTGTAGAGATGATAAGCATGTGAAACAGCCATTAAAATGCTTTTTTTTCTACAACCATTGCAGATGGAATATTTAAAATCTTTATCAATGAACATATTTTCCTGTGTGCTTTTGGTGTAACCTATCTTTTTCTCTTTTCTTATCAAGCATGGTGTCATAACCACAGAGGACGAGCAATATTTAATAGAGCCATTAAAAAATATATCCAGAAATTTCAGTGATGTCAACCACACAGGACAACCACATGTTATTTATAAAAAGACTTCCATTCCCTCTCCACAAGAGCCAAGCGAGGAGTTCAGCTGTGGTGTTTCAGGTTGGTAAACCTCCATTTGGCCACATTGTGACATAAACAGCTATAGATAGCAGTTTAGGAAATGATGGTCAGTGGTTCAGATTTTGGCTGAAGTCTCTGCAAACAGCCTCGTTGAGTGAAGAGCTACTCTAAAGTTCAGCTGAACCTCATTTTTTGCTACCAACTGATGAAAAATGTGATTCATATTTGTTTTCTCCAGACTTCACAATAAGCAGGACACCCTGCTACGATACCAACCCTGAAGAAAACCCATCGTACCAAGTCCCGGGCAGCGACAGCTCGACGGGTGGCCATCGCCAGCGCCGGTCCGTCAGTTCTGAACGCTTTGTGGAGACCCTAGTGGTGGCGGACAAAATGATGGTCGGCTACCACGGTCGCAAAGACATCGAGCACTACATCCTGTCTGTAATGAATATTGTAAGTTTGGTCCTGCTTTTCTCATTCGTGTTTGTCTCAAATGTGTGTTCAATACCTATTTAAGGGAACATCAGAAGAACTCGAACAGCATTTGGCTGACTTTGTGTCTTTTTTTCTTTTCTGGAGGTCAGGTTGCCAAACTTTACCGTGATGCCAGTCTTGGAAACGTTGTGAACATTATTGTAACCCGACTGATTGTTCTGACAGAAGATCAGGTCAGTGTTTTTAGATGTGATAATGAAGTTTTAATGCTAATGTGATTCAGAAGTCTTAAAGGGATATTTCACCCAAAATGTCAATTCTGTCAGTGTTTTGCTCAAACTCATTTTGTTCCAAACCCGCTGGACTTACTTTCGTATTTGGAATTTGATTGACTTTCATTGTATGGACAAAAAACGACGATACAATTTTAATTTTGGGGTATTTTATTTTCAGAAAAATGAAAGTCATACAGGTTTGGAGTAACATGAGGATGACCAAATTTTAATTTTTGCATTGAAATATCCCTTTAATCTCTTTAACACCTTACATCTGCATTTTGGTTTATCAAAAGGTCATTGTTTTTCAGCAGCACTTCCCAAGACTAGGCTAGGTGACATTTTCTCCTTAGTCTCACGCACATGCATACTATTCCTCATTCTTGTCTTTAGTAGAACCGTTGAGTATTTTTAGAAGCTTAGAAACACACCTCACAGTTGTCTGCTGTTTTATTGGGCTGAATAAGACAGATGGAATCATGAATCGTCGGACCACTTTTAAAGATAAAAGTTATTCGAACAGAGATGCCTAGACATTGTCCCACAGGGAAACTTTGTAAAAGGTTTTACATTAATGTCTTTAATGAAAGAGCCAGGGTGTTTGTCTCTGTTTTTTTGTTTTTTGTTCTCGGAAGAGTCAAATAACTCTTCTCAGACTGGGAAACCAACCAAAAGATCCAACTACCACAAAGATGATGTCATTAGAGCTACAATTTACATTGTACCAGCCAAATAATATATATAATAACAACTCAACAAACTGAAGCATTCTTTTTATACTATTGTGACTTCATTCGAAAATGCAGTGGGTCGGATTGTGTCATCTTAAACAAAGTTTGATATGTTACATTGGCGTTCTATGTTGCAGCTCAACTTGGAGATTAACCACCATGCAGACAAATCTCTAGACAGCTTCTGTAAATGGCAGAAATCCATTCTTTCTCATCAGGGGGATGGAAACAGTATCCCAGAGAATGGGATCGCCCATCACGACAATGCTGTTCTCATTACAAGGTCGGTTACTATTATTTCCATCTGATTTTAGGGCTAGTTAATGATTGAGGTTGGGAATATGGTTAGGACTATGTTTGTTTGAAAGAAATGTTCGTCCAGGGCCCAGATGCAAGACACCAACACTTCATCTGTTTAAAATCATGTTTGATGCCAAACAGTCATTTAGCCAATATTTGGTAGATTAGGTTAGTATATCCAAAATAATTTTATTACGGGTGTGGATTTTCCCCAAACATTCTTGTATCAGATGACCAATCACAACACACCGATCCAGCCGACCAATCAGAGCACATTGTGCTTTTTTTAGAGGAGGGGCTTCATAGAAACAAGAACTAAACTGAGCCTTACTGACAGACTGGGAAGGGAGGTGCTGCAACAATGGAGAATATGTGAAAACAGTCAAGCATGAAAATCTATTCTAGTAAAGCCCAAAAACAAAGATTTTGTAAAAGGGCATAATAGTAGGTACCCTTTAAGAACTAAATTGTCATTACAGTTGTTTCCATAAAACCCCAGCCAAAAAAGCATGTTACCGTCTCATTGAAAATTGTTTTTATTGACTGGAGGTTGTCTTTTTTACGGATTTTCCTTCAGTTTATGTTGTTAAATAAAGACCTTTCTGAATTCCCTGCCTTAATTCATCATGTTTATTCAAAAGCCAAAAACGCCTTACAGTAGTTTGTTTCAGTGATTAGTTTGCGGGCAATGAATCTGTTAAATGGCAGACAGTTTTTTTTTCTAACTTCCTCAATTTAGCTCAAATTAGAGAAGAAAGGCTTGTTTTAGGGCTAGCTGACATTTTGGCATTCGAGTTTGACAGTTTGTACTGGAAACATATATATTGGGTGGGTAATTTACAACTGAGACTAAACTGGTTATTAATGTCATTGTTAATTGCTGTTCACTGGTGCATGACTGTGTGGTTTGGACAGGTGTGAGCCTTCCTTGACGCCGTCAGCTGATACTGTAGACGTCACTCCTTGAGCAGAGATTATTGGATGTTTCTATTTATACATATAATTTGTTTAACTTCGTTGTGTTTTGCTAAACACGTGGAGGCCAAACACCTTTTTGAATTGACTGAAACAGGCGGTGTGTCTGACGCTAGTCTACAGAAAGTTTCATTTTAGGTTTATTCTTCTGAACTGACAGAAATCTGCCAAAGTAAGCCAGCCGGTAAACAACTAGCCGTTGTCCTGCTAATTTCTGGCAGACTGAGTTTTGAGTCTGGCAAACAAATGCTACTGGTTTGCTGCTATAAATGGATTTTGTTTAACTTTAGTCAGAGTTTTTCTTTTAGAAAAACAAAAAACAAAACGCTTGTGTTGTCTTATACTACATGTGTGGATGAATTGACATACATACTTCAAATAAATATAAATTACTCCAAAGTTCAGATTGTATTCTTTGGATCTACAGCTATTGTTTTAATGAGATCTGTTCTGATTATTTGTGGCTTTACTCAAGAAAATGAACAATAGTTTATGTGAAACAGTGAATAGCTATTAAATCCAAATCCGAGAATGTTCATTAGTCCATATATATAGACATGCAGATTTTTTGTTGTCTCCAACTCCAATCTATGTAGTTTTTTGTTTTTCTACCACTTGTTTACAAACTCGATCCAGACTACTTGATATATGAGTCCGAATGTTCAAATTGGAGTTCTTTAAAGAAATAAAAAAACACATTTATATAGATAATAGATAAAGAATTCATATATGACTAATGATAGCCTGGAGGAGAGCTTAACAATCAGAGTGATGTTCCCTTGAAAGCCTGTTAAAGTAAACACAGCATACCATACAACGTAATGACTCTACGTAATGACTCTACCCAGTTGTGATTATTTGTTTATGTTTGGTGAACATCACAACTTGTGTTCTTGGAACACTAATAGCTTACTATATTTCTAAATATTCATGCAACAATAGTTTATGAGTTTGACTAAAATGGTTATTTCAAAATGTTAGATGTTCTGTTTGTGTTTTGACTTCCTGTGTTCATTTGTTTTTTTTTCCCGCCACTCCTTAGTTGCCATGGACACCTTAATCAGTCATGGCCTCGTAAAGTCTTGTCAGCTGTGTTGTATTTCTTTGATTGGTCCCTGTCTGTCCTATTCAGTTGTCTGTCATCGTTGATGTTGGCCTGGGGCACGTTCAAGTTCAAAACGGCGCGCAACGTTTTGCTACGGTTTCCGGGTTGAACGTCATGTTTCCTGGAAACAGTTTGCACCAGTGTGTAACGGGGTTTGAGATACGTTTTCTCTTGTTTGGTGGGTGTGTCAGTCCAATCAGCAGCAACATATGTATAAAGCATGCGGTATTAAAGTGAACTCGCGTTCGTGGTTCGACTGCTCGAGACTGTTTTCCAAAGATGACTCCTGCCTGTTTTCGCAAAGTGGACTGTCTTTCAAATATGTCTTCTTATTAAACGGTCTGTACACTTACAACGTTCCGAATGCTTCGGTTTGCATGTTGGGACCCTGATTATGCTACCGTGTTAGTGTTGGGCTATTTTGAGCCTTGTTAGTGGTATTAACTAGCGATTGTTATAAGCTAAACCGTTTTAGAGATAAAACTCTTTACATTCGATAATCATGAAAACAAATCTCAGAGAACGGTTGACTACCAATGTGTAATTAGACCAAAGGTTCATTTTGCGCCCTTAATAAACGCAAAAATCCTATTTATAGTAAAGCTCTATATTGTAGCTATTACAATTTTAGTAAACGTTGTAAACTTTATAACTTCTGCAACAATTTTACAATTGCAACTTTCACAAATGCAGAAATAGTTTGGTCATTTATGAAGTTTGTGGCTTTACAAGAGTTTACAAGAGAATTATAGTTTTATAGTTAATTACTAAATGTGTTCATTTCTATAGTTTAAGTTCCAGTAGTTTTCCACGTTTTCTGCAGCATCGCTGCGGGTACATGAGGAAGAAATATTAGCAGGATAAAGACCACATCATCCTGACGGACGGTCCATTCTGACCTCTCTGGCGATGTTTTTCCAGTACTAGACTTTTGGCCGGAGCATGATGGGGAGATGCAATATTGCTTGTTTGGAACACGATCCACTGCGAGAGCTGAGGGAAATTAAAGTAACTAAATCAAAATAAATCGATGTCCAAATGAGGCCAGCTTCATGAGACAGTACCTAATGCTGGTGAGTTTGCTCTGCTTGGGGAGTCGTGGGATGAGGAGGGAGCCACTAAAATTGAATTTGCATTGTCCTCGGATTTCTAATACATTAAAAGCCTGTCTTCAAGGCAGAGACCTTGTTCATCATTCCTTGTGGACCCTGTGTATGCCATTGCTTTTTATTATTATTGAATTATCAGTACAGTATTTACATCAATTAGACGTCAAGCAAAACAGCGACTCAGTCTCTCACACACACACACATTTAATCTTCCATCTAATTTACTCTGATGTTTAGTATGCTGTTTTGTTTGAACTTACAGATAAAGCATTTAATAATGTATTGGATATACATACAGCTTTAGCAATTTGATGTCACGCTAATGGTATGTAGTTTATTATTAGGCATTTACCACCATTACAATTTTGAACCTGTTATAGTGGGTTAAGTACGGGACTGAATATGCTGGGTTCAGTACAAGTTCAATCGACCGTATTTGTGGCGTAATGTTAGATTACCATAGAAATTTTGACTCATTCTTCGTAAGTTTACAGTCATGCACTTACAATGAAGTGAAAGAGGCCATTTTATGGAGGGTTTAAATGCAGAAATGTGAAGCTTATGATTGTATAAAGTCACTTAAATGTAATTATTCTGTTAAAACTTGTGCATTTAAGCTTGCCAATTTAAACATTAATTTTATAGGTTTAGATTGTTGTAAGATTGGACACAACTTTGGACAGAAGAGGTTAATAAGAGATTTAATATGTGATGATGCACATTATTTTATTGTGGCTCTACATTTGAAACACTATCAAATTGGCTCCATTCACTTTCATTGTATTTTCCTCAGGATGGAAGTTGAAATTACACAGCATTATGACGTAAATGATACTTCAAATCACAGAGCTTGTTGAGGAACTTACAATGATAAATGAAAAAAAAAACTGATTTGCACTGAAGAAAGTTTCTGAGCAATATCTAGTGGCCAGACTTATCATAGAGACTTATAGGTGGGCTCTTTTGACTTGGCTAAGTAAGTTACCATCTAGCAACTGCACAGCTAGTATTTGCATAGCAACGCCTTGGCAACCACTCACAACACCTTAGTATTGTGGCAGAATGTTTTGCATGGGCAAGACTTGGCTAAGTAAGTTACCATCTAGCAACTGCACAGCTAGTATTTGCATAGCAACGCCCTGGCAACCACTCACAACACCTTAGTATTGTGGCAGACTGTTTTGCATGGGCAAGTACCACTCACATTTTCTTAAGAAATTGTTATCAGGTTTGATCTCACAGTAAGTTAACATTTTTTTCACAATTTATAAAGTGTATAAGAAGCGTATTACTTGCTTATAAACTGTGCAAAGGAGCACAAAGAAACCCTTGTTTTGATTATTTATTTTTCTGGCTGCGATATTCCAGTATGATTTTCCAGATTCAAAGATCTTTTGGCTCCTCTGACCCTTTTCAGCTGCCACAGTAAACAGAGCACATGGATATCTTCAGATCGACACCAAAATAGAAGGCAGATAGGAACTTTCCAACTACCAGTCTGACTGAATACGTGCATAACGTCTGCGCCCCCAACCCAAGCCCCTGACGCAAAACACAAAGCTTCAAAGATAGTTTAATGTGATTCAGATCAGGCTCTGCGTCTTTCCTCTGTGCTGAGGACAATGTCAAACAAAGCCTGGCTGCCTGCTTTTGGCCACACTCAGCAGGCCAAACTGCTTGTGATATTTTTCAGGAGGTGTTAAATGCCCCATTTGGGGAATAAGAAAATATTTGGCATTCTTTCATATAGACCCGCCGTCGAAATCGTTAGCCGAATGATGACAAGTCCCATTGGGGAAAAGAAAGGGTTTGGGTTACAAAATAAACAACAACAACACACACACAAGAAAACTAAGGCAAGAATTACAAACAGATGTTAATTTATAATGGATTCTTATATGCCCTATAAACTTTTATTGTAATACTTCTGTGATATAAAATAAAGAAATACTACAGAAAAAAAAGTAATCAAATGTAAAATAACACTGGATAGTCTTCATTGTAAAAATGAAATACAGATTAATGCTTACAATTAAAGTTATTCAGTCAAGATCAGCGAGTGATTTTCTTTGTCTTTTGTTCTCTGATTAACATGACAGACGGCAGCAGGTTTATTAGGCTGCTGTCACTTTAAGAGCTCATGCACAGATCCAATATAATGTTACACGACATGCTGAGAGGAGCCTATTGCCTGTGCCGATGGCAACAAAACGGACCGGATTCCGGTCCCTGCCCAATCGGTGCATCTCTAGTTACGGACATGAACCATAATCGCATAATGGGCAAATGCGTTGTGCTAATATTTATGATTTTTCACAAGGCAGATGATAAAATGGGTGAAAAAATCCCGGGCCATATCTACGGGAACAGAATATCATACAAGTCAAATCATGTCACCCAGATCACCTTAGCAACCCCATTCAAACTCTCTGGTCAGCGAGTTTTGCACGGTTTTTTATGTTTTCTTCAAAAGTTACCTCATGGAGAACCAATGAATTTCAGTCGTCTAAAGACCTCACTTTTTATTTCTTTTCTCTCTTAGGTATGACATCTGCACCTATAAGAACAAACCCTGCGGTACTCTCGGTAAGTACCCGAAATGAATCCTAAAAGCAAATATTCTTCGATTTAAACAAACGCCACTAAACGCCAAATGCTACATGCCTTATTTTAATGGTGTAACAAATAATTCTGCGTGAGTTTTGAGAAAGTCTTCACTGCCCGGTCTTTATTGAGCTGCTTGGCTCACGTTGAGCTCAAACATGGCTCAATGCCTGCCTGCCTCTACAGACACCGCTGTCTCTTGTTTCATTTCCTAACATTCCCACTTCTGTCTGCTACAGAACGGAGGTGTTTACCCCTCCCCTGTGCAAGCCAAAAAAAGAAAAGGAGTGAAGAAAATTAGACTATACAATATATAACCGAGAACAACATGATAAAAGAATAATGTTGGGATAACTGAGGAAAACGCAAACACCCTAAATGGTCTGTGTCAAAGCCTCGTCTTATCTGAACTAGCCTCCTCCAGGGCTGAACCGTATATCTTAGAAGTAATATTGTGACTCCAGGGGTGGTTTGACAGATTGACCGCATTCGTCACATTCCCCGGGTCCCTTTAATTGCCCTGGCATCTGCTCTGCTTCCTTGCTGCCCCCCCTCCCCTCCTCTTTCTCCACCTCCACCTCCATCTCCACTCCAACACCCCCCACTCACTCAGAGGCATCACCACGATCTCGGGTCAACGTGTTGCCCTCTGGGGGTCATCGCAGAGTGGGGATAATACCAACGCGACCCTCGGCTTAGGAAAACAAGCCCCACCAATGAGCTTTCGAGTCAGCCTGGGCTCACTAACCCTCTTCCATCCTGTATCGCTTTCCTTTTTTGCCCTTCTTGCCTCCAGTCGGTGTCTTATTAGCCTTTGATTTGCATGTCCGCTCATGTTTGGGCCTCTGGATAAGGAAGATAAAGAGGCCAGAAGTGCTTTGTTGGAGCGATGGCTCCCAAACAGTCACAAGCCTCCCTTCGTATCCCATATTAGGATTCAATATATTTAATAATATTTTGCCCACCGGGAGGTCAGGTTTAGACTTTTCAAACTCTTTTGTTATATTGTCAACTTATAGGAGTAGTTCAGCCTCATGCCATGCCAAATCTCTATTACTTTCTTTTTTCCCAGTTTCTCTGTGGAACGGGGGTCACACATGCCTTTCTTTCTTTCTTTCTTTCTTTCTTTCTTTCTTAAAAGAAAGCATAAAGTGAAACAAAACTGCTTTTTGTAAAAAAAAAAAAACACGTGGTGCGAACAATAATGTCATGTGGTGCAACCAACTTGCAGGAAACACTGTAAAATAAAGTGTTACCGTATTTTTTTTTTATAATAGTGTCTTTGTTACATATGTTACATGTACTTACCATACTACTACATGCAACTAAACCTCAACCAAATCCTAATCCTACCCCAACCCTATAGTAAAGTACATGTATTTAATTAATATTACTCTGTACTTAAATGTATAATAATGCTGTAACAATGACACCTTGAAATAAAGTGTAACCAAAAGTACTCATGCAGACTGTCAAATTATTACATAATCAACTTTTTTATGAACACTGTAAAAAAAGTACAATCAACTTGGATGTTTAAGTCATTTCATCTTAAAGTACACTAAACTGACTTAAAAAATGAGTCTTGTATAACTTAAATATTTCAAAATTGCAACTTGTTTTGATGAGTTAGTTCAGGTTGTAAAATGTCATGTGGTTCGACTCCCCAAAACCTTATGATGTTTATGAATTCATTACTTTTTACTACAAAACATACTGTTTTGAATATCATGATTAAAATGTGTACACTTACATGTATTGCAATGTGTAAAGAATATTTTCGTACTGTTTACTTATTCAACTAAAGAAAATGGTAGAAACGTTTTATTATTTTTCATTTAAAACCATATGAAACCAACAGGAATACAAAGAATCCACGTCGAAGAACTTCAAAAACAAATGAAGAGTTCAGATGCAAAAGCCTCTAAATGCTATTTGAAATTTTCTTCTTTAATGATGATTTTTATCAAACTTGTATAGTTTAGTTCAGTACTACAAGTTTGATAAAAATCATTAAAGAAGAAAATTTCAAATGGCATTTAGAGGCTTTTGCATCTGAACTCTTCATATCGTATCAAGCCATAACATAAAAAGCAGCACAAACGTATTATAAACTATACAACTTGTGGTAAATATGAGGTCATATGAGGGACAGACAGGAATTTAAGTTATTCACAGATCATTTTCCAACATGGCTCTCAAATTTTAAGACCCCAAACACCATTGGTTGTCACATGTCTTGCAATGGAAGTGACACACAAATGAAAATGGACATTTACTTCTTGTTCTTTTCGTTCTTTCACAGTACTTAATTTTATAAGCCCCAAAATTAGGTACATTTACCTTTAAAGAACCAAGGTCTCCTTGTTGATTTCAGTTTGCAAAGATAAACTACTCACCACATGTTTGATCCAATCAGAGGCCAGAGCAGGCTTCTTGGATCTTGGATGGTCCCCCATACAGTACATCTAGCTTTAGGGTTTTGTGTTTTCTTCCCACCAATCACCAACAGATGTAATCTGGTGAGAATTGTTCTTCTCTCCCAGGCTGGACAGAGGGGGGAAAAAAGAACTAGAGACACCTGGATTTCGCAAAAAGCCCATTTCCCCACTTCATAGCTTCAAGGGAACCCCCCCACTTCATAGCTTCAAGGGAACATCCCCTCCCTTAACAGAAGCAGCTGGCTTTGAGACTTGAAGGTTCAATCTTTGCTCCATCTCCTTCCATGTCAGGAAGAAACATCTGATGTGTTTTGTAAGACGTGATGTTAAATTAAGACTTCTTTAGGACAATTAAAAGGATAATTAGTTAATTCTTTTAAAAAAATGCTTAAAAATAGTCGTATGGCCTACTGCTATGATCATTTTGTGGTTGGATTTTGATGCTTGAAAGCCCCAATAATTGTGACTGCGTGGAAAAGAGCGACCAATATTTCTCAGAATTTCTACATTTTAAATTTTTAAGTATTTGTAGTATTTTCATCACAATTAACCCCCCAGATGTTTGTGGTGATGGCAATCCCAGAACAAAGACAGTGGAAAAAATTATGGGAGAAAAAAATAACTCCTCCTTATAAATTCATTCTTTAATATTAAATAACCAAGATGTATATAGATTAAAAATGCTTAATTAAAGTTATTAAAATTGACAAAAGTAGTTTGTGTGTGTGTGTTTGAATTGTCACACACGAGTCTCTAGTCCAGTGTACTTGGCACAATGTTGTTTGAATGACTTATGAGTTTCTGTCTATGAAGAGTGTTCTAAATCAGTCAATAATGATGTTACATTTCAGTTATCTTGTATGTAGTCTGTGGACAGAAAGACTTGAAAGTTTTATGAGATTAAGTGCCCTATGCCAGTGCTGCCACACAGAGGTGGCTTTCTACAAAAGTTACAACATAAAAACAGAGTAGATTTAACGTTCCTTGATTCCATACATATTAAATAACAGGCCTGTTTATTTATGGCAAGGAAAATGACAGTGCAGCTTAACGCTTAACGTACAAACCTCTCAGAAAGCCAAGTCCCTGTAGGCTGGGGACCAAAACACTGTCAGTAGTAAATTTCAGCTAATGTCAGTTTTGTGCTAATATCCAAAAATTGTCAACTAAATCTCAATTGGAACAAAACAAATATAACAGGATTAAGAAAACAATGATTTCTTTGACTCTTGAAACCTTGAATAATAAAAACATCTATATTTTAGGGGGGGCGCAAATTGAAATGTTTTCTTGAATTCTGAGCTCTGGCTTGCATTACTAGGTGGTCCCTTGTTACCAGATGTAGAATTTATAAATCTAACCCCCTTGTCTAGACATTTTCCAGCTACAACATCAGTTGTTTTTTTATTTAATCGTCTAGCCGTTAGTGTTGACCCACCCCCTATAGTGATTTAAAAAAACTTTCGCATAAACTTTTCACCAGCTTCAAGTTCAGTGGTTTCGAGGTTATTGTGAAGAATCTCATTTTATGGTGGTGACTCAGTGTAGCACTTCTACACCTTGACATGACCTCATCACTCTCTCTCTGTGTGTGTGTGGCCAGGTTTGGCGTCTGTAGCCGGAATGTGTGAGCCAGAGAGGAGCTGTAGTATTAATGAAGATATAGGCCTTGGCTCTGCCTTCACTATTGCACATGAGATCGGACACAAGTAAGTATATTTTCTCTTTCTATTTGTTAATTGACGAGTTAATTGCAAGCCAGATTGAAAATCATTTTTCCTGCACCAGGACATTTTCCTAAAGAAAACCTTAAAAGTATTTTCATGTAATCTTCTGTTTTTTATTATTGGTAAAGAAAATTATTCAATTAACAAAACAGCTTATTTGGAAAACTTTTATTCGCCAAATAAAGGTCATGTGATGCAAAAACATGCAGACACATGGAGACCCTCACGACTGTGTCAAAAATGTGTCTTTTTTATGACTAGGTACAGTTCATTCAGGCTGTAAAGGGTCATGTGGTGTAAAATAACGAATAAATGTAATGATATTTGTAAAAAATATATACTTTTTATACTTTAAAAAAATATATGTAAACAATTTTTTTTTTAAAATAATGATCGAGATGCATTCAGGGTGTTAACTGTTTCAAAACCATTTTTTTAAAGAATGTTTTTTCTTTTCATTGTCTTATTTTGACGCCTATTTCAGAGCAGTATCAGGTTGAATTGGATTGCGGGTTGCAAGTGAATAACATTTACATTTATGCATTTGGCAGACGCTTTTATCCAAAGCGACTTTCTAAGTACTCATTTACTGTACATTCTTACCAGTTCTTGCCTTCCCTGGGAATCGAACCCATGATCTTGGTGTTGCAAGTGCCAACACTCTACTGTTTTAGCTACAGGAAAGCAAAATAAGCTCAGATACAACTGTAGCTGTTTAGTGAATTCAACCATGAATGTTTAAAGGGTAACTAAACCCCTAGTCAGAGCCTGACTCCACCCACTGGCAATATTTGAAAAATGCTGAAAAAGTGGGCAGACCCCAGCGGAGATAGATGCTAAAACACTCTATCCTGATCGGTTTCAATACTCGCAATTCCAGCTCCTGACTTGCTACAGTGGTTTTGTCGAAACAAGCTGTTTTTTATACTGTCGCTCGTACCAAGAGCGTGGTGAGCTGAAACCTGCGTACGTCACAAAGTGCGGAACATCCAATAAGAAAATTCAACTGCAATAGCCACCGTTCAACCTGAAGAGGGCAGCACTAAGACGTTTTTACACCATATATTGTAGAAATAAAACACTTTATACACAAATGTCAAAAAAGTTACTCGAATCAATGACTGGTATTAATAAAGATCCATTCTTACAGATCATTAACTAAAAAAAGTTGGTTTAGGGTTTAGTTAGTTCTTTAACGAGATGATCAAGACTCTATTGGTGTCCTTGTGGTTGAAAAATGACTCAATATTGTACAAATGACGCTTTCAGTTCTCATAGGATATTTGGGTCTGGATTGGTTTTATTGTGGTCATTATTATGTATATTCCTCAAGCCAAAATGCAAAGCGTGTACTGCCTGCACACACATATTTATGCAAATGACAGTCTGAACAAATGAACCCTATCCTGAAAGCTTAGAAAAATAACCATGATCTATTGGTCTACGTAGCTTTTCGGCTAAGTTCAGCGAGATTGCAATTTCCTCTATTATGTCTCGCGTCTGCTTCTGTTGTGGATCAGTTGTAAAAATAGCCGCTACTTCTTGTGGGGAAGGTTTCTCCCGCACTGATTTATATTGAGAGTAGAGTGAAATGTCATAAATGTGTGCCTTAAAAAAACACAGAGGAGTTGTGTGATGTGGTGTGGTGGGGGGGTTATATGCATTAGAGACTGATTTTGGATAGACCCCGGCCGGCAACGAAAGCTTCGAGGTCTTGCTGTAACGTGATCTAACTTTTTCATACAATATCCAGACAGATATGTAAGGGAACAAAATTTGCACGGCTCAAATGATGTATTTGTGGAGTTGCCGGCAAGGAATGTGGCTGAATGCTTCAGCAGTCTTGTACGCCGATGGCCCATGAGCAGATGAAAGCAGCTTGGAGGAACGGGAAATGCAGGCCAGGTTCATTAAGAGATGGCTGTCCAATTGATGTCTGCTCAAACGTGTAATTACTGATTGACAGCCCGGGATCAGGGTGGTGATTACAACTTTCACCCTCCTCCAGAGCTCCAGACAGCCCCTGACCTTTGACCCATCTGTCCTCTTCTCACAGCTGTTACCGAGTCAGAAAAAGCCTCTCTTTACAGCTTAGCTGAAGGAGATGTCCTCCGCTCCTGATCTTTCAGAGCTGCCCAAGCTTGTTGCTTGTTTGCAGGGTGAGCCTTGTGATTGACATGATCCATCAAAGCTCATGATCTGCCGCTTGTCTCCCAGTTTCGGCATGAACCACGATGGGATCGGGAACTCCTGCGGGACCAAAGGTCACGAGACAGCCAAGCTGATGGCGGCCCATATCACAGCCAACACCAACCCCTTCTCCTGGTCAGCCTGCAGCAAGGACTATATCACCAGCTTTTTGGAGTAAGTGAAAAGAGGATTTGAAGAATGCATCTTTTGTCGGTAATGCTCAAGATTTTATAATCTAAATTTGATCCGAAATCCTGAGAACTTAGCGGGTTCGAAAACTTTGACAATAGGGAAGATTACTTTAAATAATTGTGCCTTTACCGAATGGACCCGAGAAGACCCAAATTCCTTTAAAATATTAAAATATTCCTTCAAATTACTTAAAATATTCCTTAAAAACTTTTCAACAGTTTTATTATAATAAAATAAATAAATTCAAATAAATTCAAATAAATACATATTAAATATTTCTATGAAAATGTTATTATTTCCTCTCAGTTTGTGCTTCTATATGTAAATTACCAAACCCTCCTGAAAACTAGTGTGCAGCAGCATTTCTATTCTACCATACCTGATGCATTTAAGAGAATGCATGCTGGGATTTGCTCAAAGGGTACCAATTATGCCCCTTTAAGTCTCAAATGACCCCAGAATCTGTCTATGAAGTTTCAGCTCAAAATACCCTACAAATTAATTATTACGTCTCCTGTAAATGCCATTTTTTCAGTGGAAGGAAAAACATTCTTGTTTTTGTGCATGTATCTTTAAATGCAAATGAACCGCTTCTCCCCCGCCCCACTTTCCACAAGAGCCTTTACAGGTGCCTCGGACACAAACAAAACATCTGTTTATTTTCAATTATCAACTCTACGGTATCTCTGTCACGTGACATTGTGTTTTTTTATCTTCATGAAAGTTTATTATCTGCATGTGTTTTAAAAACTATCAATCTAAACTTCTGATAGGCTATATGGTTTTCTGAGCGCACACATGCGAAGCTCGCACACAGAAACTGTATGTCAGATGGCGCGTCCCGTGAGTTTTAAACTAATTTGTCTTTCGCCTCTTATTGCATTTAAAATGTCAAAAACACACAATTACATGTCAAAAACACACAAAGTTCACATGAACACAGTCGGTGATGTAACAGATAAACATGGCGGACTGTGTACAGATCACTCAGGGGAGGAGCTAAGGTAATAGGGCAGATTCCGTCAGTCAATAATCGCTTTACCGTCGCTTTACCGAAGACAAAATCAAAATCGAAAATCAATTATGACTAATCGCACATCCCTAGTTAAGAGTATGCAGATAGATTCTTTTTATGCTTTATGCCACTTTAGAATTGTGAAAATTGTGAATTTATTTTTTATAAGCGCTCGATTTGAAAGAGTTCAAGGCTAGACGAGAGCGTGGTTGATCTGTAGTAGGCAGTCATAGGCAGGACTGTGAATTGTTAGCCTAACGTAAGACGAAAGGAAAGAATAGTGGTTGCCATGGCTGTCAAAAAGTTTTCCTGGTGAATGACCTCATGGAAGAAGATTAACATCACAGCCATCACTGGCATCAGAAGCTTTATCATCGTGTGCCAACTTCCCACACAAACACAAAGACACGCTGCTCTGTTGGTTTGGGATGAACTCCCTGTTGCATAATCACACCGTGTCATCTGTGACCATTTCGGATTGAGGTTGAATACTTTCCCTTCCTTTTTTGGATTTGCTTAGCACCGAGCAATTCATCAATAATGGGCCTTCTCTAAAATCTCAGTTTGATGTAATCTTTGGCAGTAAAACAGCTTTGCTATGATAATGCTAGTCAATTTCCGCAACATCCCCATCTAGCAGATTCTGGATGTGTGGATAGGTCTTTTCTCACCAGAAACTGGTGTGTTTGGCTGTAGATTCCGACTTGTTCCAGTGTACTTGTTTGTACATGTACAGTAGGAACTTTCAATAAAGAAAGAGGCTTTTGAAAAATGCCTTCTGTTTGCAGTAGTAAGTATTACTGTAAAACTGATCTATCGAACATGTATGCTCATTTTGAGATCGACATTGACAATAAACATGCCTTTTGGCCAATTGAAAATTAACATGTCAGTTCCAAAGTATAGACCATTTCACAAGATGTAAACAACACTGGTCCAGAAGCACTTCCTGTTTCAGTTTTTTAACACTACATAAAAGCTGGGATAAAATACAACCAACAGAACATTTAAAACTGAATCAAAAAGTTAAACAAGCATCTTTAAGATGTTTTCTTTACATGTGAAGTAAACAAACTGAAACAGGAAGTGTTTCTGGACCAGTGTTGTTTACATCTTGTGAAATGGTCTATACAATAAACAAACTTTCATTACCAAATATTTAAAACAATTGTAACGAAAAATGTTGAGTAAAAAATGTTGTCAAATAAGCATTTGATTGGATTTCTGTTCTTTCTCAACCATCGGCCACCCTGTTTTTGGACAAGATAATATTGCTTAACTTTAATTAGAGGCCCCGTCTACACCTGTTATTAATGCGTTTTGGTCGATCGGATCACAAGTAGACGAGGGAGACACATTCCCATTTACACCTGGTGTTTTAATCTGTCTCTTTTGTCCACTTTCAATCAATTCTGTCCTGGTTTTTTCTAGGGGAGGGTCTATGGCCAGGTAAATATGTGGGCTTTTTCAGATCTTTCGATCTAATGGACAAAATAAGCTTGTGCAATTTACATATGAGCCCACCGGAGATGACAGGAAATCATAAAGAGAGCAGCAGAGTGAGTGTGTGTTAGAATTCAGAAATGTTGAGAGAACATTGTGCTTGGTTTGTTTTTCATCTTCAAACCAAACGTGGGTTTCCAGCTGACAAAGTTGAAATCCTGTCTGGCTAGCGCACTTCCCGTAATGTTTGCGCATTACTGTAGGTCAGTAGGCGGAGATAAGACGGGTCTTTTGTGGCTGTTCGAACACATTCGACCACATGAGCGTTGAATGTGTTCGAACAGCCACAACGCAACGAAAGCTATCTGCAACAAAAACAATCCGGTTAAATGCGTTTTCAACTACCTCTGGAAGTGGTCAAAAGTGGACAAGCTCAAAACGTTTTAGACCCGTTTACACCTGTATTTAACCTCGTCCACTTGTCAAAAAGTGAGATGCCACAAAACGCGTCTTAATACCAGGTGTAAACAGGGCCTTAGACACAACATGGCCAGTTATTTTGTCTATTCTCGCTCTGTCAAACAAAATGATTCCAAATTAAGATAAAGCAGGATCAACCATTGCGTGTCATCGAACAAGAAAAAACGGACTCAAACACAGTCAAACTGGGGTGCGTTTCCCGTACAACGACGTAGTTCACTGCTTCACAACCATAGTGCGATGCATCGTTGGAAAAATCAACTAGCTAGTCACGACTGTTTCCCGAAACCCACTGTCGCAAAGTATCGTTCAACCACGTTGGTTTCGCACGTGGTGGAGTAATAACTACTTTTAATGAAACTGTTTGAGATCCAATTAATGCTAGATTTGTTTTTTGTAAATTAGACATGCCATCTGAGGAAAATTTCTAATTGTTCTCAGTTGTTTTGCTTTATTACCAGACTTAATATTTGGCTCGTTCTTACATAGAGCACGTTCGCACATGCGCACTCTTTAAATACGGTACTTTAAATCTTTTGAAAAACTAAAAGACGTAAATTACATTTGTATGTATTCTAAATAAAAGACACTGGTTGTACTGAATGTCAGCTTGCTTATTTTGCTCAAGATAAGGATTTATTACGTCCAGTATGTGTTGCAATATCGAAACGATGCCTCTAACCACAGGTCGAGAGCTGTCATTTAAATCACACAACTTTGTGATGCTGTTTGCGAATGTTCGTTGGAACGATGGTTTCGGGAAACACCGACTCGTTGAACTATGCTGATAACGACGGAACTTGCGATCATAGTTGGCTAACGATGCTTTTGGGAAACGCACCCCTGAGCGATACAAACGGTAATGTGTTTTATGCTAGATATCAGTGCTCTTGGAATGCTGCTTGTCCAATTATGTAGATTAGAGGACCAGACCTAACTATTATCTGTCTTATCACTAGCTTAACATTTTTCGATATCAATCAAACACTAGGTAAAACGATTGCCTTTTTTTGTGATTTCCTATTTAACTATTTGTTTTTGTGCTAAAATATTGTAAATAGTTAGTCATTAAGTTTTCTTTTATTGCTGGCATATCTGCTTGTGTGAATGAGTTTACCCAAGGAAGTTTTGTTGGACGTCAAATAAACATGTCTGTTTTTAAAGTGGCCATTTTTGTCTTTCTCTAAAAAAATTAAATAATAAACAGTCTTTGTTTGTGTATTCCAATAAAAGAGGACATATTCAGGCTTGTCTTTCTCCCCAGTGAGGGTTTTTTATTCTACCAAACGCATGGGAAAAAATAGAAAACTAAGGGGATGAAACCAAATACAACATTGGTTACCCCCAGGCTAGAGCTCATGTGTTTCTTTCCTTTCCAATGTATTTGGTTTAGTTTTATAATTAGATTAGACTTCCAGTATTGTGGTGGGAAGCCAGATATCCCTGTTTCACCTAATGCTTCCTCTAAAAATGCACTACAGAAACCAGATCCATGGATGTTTTTTTTAGACATCTAGATATATTTTTATATGCCTTTTTGTCAATACAATGTATGATTTTATCAACCGCATTAACTATTTTATTATATTAAGCTAACAATAAATAAGGGAACATTAGGGCTTATATATATATATACACTCACCGGCCACTTTATTAGGTACCCCATGCTAGTAACGGGTTGGACCCCCTTTTGCCTTCAGAACTGCCTCAATTCTTCGTGGCATAGATTCAACAAGGTGCTGGAAGCATTCCTCAGGGAGTTTGGTCCATATTGACATGATGGCATCACACAGTTGCCGCAGATTTGTCGGCTGCACATCCATGATGCGAATCTCCCGTTCCACCACATCCCAAAGATGCTCTATTGGATTGAGATCTGGTGACTGTGGAGGCCATTTGAGTACAGTGAACTCATTGTCATGTTCAAGAAACCAGTCTGAGATGATTCCAGCTTTATGACATGGCGCATTATCCTGCTGAAAGTAGCCATCAGAAGTTGGGTACATTGTGGTCATAAAGGGATGGACATGGTCAGACACAATACTCAGGTAGGCTGTGGCGTTGCAACGATGCTCAATTGGTACCAAGGGGCCCAAAGAGTGCCAAGAAAATATTCCCCACACCATGACACCACCACCACCAGCCTGAACCGTTGATACAAGGCAGGATGGATCCATGCTTTCATGTTGTAGACGCCAAATTCTGACCCTACCATCCGAATGTCGCAGCAGAAATCGAGACTCATCAGACCAGGCAACGTTTTTCCAATCTTCTATTGTCCAATTTCGATGAGCTTGTGCAAATTGTAGCCTCAGTTTCCTGTTCTTAGCTGAAAGGAGTGGCACCCGGTGTGGTCTTCTGCTGCTGTAGCCCATCTGCCTCAAAGTTCGACGTACTGTGCGTTCAGAGATGCTCTTCTGCCCACCTTGGTTGTAACGGGTGGTTATTTGAGTCACTGTTGCCCTTCTATCAGCTCGAACCAGTCTGGCCATTCTCCTCTGACCTCTGGCATCAACAAGGCATTTCCGCCCACAGAACTGCCGCTCACTGGATGTTTTTTCTTTTTCGGACCATTCTCTGTAAACCCTAGAGATGGTTGTGCGTGAAAATCCCAGTAGATTAGCAGTTTCTGAAATACTCAGACCAGCCCTTCTGGCACCAACAATCATGCCACGTTCAAAGTCACTCAAATCACCTTTCTTCCCCATACTGATGCTCGGTTTGAACTGCAGGAGATTGTCTTGACCATGTCTACATGCCTAAATGCACTGAGTTGCCGCCATGTGATTGGCTGCTTAGAAATTAAGTGTTAACGAGCAGTTGGACAGGTGTACCTAATAAAGTGGCCGGTGAGTGTATATATATATATATGTTGTTGCTATTTTATTTTAAATAAAGCTAAATTCATTAAAAAAAGATTCGGATTTAAGAACTAGGTGATTTTAATGAGCTTAAGCCCCAATGCACACTTGCTCCGGCCCTCTTTACATGAAAACAAATAGTTATAATTTAAGTTTTAAAGCCACTCCTTTCCATTTTTCCATCTTCAGACCAATAAAAGTGCGAGTTAGACCCGTATTCCATGTAGAAAGTGTCTGAAAATGTAATGGCAAACCGTCAGAGGGCGAGTGTGTCTTGGCTGATGCAATGTAAACTCGCTCTCTTTAGAGGCAATGTTGCTTTTAGCAGCGCACGGTGGGGTGGTTGGTTAACATGCTTTAGGTTGCAGCTCAGCGTTCAGTTGCAGCAATCATGCGAATGCCAGACAGGACCTAGAATAGAGCCGCCTGCTCTCCAGCAGTATGAAATGTTAGCGTTTATGTTGTTAGCGAGCCCACTGTTCCCTCAGAGAGAAGGAGAGCGTATTCCGCGGCATGCTGCTGGCAAAGCGAGCGAGATAATAATTGGCTGTTTTATTCCGGCGGACAGCAGCAGCAGCGTGGGGCGGACACGTCTCTCAGCCGCTTGCACACGCCAGGGAGGGGGGAAAAGCGTCCGTAACAGGGACGCCGAGAATAAAACAAGATCCACTTCTGAACCCAGAATAAACACAGTCCAGCAAAACATGCACTGTCTGGCCTCTTCTTGGGCTTTATTTTTTGACTTTGTTCACTGCAGACGGAGCACTGGCCCCCTTTTTTTTTTAGGGTTTCTTGGGAACGTTCATATTTCTATCTGACTAAACAGACTAAACACAACTCTTGACTGGACGCGTGACCTCCGGTACCTTCTGCGTTTTTTTTGCTCCTTCGGTCTCTTTCGTCATTTTATTGACTCTTCAAAGGATTCCATAGGCGCACCGCAGTAGCCTACCATATAAGTCCAAATCTCAGTCTTTTATGGCCACTGTTTGTCATTCATGCTTCCTCCCCTCATTTTGCGTTCTGCTTTTTCCAGGTTTCTCACTCGCTAATTCCTATTAACAATACACCTTCCCATTTCGTTTCATCTGAGCTTTTGGCATGAGACACTTTTTTTCCTCTTGTTGGTCACAAATGAAACCTCTGTAGAGGAGCCAATCCCATTGAAGGTTTGTTTTTTTGACAGCTCAGGTCGGGGAACGTGTCTGGACAATGAGCCTCTGAAACGAGACTTCCTGTACCCCACTGTGGCTCCAGGGCAGGTGTACGATGCAGATGAACAGTGTCGTTTCCAGTACGGTGCCTCCTCCCGTCAGTGCAAATATGGGGTAAGAAGGCTGCAACACACTATCATGCTCTGGGAATGTCGTTCTTACATGGTGACATTTGTTGGCTCAGAGACAAAGAATTTTGGGGGCAGAAAATTAGACCGTTTGGATTAAACCAGGATTTTTTTTAAATAACAATATAGCTTTAATCATAAAGTTTTCATTAAAAGAGAAAAAAATTAAATGTAAGTGTGAAATATTTTTGCCACTAGTGTTACCAAATGGAAAAATAATATCTGTTTTCAGACAGGTTTCCCAAACTCATGCCATTGGTTGAGACAATGTTTCTGTGTCGGATTGGTCTTCATACAGAAGGAGCAACAAATACATTTTTTACAGTCTTCTGTTCTAAACATCCGCACACATATCAATAACCAAAAATGAACTATTATCGCAGCAAGCACAATAGATTGCAGATTTCGAACAGAGATGGCGACAGAGGAAAAACTTTGGATTGCAGATTTAAGTTAAATATTTGGTTGTTGTGGTTAATATCCCAAATCGATGCCAACAATGGGTGAAGTCTGTTCGTAAGCAGTTTATGGACTTGATGAATTTCGGTATTTTTATTGTCTTTGAAATGCTTCATTCAAATGTACAGATTGCATTCATTTAAAAGCTGGTTTTGTTTACTTTATATTGTCATTTTGAGTCTAAAGAAACTTATTTAAAGTAGGTGTTTTCGAAACATTCCAAAATCATTTTGTTTCGATTACTTTTTAGGTGCTGTTTCAAGAATGTTTAAAATATGTTATTACAACTTTACCTAACTGCAACCTAAGGCCAGATTCACATATAGCGCCTAAACGCGTAGAAAACGCTGGGCGCGCCACATTCTAATTTGCACTCTGGGGTGCGTTTCCCGTACAACGACGTAGTTCGCTGATTCACAACCATAGTGCGATGCATCGTTGGAAAAATCAACTAGCTAGTTACGACTGTTTCCCGAAACCCACTGTCGCAAAATATCGTTCAACCACGTTGGTTTCGCATGTGGTGGAGTAATAACTACTTATAATGAAACTGTTTGAGATCCAATTAACGCTAGATTTGTTTTATATAAATTACAGACATGTAATTTGAGGACTATTTCTAATTGTTCTCAGTTATTTTGCTTTATTACCAGACTCAATATTTGGCTCGTTCTTACATAGTATGCACATTCGCACATGCGCACTCTTCAAACACGTTACTTCAAATCTTTTGACAACCTAAAAGACGTAAATTACATTTGTATGTATTCTAAATAAAAGGCATCGGTTGTACTGAATGTCAGCTTGCTTATATTGTTCAAGATAAGGATTTATTACGTCCAGTATGTGTTGCAATATCGAAACGATGCCTCTAACGACAGGTCGAGAGCTGTCGTTCAAACCACACAACTTTGCGATGCTCTTTGCGAATTTTCGTTGGAACGATGGTTTCGGGAAACACCGACTAGTTGAACTATGCTGATAACGACGGAACTTGCGATCATAGTTGGCTAACGATGCTTTCGGGAACCTGGTTGGTTCTTGTCATGTGGCCTACTGTGCGCTTATGGTGCGCTTGCGGCATTCTGAAAAGTTGAAATGTTTTTATCTTGATGCGGCGCGAACGTGCTTGGAAAAAACGAGCGCGTCGCTTCCATTATGAGCGCGCATACCGCGCGCCTATATTTGCGCGCAAAAGACCTGATATGAGAACAGGCCCTATGCAAGGAAGCGAAAAGCACTAAATATTCAATGTAAACACAAATGTTTGTCCTCACCAAGTGTGCTTTGCTAGAAAATGCCTGGACACAGAGTAATATAATGTGAACACATCAGATCTTTGCTACATTCTTGAATTCTTGACGCTTTACCTGTGAGGTCAGAACCTGCTTTATATGCATTAAATTCAAGAGCTGATATTAATAACACTGGACGATTCAGAAGGCGGTTTGGACATAGAGAGCAAGACAGCTACTAATAGAGCTCGGAGGAGACATGAAGCCGGAGGTCAAGCAGTTATTTTTACCACTGACCCAGAGGAGACTAGCCAAAGGACATGATTTGTTCAGCAGGCAAAATTACAAGAAGAGCTCTCTGATGTACAGAGCAGCGAGGGGAAAAAAACGTGCTGTGAGCGAGTGCTGTGGTGTCTCATTTGGACTTGTAAAGAATATATCGAGTTTAAGTTTTTGTAACACTTGCCCTGATTGTGGAGAACTTTTGGAAGCTTTAAGAAACACAGGTGATAGCAATCAGATGAGATTATTTTCACTTCCTTTGAGGGCTAGAAGGGAGGCTGCCAAGTTGACTCTCTTGTAGTACGTCACATGATGCCATTCATGTTGTCGAAAATAAAGATCGTTGTTTTATCAGCACCTGAAACAAGCTTTGCCGAGGACCGTTTGAAGTCGGGCCACATATCTTTCAGAGAAAGTCCATACTTGAGGTTTGTTTCTTTTCCTGCCGAATCCCCAGACTTTTGGAAATGATAATGATTTTACCCAAAGAATAACAAACTTAAGCAAATAAACTGACACAGGGGGGAAAAAAGAGCTTGAAGCAAGCCAGGAAAATTAATGATCAATAAGAGATGGCGCTCTGCTTAGTACAAATATGCGGCTTTGCTTTCTACACCAGAAAAGAATTAAATTACCCGAGATTACAGAGTTCTTTTGTTTCATTGAGAGATATATCCGACAGTGGATGAACGCATGCCAAAAAGCGAACCCTGTAATTTCTCTCTTAAGCTCATAACTGTGGTATAGATCAGCATGGAAGACGGTCATGTAAAGAAAAAAAAGTCTTGCATTCCCTTGGCTCAAGTATAATACAGCTTGTAGTGTTAGTGGATTCTGACAATCTTTTTTTTCTGCCAACCATCTGTTTAATACATGCCTTTGGAGAATTATAACCACACCAGTGAACTAGAGGTTTGATTTTGGTTTGGAAAAACTGTTACGGAGAGATAAACACACACCCAGGGGGTGGACGAAAAAATCGAAAGCTAAAAATATATTCATATCAAAGACCTAATAAGGTGTACAACCACCTTTTGCATTCAATCCTTCCTGGAATGCTATCATTGATATCCTGAATGGTGTGTGAGTGGAATTTTATCCCATTCTTCCCCAATAATTAAAAAAAAAACATTGAGCCTATTGTGTCTTTAGGACAAAAGCAGTGGAAATCTATTTCTTAATCTGTTTTGCTTCAGATCGGTGTTTGGATCTAGTGACTAGGGAGGATGTGGGAGGCATTAGACTTTATCCTTCTGTTTATTTAACCATTAATTAATTAGCATTGCATATGGAGAGATTATCACCATGGAATATGGGAACATAGCGACAGTGGAGAGCACCTAGTATGGTAAAGTGGATTCAGCAATTTCAACGTTACTAGGTCATATTGACGCTGGAGGCTGGATATGTACGAGTGAACTTGGAACAACTTTTATGCTGATGTCATCCATGTTTTGCATATGATGTCATAACATTTCCTTACCTCAAGGCATTAAATAATTGTACATTTTTTTGTGGTATATTCACCTTCAGCTGGTTATTTGACTATTTACCCTCTTTGCATGGGTGGTTGATGAACTCAAACGTCTTACACATAATGTGATTAATCAGATATGGACAACATATGTGTAATATTACATTATATTTTCCACCTGACCTAACTCAGCTGTCATAAACACTGGGTCTCATTCATGAAACATTCGTAAATATACGAGTCAATATGAGAGTGATTTGCTCGTAAAGAGACCTTCCCGAAAACGTCAGATGTGATAGTGAAATGTGTGTGTGTGTTAATGAATTCCAACCAGTCGTAAATGGCATGCGCGTACACGTTCATTCTCAATTACCATAAATCCTGCCCATTATATCGGACTGACATCTATATAGAGGCATATAATAACATGAATGGGAATGAAAAAGAAAGATTTCTCCGATACAGAAATTGAAGTTTAATTATCAGAAGTTCATTCAAAACACATTTTATTTTCATGCGTACATAGTGGCGTATCAGGTCCTAAAAAAGGAAGCTTGGCAGCATATTACAGATGCAGTTAATGGAAATTCATTTGTAAATCCAACAATCCCAGAAGTGAGAAGAAAATGGTTCGACATTAAGCTTGACAGCAAAAAATGAATTAGTTCACTTCGGAAAAATCTTATTCAAACTGGAGAAAGACTGCCATCGATCACCAGATCTGCTATTACTGGCTCTCATAATAAAAGTAAAAAGAAAAACCGTATGTAATTACTATATAAAAAATATTTTTTTCAAAATGCTGTTTTAAATACGTACCCGATTAAGGTGAATTAAAATGCAGCCTTATTAGTGAATAAAACGTTCGGATGTTAAGCGCACCATTTACGCGTGGCTGGGAGCAGGTGTAGATTTCTTGCGTACCAACTAACATTTGGAAAATACGATCATTTTAATGAATCCGAAAATTTCCGAAAAATTCGTTCTCCTCGTGTTTCATGAATGAGACCCACTGATGTTAGTCAATTTTACTCTTTTAGTAGTTTGAAAATTCTAAAAAAAAGTTTGATGGTAATTACTTTGGTCTTAGTGAAGTAGGCCAAATGTTATGCTACCCTGCACTCCCAGCTTAAACCCATCCGTGCCTGAGTCTTGCTGGTCAAGCCTACCCCTCTGACCCTCTCAGCATGAGCATCTTGAATGAGCCAGCAGGAAACCTTATTAAAACCAGCTGCAGAAGTGGAGCTTTTGCAACCCGAGAGTGGCAGTTTGCCGCTTTATTTAATCTGGATGGGCTGGCCAGCTGAGTCTTATTTACTGACCTGGGGTCAGTGGTGGTGCTCCCTATCATAAGTCTTTTTCATGGGGGCACTTCTCTGTCCTGTAAATCCTGTGAAGTTCAAGCTTTAAAGGGACTTTGTGCACTTTATAGGGAAATACAATGTAGGGTTCTACAAAGCTACACTTGTATACAGAGAGCATTATATGTTCAAACTTCAGGCCCCTGCATAGTTCCTTCAGAGCACCTTTGGTACGTTCGTCAGCTACTTTATATGGGAGTTCTAGCAATTCATACTGACTATGCCAAATTTGAGGGTCATACTGACTTGATGAGCAACAAAATGTCTTCAAATAAAGCTTAGACGTTAAAAGATCATTTAACTTCAAAAGATCCCACCGCTTTATGGCCAGATGATGTGCGAACTACATTTCCTGGCTTGATAAGCAAACTAGTAAAGTTTTGATGGGTGAGGATTAGGGTAGGGTATCGAGAATCGAGTATCGATTGGAACCGGGACTAACTTTTCATTTTTCCCGGAATCGTTCAAAAGTTAAAATTTCAATTCCTAGTTTCGATATTCACAGTCCGCCAAGCGGAAGAAGAAACCGCTGAACAACACCAAAGGAGAAGCGTCTTCCGGAAGTGTTGGCATAACCGCGCGAGTCGAACATGAGTAGCTTACGTCGGTGGTCCAAAGTGTGGCTTCACTTTTCTACAAATAACGAAATCTCGGCAAAATTCTAAATTTGTGACAGAAGGAGTATTTCCTTCAGAAATACCATTGGTTAGCAAGGTTAGCTAAACTTTTTTGACCCTGCCTCTTAAAAGAATCGGAATCGAGAATCGTTAGGAACCGGAATCGAAACAAGGAATCGGAATCAGAATCAGAATCGTTCAAATTTGAACGATACCCAACCCTAGTGAGGATTGCAATCAAGGTAAAAATGATTGCGGTGACATGCAAGAGTTGTACAGTAAGCATCCGTTGTTTCCACACATGTTAATGTTTTGATTTGTGTTTTAGTATTTCTGAATGGATCTGTGTACTGTAATGCAGTCAGGTCATTGGATTATTTTAAAATGTTTTTTTTTTTTTTGCCATCTCCATGTGGTCCTGTTCTGTTTTTCAACAAAAGGGTGGGATTAATTACAATAAATTTTTTTTTAAAAGTTCAATCTATTGACAGATTTAATTATGGGTAAAAGCAAGTCTGTCAAGTGGTAATATTCCCTTGGCCATTATCCAAGCTTCTATGCTCCGGGACAAGGAAAGTCTTGGCCTTAACAACCTTCCTCCCTTCCTTGCGGGCCAGGCATTAGCCACATGAGGTCTAAGAGCAGAGCACTAAGGTTAAGCTAGGTAAATTTCTTTTTATTTTGACCCAGCCCATAGGGAATACTTGCTTTGGGAGAATGTTTTAAACTGCGATCTTGGCTTGGCCCACCACTATATACATGTGAGCATACACGTGAACTGCAAGAAATATTGTTTCTCACTATCCTTGACCCTAAATACACAACCCCTAGGGAAACACAGGGGAGCTTCAGCTCTAAAACGCCAAAGCAATTGGGGAAAGTGCTCTCACCTTGCCTGGATGCCTGGACTCGTCCCGGATCCAAAAACTCCCAGCACTAGATGAGGTGCCCTGTAAAAAGAAAGGATGCTATATGGCACAGCTGAATAATACAAGGATAGACATGAATCCGTTTTAATTCTTTCAAATAAATACTATAAAATTGCATGAATTATCCTTAATCTGACCAAGGTGGAGAAGTTTACATTATAAAAACATACTTTTTAACATCAGGCAATATATTTTGATGTTAAACCCACTATTGTTTTATGTCTGATCTCATGACATTTCACGCTTTTTCCATATATATTTTACAATAATTCATACGAATCTGTACGAGTGTGGTCGTACGATTTAGACACCTCATAAAATGCATACGAATCGCTGTGAGATCGGATTGATCCATTCACTTCGATTACACTTTCAATTACATCAGAAGTAACTGTAATTAAATTACAGATAAATGAAGAGTTATCCCTTACTTTACATTTTCAAGGGAAAAGTAATTAAATTACAGTAACTAACGCTGACTAAATCCAAAATGATCCCACACAGTAGATCAAGTTGACCTGCTGCACTGCAAGCACTCGACACTCCCAACATTGGCCTCCATGCCAAATGATAAAAAACACGTCACACTGCGCGTGGCCGGTCGCGAACAATACACACGTGTCTCGAACTGTGACGAGTGAATTGAATTTTTTCATGAACCGTTCCACCCCTAGCACATGTTTCAGACGCCATCACCAATCACCCTGATGGGGTTTCCCATTGTGTCAATCCAAAATTCAGTGTTGAAAGGGAACTGTTTTTGCTTGCTGTATAACGCATAATTTGTCAAGTCAAATCAGATTTTGTCCAATCAAATTCTTTTTAAAATAAGTATGTCTCCTCCACCAAAACCACCTGCCACTGACTAGTACTATTGGCTAGTACTATCCTTTCAGTATGCCCCACCCAAACATCTTGTTTCAATAGGTATGTCAACGCAAGAAAGAAGCGATTTCATTGGGTCTCTAAGAAGCCTGCTGGGGATACCAGCCCACTGCTCAATGCTAATCTTGTTTCCATTTTTTCTGGTCTCTCTTGGAAATTGATATATTCTGACCAACTTGCTTTTGCCTTCTTTCCTAGGAAGTGTGTAGAGAGCTCTGGTGCCTTAGCAAAAGTAATCGCTGTGTCACCAACAGTATCCCCGCTGCAGAAGGAACCCTGTGCCAGACCAGCACCATTGAAAAGGGGGTAAGTCAGTGTGCCATAAGGGAGAAAACTTTATACAGTACAATAGGAAAGGTTATGAAATGGCAGGTAATGGGAAACGGACTCCTCGTGGCTTGGCCATGCTCTCATTGTACCAGAAATGGAAATAAGAAAGCCTATTCCCAGTGTTCACTCATGCAAGCAGCGTTTGGGTCATCAGTTTTCTGCCGGGCCAGGTTAGAGAGACAGTTTTAACAAAGATTAGGGTGGCCATTGTCCTCGCTCGTAGGATGGCTCAAGAGGAAGAATGGAAGAGGACCACAAGCTGTCGATCTTTGTTACCATTCGCTCAATGGATCTATTTACTGCCAAGCTCTTGTGCGTTGTCTTGGACAAGCAGCGAGCCCCAGGTTGAGCCGCTGTTTTTTTTTTAGCGGGTGCCGTACTTATGTCTGCCCCCGGCTGGGTCAGCATCAAAGGAATACGAATGTCAGCCATTTCTCACCCAGCGTGTAATGGAGTGGAGGCCCTGCCGGCTCCAGAAAGTTGATAAATGTAAAGGCAGAGAAAAAGGAGTGACCACACATGCTACTGAATGTGCTATCCACCGTCAACACTGATAATGAATTTGCTACATCGTAAAGAATGGCTGTCGAACACTGCAGGAAGCACAATGCCAAAAAACACCCATTATAAGGCAAAATTCATTCTTAATCTACTATTTAGGACTCTTCTCCTTTTTTTCATCTGATGTGACATGAAATAAACATTTTATAAATAACTTTCTTAATAAATGCCCTTATTTATCAGTGCATATTATTATTATTTTTTTTTTTTAATAAATAATATATGTGATAGTGATATATAATATACTTTTTAGTGAGATAGTGAGACTAGCCAATTAGTCTTGCATAGCCAGACCTTCAGACTGACGGCAGAAGGTCATGACTCTATCGGAGTTTTCATTTGCCAAGGGCAGCCCAAGATAATAGACCGGCATACATTTTATAAATTATTAATTCAGGAACATTGTGCAAGTTTACTGCAACACTGGAGCCACAAACTTCACATACTTGAAGTTGATCATTTTAGTTGATCTTAGTAAGCGCTTATTCTCAGTTGTAAACATAATAGCGTTTTTTTTCCATGAGGGGGTTTCCAAGCGGACCGTTAAAGAACGTCACACACGTCTCGCAGACATTCATCCAACTCGATGACGACTTCGAAAATCAAAAACCTGAAGTGTTTACAGTTAAGTGTGCAATATAGCCAAGCCAACAGTGTGACTGAGGCTGAGACTACTAGCCAATAAACCAACCAATAACCATCCATTTTGATTTTATCTGCATCAGCCAACGATCATGTCCACCAATATCAGTTCTATAATCTGCTGACCCCCATGTCAAATTATAATAAACAATTTCTGTATTCAAAATGTACCCCTTACTGCACACACCCCATTTTGAAATATCAACATGTATATTGAGAAATTCAACACCGTCAACAGAGTTTACAGTTCAAGACTCATAATTGCTCAGACTCATATATGGGGATATATAAACTCAAACATTAAAAATATTAAAAATATCATTTTTAAATGTATAAATATATGTTGAACCACAATAATATGGGGCTGTAGGATATCTGAACGTGAAGGGGTTAAATTTAAATGAATGGAATTTAAAATATAAATTAAAATAAATTATTTTATATTGTACATTTTAAACATTAAACAAATTAAAAACAATTTATATATTCAAATGAAATATTTGTTACTTCAAAATGCTTTACTTTCAAAGCATGCATGTGATACAGTACCTTCAAATGATGCTGGCGGAGGCAGCTCACCAGGCTTCAGAACAGAGCGTCTGTTAGATAAGACATTCTTTAAGAGGTTATTTTGGATCTGCCTGCTAGTGTCTTAGCACAGTACCCTGATTTCAGACACTGGTAGCTGAGGACACAGCCTTTTCCTTGCCAAGTTCTTCCTGTCTGTGAACGAGAGAAATAAATAGAGTCTGAGAACAAGAACAACCACCCAGACATAGGGAGAGAGTGAGAAAGAGACAGAACTTAACCTACTGACACAGTTGCACAGTGACGACAGTTTCCAGCGTCTCCAATCCTTATCCTCATGTCCCCTGGGTTGGATGGATTATGAGGTTGAGTGTTGAGAAGATTTCACGTGGTCCTGAAGCATTACAATGCCTTGAGTCTGTTTTTATCCTGGAGTAGATTCAGATTAGGGACAGTAGGTGAATGCGCTGTTTAGACAATACAAGATTAGGCCAAAGATTTTTTTTCTCAAATGACAGCTGCAGTTAACTTATTGGACATGCTAATTACAATCATAACTGTAATAATGAGCAAGGGAATGCTCATGGATTAATAATGTCAGAGGAAAATGGACCAATAATAGCTACTAATAAAAATACCATGTTTTTCCATATATCTTTTAAATAAATATCATTACAATTTTGGAGAATCGCACCTCATGACATTTTACAACATTGAAATAACCTTGCCATGTCAAAAAATGTTAAATTATCTGTTATTATAAAATACTTTATTATCTTGACACACGGCAGCAGTTGTCCAGTATCACCCTGAAATTTTTAATGTATTTTTGAAAAAAATGAGTAGATATGACAAAAATATCATGTCATTGACCCATATGTTGTATCGATCATGATATACCAGTTTGAATATGCCATTTCAGTAAATTTTGTATTGACATTTGTTGAATTTGATGCGATACTGTAGTAGACTAGCCTATAAATCTAGATGCACCCTTGTGGCAACAAATTTTTGTCTAGCAACTCTCCATTAGCTTTCGATCTGGAAAAACCAAACTCAAGCACATACTGTAGTGTATAGAGTCGACGGGCGGGCTTAACATAATGATGACAGAGTTGCGACAGTTCCCTGTTACTTGAAAACAAAGAATGGCTGCTGCTGCTGCTGACGAACAGTGGTCTTTCGAATTGGCCGTGACTCCAACCCGATCTCACGACCAAGTCGTACGAATTCGACGAATGATTAAAAAGTGGCTAATTCGTAACAATTCATACGACCTCACTCGTACGAATTAATACGATTTTGCTAAATCGTACATATTTTACGAATTGGCCAATTCGTATGAATTCGTACGAATGACCTACCCCTGACCCCGCCCCTAAACCTGACCATCACGTGGGTTTAGACAAATCGTACGAATTAGTACGAGTGAGGTCGTACGAATTAGACACTTTTTAATCATGTGTCGAATTCGTACGAATTGGTCGTGAGATAGTGTTGGTGACTCTGGAGGATTTGGAGTTAATCTTTTTTTTTTTTTGAGAAAAGAAAAAAGATTGGCACTTAAGTCATTCTTAAAAAGGAAGATGTGTTCGTAGTTTTGCCGACCAGATATGGCAAAAGTTTAATCTATCAACTAGCTCCGCTGGTGGGAAAACGCTCTGGTTGGTTGTAGCGCTATCCTATTGAGTGCAAAGGGAATTTGAAAGACAACCGTTTATCCCTCCCCTTGGATTGAGCTCTGCCAATGGTGAGTTCCCAGACCCAGCATCTTGATGTAGTAGTAGTATACGGTTGCATAGTTATAATTTTCTCTGTGATATTATCAATCTTGTAAGTAAAGAAGTTCATAAAGTCATTACTGCTGTGCAGCTTGGAAACGTCTGGGGTTGAAGCTTTATTTTTCGTTAATTTAGCCACTGTTTCAAAGAAATACAGCAGATATAGCAGATCTAGTTTCCAATAAAAAAAAAGAAAGAAAGATGGGGGTTATGGGTGGTATGTGGTGTGGTCACTCACCGGCAGAAACATAAGTCAGCGCCTATGGTTTCAATAGATTTTAGAGCAATGACAGAGGGGAAAATTTTAGAAGAACTAATTTCTCCATATTTTTGTGTTAGTGGTGTTATCAGGGTGAATGTGTGGCATTTGGGACATGGCCGCAGAGCGTGGACGGAAGCTGGGGACCTTGGACAACCTGGGGAGAATGCAGTCGTACCTGCGGTGGTGGCGTCTCCTCGTCCATGCGACATTGTGACAGCCCAGCGTAAGTAGGCAAAGTAAGCCAGAACAAAGCTGAACAGGTCCCTATTTGGTCCTTCTCGCATTACTGTTTCACCATTACTGTTTCAAACAATTTTGAATTTTACTTCAGAGCGAAAGACATTGATTTACAAAGTTGGTTGTGTAAAGTTGTTGTGTTGGCCAACAGAAAGCTGCTTGATTTGAAAGTGATGTCTGTGTGACTTGTGCTTGTCATATCTGACTCAAATGTAATGATGATTGTTGGTCCAAAATCATTTTTTACTTTCGACTTCTTGCCGTTTAATTTTTTTCTTGCCAGTTTCTCCAAACTTTTCATAGGTAGCCACAGGAGCTCAAAATAGGTTTGGATGTAGATGGAGTTTAGGTTTCATTCCCGGCGGTTGCGGAAATGTCTATCCTCACACTCTCGCTGCAGACAGTGGCGGGAGTGTGGCCGGTGTAATATGTAACACCTGTGTAAGATGATCGGCCCTTAAAACCTGGCTACCCGAGAAAAAGGAAACCCAAGCACTTCAAGCCAAGCTGCCCTGGAAAGCATTCATTAAGAGCGGCCCTGAGAAAACAGCACAACCAGCCACTCTTGGTGCCAGACGCCACGTAGGGAGGCAGAGGAAGATGGCCAGAATCCTTAGGCCTTAGGCTTGGCTAACCTCATTACGCTGCTCTCAGGGGTTAAAATAACCTGCTGAGAAATGGCCAAACAGCTTAGTTGTTCTCTGAGAGAGACCTGGATACATTCATCAAGTATTTATAAGGCAATGAGGAAAAAGTGCATACTGCCCTGCTGGTCATAACATCCTGAACAGACACGGGAGATAGTACGAATGTCTTGAGCTCTCTGTCAAACAAACACAAATGGAAACTGCTTTTCATATTTGCTTGCGGGTTGAGGAGTTTTCTAAATTTCCATTTATGGAACTGAATTCAACCTTGATAGAATACATGGATACTCGAGGGACTTATTAGGGGCCCGGTTATTAATTATGGGGATTATTGTTTATAGAATTGGAAATCACTGGCCTGAAGGGCATCTTGCTCTTGAACAATGGAACTCCATGTAAGGCTGAAATTGTCACAGTTCTGCAAGAGAGAGGACCCATGCGCAGAGTGAGCGGTGGTGATGTTTTATTGACATGACTGTTGACAGGGCCCAGCAAGTGGAGTGGGATGATGGTGTGGAAGATAAGGCAGGAACACAAGGAACCAGAGACTTGATGATTTCTTGGATGTAGCACCAGTCTTGCTGCCAGGCAGAGGCTCACGGAGCCAGAGGCTTGACACTTAGAAACCGACTTTTCCCAGGACTCACAATGAACAAGATAAGACACAACAAGAAGATAAAGCAAGACCAGAGAGAAGATAATAACTGACTAATACAGTAACTATGGCTAGATAAACAAAAGAATAATATTTTTTATAGAAATAATAGTTTTTTTCTGATTTATTTTGAAATCCAGTTAAACGATATGGTTTGGAGGTATTTAAATGTGAAGTGCATAATTATTGTGCTCCTATTAGGTCAGAGCAGAATTGCAAATATAATATATCAGCAATGACTGCCTCTAAAAGAAACCAGTGACATGTATTTAAGAGGGTTAATATAAGTAAATATTATTTCAGGATATATATATATATATATATATATATTTATAGAAGTTTATTTTGAGTGCCACACTTCCTGCTGCCAGCTGGTGGCGCTATAACAGTTACCCACAATAGCCATATCCATTTAATCAGCTGCTATGGCTGAACATACAACCCCAATTTTATTTAAATAAGACAATGCACTTGGATGATATGAGACTCTTCCCGTTTGAAATTTTTGCCTGTAATGTTTTCATACAGTATATCATGGCACCAACAACATTGAGGATTTAACAAATCTGTGGCAATATAGACCCAGTTTGGTGCAAATCACAATAAATCATGAATCCTTTTTAAAAATTCATAGCCTGTGCTAAACAAAAAAAAAAAGAAATGGCTAACTCCGTTGGGCGGAGCTAATGATTTTAATTTTGAAAGTTCCCCAGCTTGATGAAAACATGTATAGAGTTTGGTAACTGTAGGTAAAATTGACTACACATCAACATTCAAAAGAGGGCGCTACAGATGTGTCTAACAATATACAGGTCAATTAGTGATAATGGGTGACGTCACAAAAAAAATATTTTATTGTAGGGGTCAAATAGTTTGACAAATGAAAAATATTTTGGTAAAATTTTGTCAGATGGGTTTCTATGATGTGTCACACCAAATTTCATATGAATTGATCAAACAGCCTCAGGGGAGTTTAGATAGGCATGACTGAGAAATTCGAAATGACGGTGCTGTTTTTAATACATGATTGTTTTCAAACTTGCTATTTCTACTGCCCCAGAAGTGTTTTCACTCTTTGAGAAGTCAACCTATGAATGACTTACTTATATGTGTCTTCGCACATTGAATTGGGATAGAAGGAAGAATTTTAATGTTGAAAAAAATGACACACATGATCTTTAAACTGGTCTGAGATCAGCACAAAAGATCTGAAATATGGCTTTGTGTGTGATCTGATGACCCAATCTGATCTTTAGGACACTAAACTTCAATCTGGAAAAATATGCTTGCATGTAGAGATTACTGGACCATTAGTCTTCCTCTGTAAAAGCAAATGCGCTTCAGATGCTGTCCGGTAAAAAGATAAGTCTAAGTCTAAGTCTAAGGTGTTGATTAGAATAGTGTGTGGATGCATTTTTCACATTGATTTCTTGTCTCTCATGATGGTACCTCATGAGTTTATTTTTTATTCAAACTCTTTCAGGCCAACAGGCGGAGGGAAGTACTGTCTCGGAGAGAGGAAGCGCTACAGATCGTGCAACACTGACGTGAGTTTTTTTCTGTAATCTGAATGATTTTGACTTCTGCTGATTATGATTTATTGGATTATGACAATACATATATTCTCATTTAAAAGTTAAAATGGTTTTATTCATTTTTTTTTTATATATAGCTTTCATGCTCATGTGTTTTAGCTTTGAGGTTTTCTAGATTCTAGTCTAAATCTAAAAACGCCAAAATTCCATTCACAGATACTTTTCTCTTCTGGTGACTAATGTTGGACTTTTCATTTTCTTTTCAAATGCTCTCTAGAATGAGCAGCTAATCGTGGTTTTAGGACTGGGACTATTTTACAAAAAAGGAAAAAAGGGGCAAGCCTTTCAATATGTCCCGTCCAGACTTCCTGATTCAAAGGAAACGTCACCACAGGACTTTATGGGGTTTTTAAGGTGAAAATTGAGCTTGTTCTGCATCCTTGCTGCCACAAATCTTTAAAATAACAGTTAAGCACAAGCAACAAATGTGTGCTTTGGAAAACAAACAGCACCCCCTTGCACTGAAAATGAAAGGGTCTTGTCCAACACAAACTTGTTGTGGATATATGGACTATTGGTGACATTTGGTCATATTTTGGGAGCTTTAGACAGCAGCCCGGCGCTGATTCAGCGCTTATAAAACAACAACCCCATCACGAATGTAATGTAATTGGTTCTTTGACCTCCTGGAATCAAATGAATCTTTTTGAAGGAGACAACCAAGGGTTGAACACCACTCTGGCTGTTTATGTGGGGCATTCCAACGTCTGGATTTATTATGGCTGTGGCTTTGAAATTATTAAGTCATTGAGGATACGGCCCCCCTACGGCTCTGGTTCCAGCCACGGCTATTGTTCAGTACCAAGCAAAGGTCTGCTATCATTTGTTCTACTTTTCAAAACAATGAGCTAATCCGCACCCCTTCACTCACTGCTGACTCCATGATCCGCCAGTTTACATGGAGGCTATGGTTAATAACAATGCTGCAATGGAAAAAGGCCAAGTCGAGTTGCATATTAAAGTTTAATTGGCTTTAGGGCAATAATGTTTAAATAACAATGTGAGTTCATTACACTGTGCACGTACATTATTTGTTTTTGTTTTTTTAGAGGGGGGATTTTTTTGTAATTACAAGAGGCAAAAAGACACTAGTTTGATAAAAAAAAACAGTAAAACAGTAATATTTTATATAGTGATTATTTTAAAGCACTTTAAAATAACTGCTTTCTATTTGAATATATTAAATGCAATTTATTTCTGTGATCAAACCTGAATATTCAGCGTCATTACTCCAGTCTTCAGTCACATGATCCTTCAGAAACATTCTAATTTGATTAATTGATGCTCAGGAAACATTTAGTACTGTTGTCTATGTTGAAAACAGTTGTATTGCTTTACATTTTTTGTGGATTCCAAGATACAGTAAATAGTAGGGATGCACCAATATTAAAATTTTAGCCGATACCGATAACCGATATATCGGCCGATAAACTTAAATCCAAATTTTTATCTAATTTTGAGAGCCTGATTACAAATACAAAAGTCTCACAATTAAATCCATGTCCCAAGCGCACAATTATAATGATGTTCTCATTATAGTGTATAGCCGATATGACAGATTTGCGCTGCACATGTTGTACCGAACCATATTTTCATTTTTTGAAGAGATTTCAATTATATTTCAAGAAATTCAAAAACATAAACAGTGCTCAACAAGTGTCTCAACTGAAGGGAATAATACATTATTTATCGGCTTTAATATATCGGCCACATTTTCTTACCAGGCCGATAACGATAACATTAAACATACTATATCGGCCGATACCGATATGCTGGCCGATATATCGTGCATCCCTAGTATATAGTATGAAATACTTTGATGAATAGAAAGTTCAAAAGAACAACATTTATTTGCAATAGAAATCTTTTCCACCCATGTAAAAGTCTTTACTGTCACCTTTGATCTATTTAGTGCATCCTTACTGAATAAAAGTTTTAATTTATTTTAAAACAAATCTTACTGACCTAAGTTTTAAATGGTAGGCTAGTATGTGTTATATTCCTGTGACTACTGTCTTGGTTACTATTGTAAACTCAGTTGCCTGATGGAGGGGACAAGACATGGTGTCGAATGTTGACACTATGGGTCACACTTGGGAGCCCTGATACTTCAGAAAAGGCCAATAAGAATTGGCAAGAGGAATTTGCATGCACCACTCCCCCGTACATACGGTTACAAAAGGATCTGGCGTGCATCCACTTATTCAGGTTTGTGCTTAGGAGCCAAGTGTGTGTCCCGGCCATTCAGAGGGTAGTTCAGCATTGTGGCAAGAGGGGACACCACGTCTCGTTCCCTTAGTCAGGGAACAGAAGTTACAATAGTAACCAGTCATTTCAACATGATGTCAAAAGCTAGAAAACGACACAACTGCTTATCTGAGTTACGAGGTGGTTATAAAACCCCTGTGGGCCGGGTAACATGTGCATTCGCGACATCATAACCTACCCTGCGCCCCACATAAGCCGTGTAGTTTTTTGTACCCATCGGGACAGTATTTGCAATGAGAAAGGGTCGCTTCAGCCGGACTTCCTTGACCTTTTCTGTTTTTCTGGGAAGCACACCAGTTTGACTCCACTTCAAAGAATTTGCCTCCCTCGTAGAGCTCCACTCTAGCCTGAGTGATGGTGTCTTTCACTGTTGGTGATAGCCCACTCAAGTTTTTCACTTCCTGTCCAGGGGCCAGTTGTGGAGGTTCCATAGGTCTGGGAGCAGGTGCCAAATTGTGCTACTTATTTCCTCAGGGGGATTTTCCAGAGAGGGACTGTCGTCAGGAGCCTGAGCTCCAAGAACCAAGTCCGGGTAGGCCAGTGCGTCCGTGCCAAGGGAGGCCTTGGTCAAGGAATACCTCAGAGAGCATTCCTGGGAAGCGAACAGATCTACCTGTGCTTTGCTGAATGAACTCCAGATCAGCTGTACAAACTGGGGCTCCACTCTTCTTGGAGCATCAATTGCCATAACAGCATGTCTGCTGCACGGTTGAGCTCGCCTGGCGGTTTTGTATGAAACCGTTGGCGTGTTGCCTGTCCAGACCAGTGATGCGCGGGTTGATCCGAAATGAGCGGGTGCCTGCGGTCACCCGCGGTTACCCGCAGTTACGGGTCATCCAAAAATGTTTTTAATGATATTCGGGTCGCGGTCGGTCGGGTCGTTTGAAAAAAAGATGCCAATTAAACATTTGTATATAGTACTAGACACAGTTTTTGATGAAATATACAGCCCTACACATTATTGGCTGAATAACTGGCACGAAGATAACACACGAGCTCAGTCTAAACAGTTCTCGGTTCTACTAGTGATTCGAGAACCGCTGTGCCTGTGCGTTCGGTATGCAGTATCAGCTGCTCGTGCTGATCACTTCTCTCAACAGTGGCAGCAACATGTCTCGGTTCAGTGAACTGTTGGAGTTACTGGAGTAAAATATAATTCAGGATATTGATTTATTTCGATTCGGAGGCGACTGTCAGGAATGTCTGAAAGTGAGTAACTTTAGTAACTTGTGGATCAGCACTGACGCAAGACGCCAGAACGATTCAGTTCGAGTGTACTGGTTCGACCGGTTCACTAAAAAGAACCGGTTCAAAAGAACGATTCGTTCACGAACCGGCCGTGTCTACGATGATCACTACAGTCTGCAGAGAGATGGAGGCGGCAAGAGAAAAGGTGAAGACTGGGGAGTGGAAGCTCCGCAAACACACAAATAGAAAGAGTAAAAGTGTGGGAGACATTTGCTGAAATAATGAAAGATGATGACCAAAGTGCTGCCTTTGCCTTTGTTATGTGTAGGCCTACGTCTTCTTGCGATGCTGTGTTGTTACACGTCTATATGGCCCAATAACACTCCGATGAGCATTTACTACTTTAAAAAAATGCGGTCAGGAAGCGGGTCGAGTACAATTTTTTTTTTTTTTGCGGTCCGAGTTGCGGGCGGGTAGTTGAAAACGTCGGTCGGTTGCGGGTTGTTTATACATTGACCCGCGCATCACTGGTCCAGACCAACACGTGCTTGTCTTGGATCAAAGGCTGAAACCTCCACAGGGCTAGCAATATCACAAGCAACTTGAGGCAATTGATATGCCAGCATTGACAAGGTCCTGTCCAGGAACTTGAGGCTGTGCACCTGTTACATTCAGCTGCCCAGCCCATCTTGGATGCATCTGTTTTCATCCCGAGGGTAACGGAAAAAAAGAGGGTAACGCTTCCTTTTACAGTAGAGTACTTCTGTGTACTTACAGTGTACTTACCTGGAAAGTACTGGCTAATATAAGGTAAGTACATGGGTTAGGGGTAGGTTTAGGGGTAGGTTCAGGGTTAGTACCTAGTTATTACCAGTAATTGTAATTGCTATAATAAGTACATAGTATGTACATGGGTAACAGGACTGTAAAAGGAAGCGTTACCGAAAAGAGATGCTCTGCACTGACGAGAGCTTACTCTTTTCTCAGTTGACCTGAAGTCCCAATCGACTGAGGTGTTTTAGCAGATCTCAAGAGTGAACTTGAATCAGCCAGCCAGCCATCCAGAGAGATAATTGAAAATGCCTACTTTGCTTAATGAGGCAAGGGTGGCCTCTGGGACTTTTGGTATGACGCGAGGAGACAGGGGCAGCTCAAAAGGTAAGACCTTGAACTTATATGCCTGATTCTCGAAGGCGAACTGAAGAAACGGTCTGTGTTGAGGAAAGGTTGAGACATGAGAAGAGTATGCATCCTTCAGGTCTATCACCGCAAACCAATCATGTTGGTGAATGCATGTCAGAATGCGTTTCTGAGTCAATATCTTTAACTGGAGCCTGTACAAAGCCCGATTTAAAACTCAAAGGTCTAGGAATGGTCGTAACTCTCCAACTTTCTTTAGGACAATAAAGTAAGGGCTGTAGAAACCCTTCTCCATTTCAGCTGGAGGGAATCTTTTTTGCGCCCTTCACCAATAGGACCGCAATTTCCGCATGTAGACAAGGGGTATATTCCTGCTACTGAGGCAAAGAGGCAAGAGGCATCTAGCATGGTCGAGTCTGATTGTCCTGATAAGCCAGTGTGAAGGGTTGGGAAACTTTAGACAGGCTCCTAAACTCCACACGAGTGCCACCAGAGGAGCAATCGTGTTTGACATATGGTGGGGTGGCACAGCAGAGCATTGGCCTCCATGCTGGAAAGCTGTGCGTCCCAATTCTGTGGCTGTAGGTGTACTGGAACACCAACCTTGCTGTGCAAACCCCAACTGAAACTGGCGGGTGAAGAAGCTTTGCATTCTCTGAACATGCCAAAATGACCTGTGTGGGGTTTTGTGTGTGCTGCAACGAAACATGAGGAGGCAGGGGCTCACCTTCATCATGTTCGGTCTGCAGGTTGTGTGACCCAGGAAGTGCGGAGTCTGTTCTTTCTCTGAAAAGGTGGCGAAAAAAAACAACAAAAGGAAACCTAGACAAGGGGTGAATGCATGTCAGAATGCGTGTGAATCCTCCAGGCGAAGGAGCGGTGCGTTCATTGGCTTCAACCGGATTCAAACAATACCCAAGTGTTTGGATGCCACAGTTGGTTGTGTTCAAAGCCACGATAAAACACTCTAAAACTACTTAAGAAATATTGTCAAATAAAAATCTAGAAGAATGAGTTTTATCAAGAGCACTGCACATCTGCCTGTGTGGGACATAAATTCTTATAAAATCCATTTCTCCAAATGAACCATGAACCTTTTTGTGCAACCATGTCTAGAGTTTACCAGAAAGGGTTAAAACCAAAATTAAAGATGGCTGGCTCAATTTCCCAAATAACTCTGGCCACTTCAAAAAAATCATATACCTACTGTATGGTGTAGCACCATGCTATAGGACTTTCCATCACCAGTGACTGCTGGGAATCTCTGACACTATTTAATATCATCCAGTGTATGATTTGTAATTGAATAAAATGAAAGTATTATAAATACTTTGTAAGATAATTTAATATACATGAAAGTAAATGAGAGTACCATCTGAATGCTTTTACAAGGCCTCAAAGGATCATTCATTTGCAGGCTTGTCCAGCAGGATCACGTGACTTTAGAGAGAAGCAGTGTGCCGATTTTGACAACATGCCTTTCCGTGGGAAGTACTACAACTGGAAGCCATACACTGGAGGTAAGTTCCCAGCCCGCAACACAGAACAACAGGCTACAGAGGGAGCCGCTTTCTCCCACAGCCTTCCCAAGTCTGGGCTCCAGTGACCGTATACATACTGGCTTGCTGTGTGTACCCTGCTAACACCAACAGTGTGAAAGTCTCTTTGATGGTCTGAAAATTCTTTAGATTCCAGAGAGAACACCATTTATCGCTAGTCTCTCTCTCTCTCCCTCTCTGTGTATGTCTGGGCGTGTGTGCATTTGTGTGGCCATGTTTTGGTATACTGTACTTGAAAGGACCAAATGTCCCCACAAGGATAGTTAAACCTGAGATTACCTACATTGTTAGGACCGCTGGCTGGTCCTCACAAGGGAAATTGATTAATTAACATAATAAATTGTGTTTTATTTATTTATCTATTTATTTTTGGTGTGTGTGTGTGGTGGGTAGGTTTAGTGTAAGGGGATAGAATATGTGGTTTGTACTGTATAAAAATCATTTCTATGGAGGTCCTTTGAAGTATAGCAAAACAAAAGTGCGTTTGTGTGTGTGTGTGTGTTTGACTGCGTACGTACTCAAGTCTCTCAGAGAGGTCAAATCTGCAAAAGTACAATTTTCAATTTAATTAGTTCACCCAAAATTATAATTCTCTCATGTAATTCCAAATCTCTGTGACTTTCTTCTGTGGAAAAATAAAGAAGATGGCAAATGTTTTGTTTTTATATCTATACAATTAAAATCAATGGGGTCTAATGTTGTGTGTATATATATATATATATATATATATATGAATTTTATGAATTTAAACATATATGATCACACAATTAGTATAATTGCTTTTGTCTGCCCTATGTAATGTTTTTGAATGCTCTTCAACTTTTTTCACAAAATAATTGTGATTTATTTGTTTAATTTAGTAGCATGAAATACAATTAAATTTGATTTCTGTGTCAGATATCAATATCAAACCTCAACCAACATCGTACCAATCTTTGACCCCCTTTTTGTTTCATTGGGTTTTTCTCTGACACATTTTCTGACAGCTTTGAAAAAGTGCAGCCGGAAACCCAGTGGGAAGGGTGTATGTTTACAACAAAATGGCCCGAACCCAATAAACAAAGAAAAACTGCGAGAGATCAAGAGGCATTTCCAAAACATTCTGATGGGAAGTTCACAGTCGACTCAATCATCTCCTTATCTCACTGCCCTGTAATAAGCATTATCATTACCGATTGTTTGGCTCTTAAAACTCATTTTGGAGGTGAACTTCACTTGTAAAGTCTGCGATAACCTTTGTCGATGTCTCCATGATTTTTGTTGGCAGCTGTGTTAATCTCTCCCCGTGTCTGTGCAGTAATGATGTCAGGCAGAACATTCAGATTCCACTATGAGTAATGCCTCTCGTGTGCTCGAGTGCTTTGACTGGATTGTTAATATCAACAAAGGCATAAAAGAAAACCGTGGGCCCCGTCTGAGAGCCCTGGCTCGAGACGGTTGCAAGAAAAGCAGACTGCGAATTACTTATCAATGCACTGGTGAGGCGAGAGGCTCTGTTATTCCGTATAGATTTTTGCTTTATCGTATGACATAAATCGTGGCCACCTCTTAGACACTTCTGGGGTGTAAATGAGTTCTCGGGGACCTTGGGAACAATCAATAACCTGATTAAAAAGTCCCATTGGTGTTCGAGAGCTGTTTGACGATAAACTGCTTGTTTTTCAGGTGGAGTGAAACCGTGTGCTTTGAACTGTCTGGCTGAGGGCTACAACTTCTACACAGAACGTTCCCCCGCTGTCATCGACGGCACGCGCTGCCAGGCCGACTCGCTGGACATATGCATCAATGGAGAGTGTAAGGTGAGTCTACAGCCCAAATATCACTCACAGTTCCTGAAGAAAATGTTTTTTTATGCTCTGAGACCTTAGTGTATGAGAAGTACTGTACCATATATTTTTTTAGTGAATGCTAGTGAATACTTCTATTCACTTAAAGGGATAGTTCACTTTGAAATTAATTTTTGATATGTTTTAGCTTACCTCAAGGGCATCCAAGATGTAGGTGTCTTTGTTTCCACAGTATTTTCAATTTTGTCATTTTTCAGTCAAACCGTTGTTGTCTATCAGTCATACACTGGAGGCTAAGGGGGTCCACCTCAAAGAGCATGCACAGAGAAGTCAAAATTAAACATGATTTAATGACTCGTAAATGTAAGTACACATTGATGGCCTAAGACACGAAACGAGCGGTTTGTGTGAGTAAACGAACAGTATTTATATCGTTTTTAGAATTTCTATCGAGTGAGAATCAGAGTTATATCAGATTTATATCGAGTGAGAATCAGCAGTTTTGAGATGTACATTTGTACACAACCTTGTCATGATGGCAAAAGATCTGATCTCTATAGCAGCTTTCATTGGCCAAGGACTATCTAACTGACATGTAAAACAACCAATCACAGTTTATTTTATTTTGCACCATGTGAAAGTGTACAGTCAATGTCCATACAACACCTTAATCATTTACTGTAACAATAGTGCATTTCAAAAAGCCCTGTTTAAAGTTAGGTGGACACATATAGGCTTTATTCTGAGAATTTCAGACTTGGAAAATAACACACTTCTCATATCCCGTTGGCAAACAAGTTAAAATACCTCTTTTTGTTCCCACAAGTCAGCAATAGTGTAGTTCCAGATGCGGCCCACATTTGGTACACATGGATTCCACACAGCCCAGATGGAGGTGGACCGGATCTGGGCCGACACTGTGTTGCTAAGCGGAATCTGGATCCGGAATCTGGAATACAAGAATGCATACTTCTAAAATCCACTAGAAATATTATATCATCCAGGCCTTTGCCAAAATATTTTCAACACCATATGGTTGTGTTCAGAATGGAGTACTAGCATACTTCATACTGAGCAGTAAATACTACTATTTAAGGAAATACTTATTATTTACAGCCAATACCAATGTTCTTTCAGGCACTGGTCAATTTTTAGATTTTACGAACTAACTATTCTATTAGAACTGTGGACAAAAAAACATCCAAAATTCACATTTAAGTGTTTCTTTTATTACACTTTTTTTTTTTGCATCTGTAAACTTCAACTATAGACAATTCGTTAACAGTAAGTTTCCTTACCATATGGTTAATTACAGTAATTGATCTCATCTTACATTTAATGTAATTTTACAGTAAAATACTGTTAAATTTAGTTTTTGGAAGTGCAAAAGAGCAACGCTGCGTCTGAGTAGGTCATCTTCATGACCACTAAAAAAGTATGTTCTACTACTACATGGCGTACTACATTCGCCATGTTGTTATTATCATGTGACTTTTGCGTCACTTCACTGCCATTCACAAATCCTGTCCCGTGGCCTCATGAGATAGTAAAGTGTCCATCGAATGTTTTTTGAATACTATATTCGGACATACTTGTCTTTTGGCCTACTGTTTTTCACATTAAACAGTACGCTGCAGCAAAAGTCAATATATTCAACAGTGAAATCCAAAAATTGACATTCCCAGAATTCCGCAATCTTCATGTTTCAGAGTGGCTTTTCATAGATTTCTAATTTTATGCAGCTCTTGTGGCCTAATATGTTGCATTATCTTTGTTTATCAGACACTAACGGTCTCAGACGTAAAGTCTACACAACGTAGCCAATCGCTAACACAGAACAATGAAGCGTAAATAAAGACTGCTGTTGAAAGGGTTGACCCTCTTATCAGGACAGTACAGTTTTGAATCTAATTGTGTTTTTAAAAAGGCGGCAAAACTGCTCGAGAATTATATTTAATTCGCTTACAATATCATTTGTATAACAAACCAAATTGACGTAATAGTGCGACCCTTTGTTTACTTTAGGGTAACATTTTTGAATTCCATGTTGAAAAGATTTTGTCTGCAGTTTGGTATTTGTTAGTCTCACACATTGTTGTCCGCATCCTTGATTTATGTGGTTTAAGATACTATTTTAATTGATCCCCAAGGTTTCCTTTGATCTGATCTGGAGCGAAGAAATCCACACAATGTTCTTTTAAACTCTAAGGAATCAATCTGTGCTGCACCCAACAACCTCTCATTGCCTTTTGGACGATAATAATTATGCAAGTAAAGGCATGCACAGGGGTTTTATAGGGAATGTCCAAAACAAAATAAAACCGCAATCAATCTTATGTCTAGTCCAGTGATTCGCAACTGCTGGGTTAGTTCTGAGCAGGGAAAAACATGTTAAATTTAAATAGTGAAATGCAACACAACATGTGCATTCATTGAAAGAAATTTGGCATAGGATTTGCTTTAAAACAGTTTTAATTGAAATAATTGTTAACAAATAATTAAGAAATGGTAAATAACACATCGATTAAACATGCCATTTTTAAGTAGAAAGACTTTGTTATATTGACAACTTTTACTTTAAGTGAGCATTAGATGAAGGTAAAGGTAATCAATACGTAAAAACAGGCGAATTTTGAAACGGTTGTGTGTCCAGTCAGACTACGGTATTTTGGCACAAGTTCACCTGTAATTTTGTAGAAGCCAGTCAAGTTAGATAAATGTCAACATGGACAGGTTGCGTGACATGCCCTCATGAACAAAATGTGAGATGAAAGAAAATTTGACGCAACATGGATAAACACGGTTTGTGTCGACCACAGTGTGCAGAATTATTGGCTGCTAAGAGCAGAAAACCAACAAAGTCCAATTGACATTTAGACATTTAGAAACAAAACACTAGAACTATAAATACTGTAACTCATGCTTCTGCTATTGTTTATGCACTTACAAAATTGTCAATTTTCATAATCAGCCTGTCATATCAACGAATTTCACTGTTTGATTTAAAGGACATTTTTATTTAATTTCGTACTATGCTGTAAATCATTTTGGTACTGTATTGATGTCCAGTGTGAAATCATGGTCCCGAAGCAAAACCAGAACCATTTGTCTTTTCATGTCATGTTCTGACTCGATACAGCTGTGCGAATGACATGTTATTCTTCGAATCAGACAGTCACGGTCTGAGAACGCTTCGACCGTGTTCCCCTGCACTGAAACCTGTGTGTCTTTCCAGCATGTTGGCTGTGATAACATCCTGGGCTCGGATGCCAAGGAGGACAGATGCCGTGTGTGCGGCGGGGACGGCAGCACGTGTGAGGTCACCGAAGGACTGTTCAACGATTCACTACCCAGAGGAGGTCAGGAGATTATACACTCACATATATCAAATATTCAGTATCTTACCATGATAATGTGTTACTAGGTACTTACTAGGTCTATTTGAGTTGGTAAGTAGGTTGGTGCTTGGTGTAACACAAATGTTGGATGGTTGGCCCCAGGCAGCATCTAACCATGAACCCCTTACGTAGGTGTTCACTTGAAGCTCCCCCAAAGATTTGACTAGAGTTTCAATAATTTAACGACACATTTGCATGTTCACAGTTCTCTGATGTTAGTTTACTCCAGCTGTGTTTTGATCATTGTTCTGAATCCAATCTGGATTTAGTCTTTGACAAAAAAAAAAAAGTTCCTCAGATTTTCTCAGGTTTGAAGGCTCTGTTCCTTCTTTTGACATATTGTATGTTCTGATACACAGTTCAACAAAACATTCTGGGGCCATGAAAAGTTGTGAAATTGATCAAAAATGCTGGCTGGTAATTTGTTTTTCATAAACTCTGGCGTTGCAATAGTTGATGGTCACATGACATGTTAAAAGAAGTAAATAAATGAAAAATTTAGGTACGCATTTATTTCGACTTTGAAGCTGGACTTTAAGTGGACTCAAACGTGTATTAGGAACCCATTATATAAAATAATTATAATTAAAGGAGTAGTTCACTTTTTAAAAAAACTTTTGCTGATAATTTACTCACCCCCATGTCATCCAAGATGTCCATGACTTTCTTTCTTCAGTCGAAAAGAAATTAAGGTTTTTGATGAAAACATTCCAGGATTTTCTCAATATAATGGACTTCATTGGGAACCAAATGGTTCAAGGTTCAGATGAGAGTTTCAGTGCAGCTTCAAAAGGCTTTAAACGACACCAGACGATGAATAATTGTCTTATCTAGGACCCTTCGAGTCATGACTCGAAAAAAGATTTGTTCATTTTGATGAACGAGTTCGAACAGGAGAGTCACGAACGCTCATCACAGAACAGAGCAAGGCGAGCATTTGTGCTTATAAAACTTAAACTTATTTATTTATTTTTGCAATGACTGATCATTTTGCTAGATAAGACCCTTATTCATCGCCTGATGTCGTTTAAAGCCCTTTGAAGCTGCACTGAAACTCTCATTTGGACCTTGAACCATTTGGTTCCCAATGAAGTCCATTATATGGAGAAAATTATGGAATGTTTTCATCAAAAACCTTAATTTCTTTTCGACCTGAAGAAAGAAAGACATGGACATCTTGGATGACATGGGGGTGAGTAAATTATCAGCAAAAGTGTTTTTTAAATTGAACTACTCCTTTAATATTATTCTTGTACTGTTTAATACAAATGAATATTTGATAATTAATATAATTTTATTTTACACTTCAAGTTACAAAACTAATATTTATGTCTTATGTACTTGCAAAACTGTAAACTTCTGGCTACAAAAATGTTGGAAATTATGCGAATGTGTAAATAAAGTAAATAAAAAAAAAAGTTATTTAATTGAATCGCAGCCTTTGATTTCATAATCATACTAAGCTATGTCAGGATCATCATCTACAGCTCCATTTAGTGTGGTGAAATGCACCGCTGAGATGTATGGAACAAGAGGAGCTCGACGCAGACCGATCTCTCCCCTCAGAATCCCGTTCCAGAGAGCGCGCCGCATGCCTGCCAAACGCGACAAGTTTTTAATCGCTTTCCACTAGAGAAATCCCACTTGAAGAAAACACAGCACAAGCGAGTGGAGGAACGCATTGTCTTTTTGGCAGTGGCTCCTGTCAGGGGGCCAATGGGGTGCTTTGGCCAAGATCGACATTTTTCATGGAAATGCAGTGAGGTTTTTTCATCAGACAACCATGATAAAGCTTTTGTTTTTGGGTCAAGAAACAAGTTGTCAAAATAGAAGTGGTAACACAATATATGAGTATTAATTGCATCATCCAGTGAGAGAATCAATAAAACTTCTAATATTGCACGCATTGTCGGGCCGCATCCAAATGTATTCTCTGTGGTAAGGGACTGTTTTCTCCTTTTAAGGTATAGCTGGTAAATCATCTGAAACTTTAAGGGGGAGTGAAGGGTACGGTGTAGATTCTTCTCTTGTAATGAATTTGCTGTTGCTAAGTTAGTTAGGTTTTCTTTGAGCATGCTGGGACTCTATTCAAATACAACTGTGTGCTCTGGGTCTGTTTAGTTTACACGAAACACTAGATACAACTAAGAAATAGCCAGAAAGCTTTAAACAAGGACAAAATGAAGAAGTTCTTGAAAGTGAAAGTGTTTGAAAGAGTCCAGAGTTAAGGAATCTGCAAAACTACACAGCTTTCAAAACAGACATCCACTGTAGTTGTGGACAAATTCAAGAAAAAAAAAAAAAAACTTCAGAGAGAGTTTTACAGTATATCAATGCTAATTAAAGCACAACATGCTAATTTAAGAACCGTTGCGATAAATATAAATACAAAATACATACATACTGTGGGCAGACAAGTTGATTAGGTGACCACCATGGCCTAAATATGTCATTGTGGTTCATAGCAGCCAAAAAATGCTGCTAAAACAAGGTGTACATGTATGTGCATTTACCGACAACTGCAAAATAAATTATGATTCATTTACATTTTGCAGGTTACATGGAGGTCGTCCAGATACCTAAAGGATCGGTTCATATTGAAATCAGGGAAGTGGCCGTGTCAAAAAACTATATTGGTGAGTGTTTTTATCTATCTTTTTGAAGCTTTTTGAAGCTATGATTGTTTGGAGCTGCACGATTAATCGTTAAAGAATTCATGAACTGGCTTTTTAATTTTTTTTATATTGTTGTCTGAGGTCAACTTATGACGTTCGCTTGGTTTTCACATTAAAAAACAGCAAAATGAATAAGTAATGGGCTATTTTCTACCCTAGTTTTGGGCCCAGCTTAAAAACGCTCGGTTTTTATGCCGTCTCGCATTGAAAACATGGAAGTAAACACCCACTGCTGTGAGTAGATAACAGTTTTGCATTTTATAATGAGTTTCACTCTCGCGATCCGGTTCGTCATCACGAGGTAGGCCTATGTTATTTAGCTATGCGTGTAATGCGCGAATCGGTGGGCGGGGCTAAACCGGCAGTGTTGAAGTAGGCGTTTATGGTGTTTTATCCTCTTTGACGTCATAGTTCCTCACTTTAAAAAACGAGTCGTTTGCTGAGCCTGGTGTCAATAGAAGCTTTTATTGGACTAACAAAGACGTTTTCAGTTCTGAAACTTACAGTTTACTTACTTTCAAATAAAGAGTGTATTAATTACATCGATACACCAGTAGGCCTATGAAAAATCACCCTTTTCAAGTGATCGTCAAAAAATTTACCTATCATTTAATCATTCAATTCAAGAGATTCATTAAAAATATGCTGATTCATCAAATGATAAATCAAGTGAAGTTTTAATGAGAGTCATTGAATCCTTCATTCAAGTGATTTTTAAAAAATAATTCATTTGAATGAATCAAACATTTTTACTTTATACTATATCAATTAACATTTTGTCAGATTCTCTATGGCGTGTTTAATTTGTTTGTTCAGAATTGGGTATCTCTGTTTGAAACAATTCTCAGTTCATCAATTCTCAATCATCAATAATAAAAAAACAGCTCTACTGAGTACAAAAGTGGTGAAGTGGTGTGTGTTAAGCTTTGTTGTGGGTGTAAATCTGTTCGCTCTCATGTTCATTCTCTTAAGATGGGTCTTTTGTCTTTTCCCAACCACAAGCTGAGTTAAACCATCATGGTTCCCAGCCATGTAACTAATTAAAACAATCGGGTCCAATTAAGTTGTTTTGAGTGCAAACATAAATATAGCTAGTGTGTATGACAGCTTGTTGAGTTTTGCTGTCCATCATGTTGACGTGGAGGATTTTCTCGCCGTTTGAGAGGAAGATAAGTTGTCAGATGTTCTGACGTTGGCAACACAAGGAAATTGTAAAACACATTTTGTCACATGGCATGTTTGTGGAATACAAACACATGGCCCTGTTTAAAATGAGGATCTCAAATGTCTCACAAATATTTGGCTAATAATGAAAGCATGCTACAGAATTGGTTCATTCATGTTTAAAATCAGTCATTTCATTTAATTTGTACCTGAAACAACTGTCTTCTTATCTCTCTAGTTGATTTTAGCCAATGTATCATATAACTGGCAGTTTGAGAGCATACAAATTGTCATCATTTGCTCGCCCTTGAGTCTTTCCAAACCCTTGTATGACTTTTATTCTTCCATTAAAAACATAAAAGGAATTGTTTCCTAGAATTTTGCTGCGCACTTGAACTTCACCACAATGTCGTAAATACCAGTGGGGAGCTCGGGATTTTCTTTAAGCCCCGATCTGTACGAGTTGGGGGCGTGTCAGTGAGAAACGTTCATTCAACGTCTGTTGACGGTAAATTTTAATTGAATTTCAATGTTTACTCATTGACATTGTAAGGCTTTTTCATTTATAAAGCAAGCTCTCTGCACAAAATTTGATATCTTTGTAATATAAAAATTATACCTAATGATAGAGTTTACATTGGCTTCATAAGCTAATAAAAACATAAAAAGAAAAACACACCTGATGCACATTCTTTGTTCTTCATTTTTTTTTATTAGCCGAGTTAACAAACCTTGCTGTATTTTCGTGTAATTCATTAAAAGAAGGTACACCGCCATTTTGCTCCGACGAAACTCACTTGAACGCACCTCACGTCGTAAACACGACTTCCCAACTCGTACGTACGAACTTCCCAGGAGGACTTGAATGCAGCATATGTATGCAGAATTTGTATGACCTGCAAGAACCAATTAGCATTTGGCATCATTGATTGATGTGTAACCTGTCACAACACATCTTGACACAGAAAGTTTAAAAATGTGAATTCTTAGGTAATAATAACTTGGATTTTAGTGTGTTTAATACATCTATCATATGGCTTCTGAAGACTTGTGTAAAAATCATATGTACTACACACACACACTCATATATATATATATATATATATATATATATTATATGATGCTTTTTGGAGAAAGTCTTTCAGCTAAATATCCCTTTTTTCTCCCATGGCGAAAAAAAAGAGTTTTGTTTCAATTAATTCACAATTGATGGTGTGCTATTTTTGTCTATTTTAACCAAATATTACTACTGAGATAATATTTGGCTATATTTTTGTACACCATGATGGAGTGACTTATGTTATCCATTGCGAAATGTGATTGTTATCCATTTAAAGATTTATCTAAAGTACTGTTCATTTCTTTGTTTAAATCTTCAAAAAAAAAAAAAAAAACTTGGTGTACCTTTAGGAAAAATAAGTGGTGCAAAAGTCCTTTTGAGCTGAAGTGAGTAAAAAACACCTTGTTTTTCTACAATTTGGCCCAATCTCAATCAAGACGTTGAGATGAGATCTTTGTTTTGACAACTGAGCAGTGATGGCATTTGCGAGGAAAGCAGGCTTTCAACTGAACTTGGTAAGTTAGATCTACAAGCTGCACTGCGTCTGAAAGCGCGAGTGAAAATTGCCCATGACATCAGGAAGCCTGAGCCCCTCTGTAAGACGATGCTCGTCCTGTTGATGAATGACAGCGATGACATCACCCTCTCAGCTTGGCAGCATCTCGCTCGTGTCGGGTTATTAACTGGTGCTCTCACTTGTCACAGCTTTGAAATCGGAGGGGGATGACTATTACATCAACGGAGCCTGGACCATCGACTGGCCCCGCAAATTTGACATCGCAGGAACAGCCTTCCACTACAAGAGGCCGACCGATGAACCCGAGTCGCTAGAAGCTCTAGGGGCCACCACTGAAAATCTGGTGGTTATGGTGAGTAGATCTATATGGAACACAGTAATCTCAGTAGTTCTAGTGTTTTAGAAGTATATGCCAGAGATGTGGCCTGGCAGGTCGTTCAGATGCTCAGAGACGCGCTGAAGCACTTATGTGATTTCAATCTAGCCTGTGTCATGTCCCTTTCCTCTCTGTTGGACCTGTAGTTTCCTGTTATCTCTCCACTTCCCTTTCAGTAAAAGTGACAAAAATCATTTCAAAATGGCTATTTTACAACAATTCAGGCCTTTCCTCTGAGTTATTTATAAAAGCTCATGTAGTAAGGTCTTATGTTTTGAATGCGCAGTTTGAAATTGTTTGGCTCCTTCTAAATAAAGTCCACATCTGTGTACAAACCTCACATGAACTCAATCTAGCGGTTTCAGAGTTAACCGTTATATATGTTTGCACTAAAAACCTCTGTCTGGCCAAGTGCGAGTGCTCATGTGCACATGTTTTAGCACGCGCGCGTGTGTGTGTGTGTGTGTGTGTGTGTGTGTTCATACTGAAAAGCCCCGTCTCGGCAACCACAATCGCTTTCGCCTGGACAAAAAGTGCTGGAAATACCAGGCCTGGTCGCAGCACCGCTGGAAAACATACAAGTAGCCAATGCACCACAAGCCATTCCATTGTGGCCCACACTGGTTAACAGGGCTTTCCAATTTATAACACACACACTTGCAATTATAGCTCTCTGACTAAGTAATTCAGGAATAAAGCTGATGTGATATGCTAAATATGTGCTCGTTCACGTTCAAGCTGAACTGAGGTTGGGCTCATCCAAAAAATCTCCTCTTCCTAATGATTTGTTTGCTCCATTCGATACATTTTTAAGACCTCAGTATTTGTCTTTTTGTCACTAATCCAAGACCAACTTCCTTTGCCAAAATCCTTGGTTAAGATCGTAAAAGTCTATAATACCTGGAGAATTCCCATTCATCTCAATGACAGTTGCTCGGCTGGCATATCCAGCCCTGGAAGGATGCAACCTGCATTTCTAGTTTGAGCCAGTCAGGAAGGACGTCACAACAACACTGAGTGGCTGATGCAACCACAAAAATGTGAACTGTCCCACCAAAAAAATACTCTAACATCCCATCTACTATAAATAATTGCAATCCGTCAAAGTGCTATTTGGGACAAACTGGGAACAAAAGCAACCAGGTTGACCCTGACCTCTTTGTTATGTCTGAATAAAGAAATTCAATAAAGAAACCCCTATTCCATTATAAATGTTACAGGTGCTGCTACAGGAACAGAACCTGGGCATCCACTACAAGTTCAATGTGCCCATCCAGCGTACAGGAAGTGGGGACAATGAAGTGGGCTTCTCTTGGCACCATCTGCCCTGGTCTGAGTGCTCAGCAACATGTGCAGGAGGTACGACAATCAATTCCACACGTCCTTATTGAGGAAGTTTGTTGTGATGAGTAATGAGAAAATGTGAAAAACAAGTGGACAGACTGGACGAAAACATGTTCTTGATGGTGTCCCCAGGCATCAGACGTAGTTTAAAAGAAGATCGGACACCAACGAATACATTTTGAAGAATCTATTAGTTGTCTGTTCAGTTACACTGAGCTGAGAGTTAATGAGAGAAGTAGAAAAGTCTGATTCTTGAGCAACAGATCTTTTGAAGGAATCAGTTCATCCAGTTCACAAAACTGGTTGGAAGGATTTTTTTCATAATTATCAGTAAATAGGAACTTACGTTTTGGTATTTTGGTACAAACAATTTGGTTTTTATCGCAAGTAGACGAGGGAGACACATTCCCGTTTACACCTGGTGTCTTTTTTTGTCCACTTTTGACCAAATCTGTCCTGGTTTCTTCTAGGGGAGGGTCTATGGGTAGGTAAATTTAAGGGCTTTTTGAGATCTTTCGATCTAATAGATGAAATAAGCTTGTGCAATTTACATTTGAATGCAAAAAGTAGGTTCCTTTTGGCTAATACGCTTCCCATAATGTTTGCACATTAGGTCAGTGGCGGAGATAAGACAGGTCTTTTGTGGCTGTTTGAATACATTCGACCACATGAGCATCTACACTAGGAAAGCAATCCGTTCAAATGCGTTTTCGAAAACATCTGGAAGTGGTCTGAAGTGGACAGGGTCAAAAAGTTTTATACCCGGGCATTTACACCTGTATTTTGTCGTCCAAATATGATCAGATTGACAAAAACGATTCTTAATACTAGGTGAAAACAGGGCCTTTGATACATTTATGGTACCTTTATGTCTTTTTTGAAGCTTGAAAGCTCTATTTTGCTTTGCTACATTTTGATTATGATAAAAAATCCTACAGAATGATACAGAATGATAAATGTATTTTTATCTTACATATGATTATGTTTCACCAATTTGTGCCGCCAACATACAAGTTGTGCAGGGAGCAGAAAGGCTGCCTCTTATTTCAACATCTGAATGTCGTAACCACATGTAAATGTGAGCCCTCACCTCAAATATGACCAGACTGTTCAGGCTCCTCCGAAATAAATGGCTTTCTTACAACAATAAATAGTTTTCCTCTATCCTTTTTTCAGTTATGGCCATTGAAAACATTCAAAGCACTTGTTATATTTCACCAAAAAATGCAAACATCGCAGGCTAGTCCACTGAGGGTTTTCACAGAGCTCCGCAAACTCAACCTCATTCGTTGCTCAATTCATTTGAACACATTTTAGTTTATATGGAAATACCCCAGGGCAACACTTATGTCATTTGTGAAATTTTGGGTTATTAATACAACTCCCGGCTGTTCTGCTGGCAAGCCACACAGGGAGCATTTGAACACCAAGCGAACTGCCATAAAATTCAGCAATATTCTTTTAGAAATGATTTGTGATTCAGACACTTGGACTTGATTCCTGCTTTTTTTTTACAAACTCCCATTAAATTTCAATGTTGCGGTCTTATTGTTTTGATCATTATGTGCAGCAATGATAACGGTCTTACATCATGAACTGATGTCATGAGATTTTACATTTACCCCCTGGTTGGGTTTCAGCGAATCAAATCGGTACTAACGAAATCTCTTATCTTGAAAGGGTTCATCGAGCTCCCACCGGAGTAGGTTGTTATTTCGGTTACCCAGTCAAGAATGCCGTACTGGCAGCTGTTAGATCCACCTCACAAGGTGGCCTTGCGCGCTAGCCAAGCTTGGCATAAACCAGCTTAACTGGAGGCTAATGTCTTTCCTTATGGGCCCCAAAGAGTCCAATGGCCTCTAGCGCTAAGCATAGCGCACTACTCTGCCATTACTGTGGTAATGCTCACTTTTCACAACCAAGAGCCAAAGAAAAGATTGGCTTCTCTGTAAAAATCATTCACTAAGACACTCACTTCAACCGAGGCATTTACACACCTAGATATAATACGGAGGGAAAATTGATATCACCTCCGTGCCTCTATCCACACAGAGTGCTCTGTCAGCAAGCGGACCCCTGGAGAAGAGACACAGAGCTAGTTTAACCTCAGGGACCGATGCCGACCACACAGCGCTATTGCGCACGAGCTGCTGAAGTGCCGAAAATGGCCGAGGCAGATGAATGAAGTGATGTTTTATTGTCTTTTTGCAGGTTCGCAGAAGCAGGAGGTGGTGTGTAAAAGACTGGATGACAACTCCGTGGTCCAAAACAGCTACTGTGACTCGGACAGCAAACCGCCAGGGAACCAGCGGCCCTGTAACACCGAGCCTTGCCCTCCCGAGTGAGTACAGCAACTTTGAGGCGTGTTGATTGGGGAAACAAAAAAAAGAGATATATAATTGTTGGGGCATTAACTCGTGAATTTTAGGGGCATATAATTGCCTTCTATAGGCTCCAGCCCCTAAAATGCCCTGTATGATTTCTCATATTTATATGATATGATATAGTTAAGCTATATCGCAGTGCAATATCACTCATGTGATGTTTTTGTCCCGAATAGCACGAGTGCAAATGTGGTACTGATTTTATACAACAGTTCAACAAATAAGAAGTTAATATTGTGTTATATTTTAGGCACAATTGTCTGCTTTTGGTCAATTTTGCTCATGAAAATATTACCTAGAAGCCAGAGCAGGACTGTTGTGCACCTCCGAGCAACTCACAGCGGAGTTTAATTTCTGAATGAATCCACCTTTTGAGCGAATCAATCAGTGAACCAATGATTCAATGACCCATTCATAAAGAGAGCTATTTACTTCCTGAGTGAATCAGCCGTTTGAACGAATCGAATGAATGACTCAATGACTCACTCAACAGCCACCTTCTGGCAATTTTACCTTCTTATTTTGAGTATCATTTCATAAAAAAAAAAAAAATCATATTTCCATATTAATAAAAAAAACATTAAAGTTTTTTGAAAGTTTTTCATGAAAATTCTGTTATAATTTACTAATTTTATTTGTCCTCTAAATCTACTTGATGCTTTTCTCATTTAACAAAATTATGACTTATAATTTTATAAAAAATTATAACGTTTTTAATGGCTTGACAACCTAATTATTATTATTGCATAATTAAAGGATAGCCTATTTATAACCATTACATCATGTACAACTGGACTTGAGATGATATATCATTAATTTATTGCATCATGGGAATGACAAAGAGAGCAAACTTTTTGCATTACATCATGCCCTAACTTGGTAAGATGTGACAAGTTTTCTTTAATAAGCAATAATGTCCACATTGAAAGCTAAAACGCTGCACAATGTGACACAATTTCTGCCAAAAGTCAGATTTGCCTTGACAGATTTCACAGAATGACGGTCACAGACTTCAACGTTTGAGTCCATATGTATAATATCAAACATGTTTAATATTATGAGCTGATTTTAGAACACATAAGGTCTTCATTTGTCCAACTATGTATTACACGAAATACGTTCTGAGGAAACTATTTTGCAAATCGCAATTACGTTACATGCCAACATATAAGCAGTGCTATTACGTTGGTCCTGAACATAATACATCCGAAGCAGGTTTCTTTACTATTTATGCATAATCGTGGCATTAATTTTTTACTCTATTGCATTCAACTGTCTTATCAATTAAGTTTTCATTCGCATTTATTAATATAATAGGCCAACGTTTCTCATAAACATTAACATTTCGCTATGTTCGTGCTTTCTGCAGCAAAGTCGTTTAGGAGGATTAGCCTGCGTGGTGTTAAAAAAGGAATACACTTTTAACCTTAAAAATACCTTGTTTAACCATTTTGTAGTATTTAGTGTATTTACACAAAAAGCATTTTCTCCAATAAAACACAACATACTGATACATTCACAAAAGACATACATTTTATTAGCTTGATGTAAACCAAATCCTAGAATCCATACTTTGTTTGCAAGAAACAGATCCAAATCCAGCCAGTGATCTTGTGAATCCAGTGGTTTTATCCAGTGATCTTCATCTTCATTTCTCAGCAGCGACCGCAAACGTCAAACCCGCGCTGGTGATGAATTCAAATTCAAAAAATGCGCCTTCAAGAAGCGTTACGACATGTTTTACGGCAGTGATATCAAACGCTCATTGGCTCTCGCCTGCTTCGTCACAGATTCAAATAGACGTCCTGCGGAACAACAAGAAGGCGTTTGTTCCCTGCGTTTGCAGAGACCCCCTTCTCCACAGATTGCGACATGCCGTATTTCAGTCGGTGTAGTACATTCACTTTTGAAATGGAGAAGAGTGCGCGCCTTCAGAGAGCGAACCGAAGATTAATATTAATAACTTTAATTCTGATCTGTACCTCATACACAACTACTATACTGCCAGAGGACTGCGATGTGAACGACTTTTGGTAATGTTAACGTTACCGGTTTTGACATTTTCACAATAAATAAATGATTTTTATTACTGTTACGTAATTATTGTTATTACTGTTTTTTTATTTATAATTGTGTTAGCTTACGTAGTTTTAAGGAATGGTTATGAGTAGGTTTAGGGGTAACTGCTAGGAGTAGGATTAGTGGCTCAAAATTGTAGCTAATGCTAAAACTTACCTAACTTACACATCTCACTCTGTCCATTATGTTTTATCCTTTTTATATTCTGTATAAAATGAATATGTTTAGGTTTTGGGAGTAGGATTAAGGGATCTTGTTAAATTTATCTTTAAAAGTGAAAGTATACAGATATCGTTATGATATGAAATATACGTAAATAGTTAACGTTTTGTAGCTGTAAAAACGTAATAATGTTACGTTTAAATGTTGCAAATACGTCCATATTATACGTTTTTAGCAACGTACGTTTTATATCTTTGAAAATAACGTATTAATACCTACGTATTAACATTGAAACATATTAGGTTAAGCACCAACGTAATAGCACTGCTTTATGTTGGCATGTAACGTAATTGCGATTTGCAAAATAGTTTCCTCAGAACGTATTTCGTATCACATGTTTCTGTGTGAGTTTGTTGTGTTCGTAATGATTTGAAAGTCTAGTGTGTGAGGATACCCAGTCGTTTAGTGTATATGATGCCCAGTTTTTACTTTTTAACTATTTACAAAGTCAGCAAGTGTATGATGCCTTGTGTTATAAAATGGATTGTAGTCTATTCCAGCCTTAACCCGAACCCAAACACCTAACCCTTATTTAGCAGTCTACTAATACTCCAATGAGAGATAGTTGACATGTAGTTGCAAAGTCACTTATTTCCCCGATTTCACAGACAAGTTTTAAGCTAGTCCCAGACTAAAATGCACATTTGAACTGAAAGCAACTAGCACTGGCATATCTTAAAATAGGTCAGTATTGTTGTCTCAACATGCAACCAGTAATGTTTTTTTTTTTTTTTTTCTAAGGCATGTTTATAAAAGTTACATAAATGTCCTTATTGACCTAAGGCTATTCCTGGCTTAATTTAAACCCTCTCTGCGAAACTGGGCCATAGTTAGTAGAATGTGTAAAGTGGACCATTAAAATAAAGTGTAACTAAAAATCTTTTCTAAAAATTGTAATAAAAACTTAATTTACTTCTTGCAAAAAAAAAAAAGTTTTTAAAAATAATTTTCCTTGTATTTAAATATATATAATTTATCAAACATGTGGCTTATACTTAAGGTTTCGCTCTCTTTGTCAGCCTAGGATGAAAAAAAAATGAAAAAAATCCACAAATTCTATTTTGATGAGTCTCATCAAAATAATACATAGCTGTTTAGCAATAAAAGTGCAAAGGCCCACAACCCGTAATGTTTAATTTGTCTTCATAGCACCCCGACCATAAAGAGCTTCTTTGAAGACAGCTTAAAAACTAAGCAACATGATTTATTTCTTCATATGTTGCCTATTTTCATTTGGATTTTGGTGCCAAAATCCTAAAGGCATCCAAAAAAGTATGAGTGATCACCTGCGTTTAATTGTATTGGCTTGCAGAATTCATGAACCCTCAAGGGACAATATCCATAAATGTGTGTGGAGTATGCGTGTGTGCGGCGGCCAGACGCACTTAACGCTCATTTTCAATGGGGCGAGCAGCTGAGCAAAGTTCACTCGTGTCTGCAAATTTGAAATTGGAAGGAGGAATTAAATGGTTTTGGCCTCTGCACTCCTGCATCTTGCCAGTGGAGGGTTAAGTGAACCTGAACCCAAAGATGGGCATCGCTAATAACTAAAATCTAAAATCTATTTCCATCTCCACCTGATGTCAGAGGAATGCAGTCTCTGGCCCAGAAAGGGTCGTAATGGTCATTTGAGAACACCCTGTTGTTTTCAGGGTGGTCATTTCTCTCTAATGATCGTGCAGATTATGACAGATTTTTATTTCATTATTAATTTATATTCAGCTTTAATTTTATTTTACTTGTAGCGTTTCGTAAGATGCATAGTCCGTGGCTTTATCAGAGCATCGCCAAGAGAATGCAAACAAATCCCACGGAACTTAATTCAGCCGTAACAAATGATAAAAAGACACGGTTATATAAAATGTCTGTATTCCACAGCCCAGCGAAAGTGTAGGAGTAGTTTTGCCAAAGACGAAGACAAATTGAATGCAAATTTGGAATTGTTGTTGCCATTGTGTGGAGTTCACAGGCGTTGAACCTTAACAAAGTGCATTTGCAGAGTCCAAAAACCAATTGAGAGTACAAATATGGTTGAAATAAAATGGCGTTTCAGGCAATTTATGCCAAATGTTTCTCTTCTTGCTAATTTTAGGCCACTATGTGACAAGGCATTAAGCATTTGAAACTAATATATCAAAATCAAGATCTTGATGGATTTTTCAATGTTGCGTTTCTCTGAGAGATTGTTAACTTGTCACTGCAAAGACTAAGATCTATTTTATTGTGAAAAGAAGTTTGGGTTTGGTAAGAATACAGTAAAAACAGTAAAGTTGTGAAGTATTATTACAGTTTAAATGAAATGTTTGTGGTAACACTTTATTTTACCGTGTCCTTGACTGTTAGACGTTACATGTAGTTACTGTAATAATAACTATAAATTACGCATAATTACATACAACTAACCATAAAACACACCCTAATCCTAACCCTATAGTAAGTACATGTAGTTCCCTTTCGAAGGGAACTCAACAATACGTCGAATGACGCTATGGGGAACGCCTCAGGCGTGACAGGTGTCTGAAATCAAATATCAACTCACAGTAATCAGGTTGACCGGCGACAGCCCGTGCATCATCAGCTTGAATGATGAGCGCGTCAATCTGGATGTATAAGAAGGGCGCCTTGAAACCGTGACAACATCTTTTCGTCTTCAGGGACTGTTTGTCTGTGTGATAGTATCAACGATTAAACGCGCAGAGACGTGGAGAAACACTTTGCGCGAGTGTGCCGACTTGTGTCCAGATATTTGACACCGGAGGATTCACACGATCTGTGCGTGTTCTGCCTGAGAGAAGAGCATTCGCGGGAAGCTCTCGAGGGAGTTTTTTGCGCGAACTGAGAGTTTTTCCTTTCAGAACTCTCTGCTCTCGTCTGACCCACTTCTCGAGGGAAGTGGGCGCGGAATCTGAACCCCGCGGTTCCGGTTCCCGCTCGGGCTGAGGCTCAGTGGCGGTTGAGCTCGTGGAGCTTTCAGATGGAGCTGGCAGATTATCGGGAGAGGGGCGTTAACCTCGCGGATGATCTACCAGCTGACGAGGGTGAGTTACAGATTAATGTTGAACATCTAAGAAGAGAGAAAATGAGCGCTCTCTCTCTTTGGTGAATCTGTAACTGTTCTCTTTGGGCAGGGCAGGAGTTGGCTGTAATATATATATATATATACATATATATATATATATAGAAAAGGATGTCAGTTTGGTTGAGACCGAATCATTTCAGCCCTCCTGCCCAGTGTACGCTGAGCTGGTTGACATTATGGGGCGCGCCTCAGACAGATTGCTGTTGCAGTGGAGGCGCGTCTGGGAGGAACCCGCTCATGGTATTTTGGATGGCTGGTTCCTCCCCACCCATAAGCCACCAGCCCGGATGAGCCTTCCATTCGTTTCCGATCTCCACGCTGGGATCGAGAGGGTATGGAAGAATCCGTTCTCCTCACGTCTCTATCTGCATCAGCGGGCTAGTTTCGCTGCTGTGGAGGGAGCCGTGGAGAACGGATAAGTGTCGAGGCCGCCAGTGGACGAGACGTTGGCTAACTATCTCGTCTCTGGTTGGTCCTCTTCACTAAGAGCTCTGACCCTGTCATCCAAGCTGCTCAAGACATCTTCATGCTTGAATGACAGAGCGTACACGGCAGCAGGTCAGGCAGGTGCGGTTCTGCACGCCCTTGTGGTCCTCAGGCCTACCAGACCGATCTGTTGCGGGACTCCGGGCCACCAAGCAAGCTGCTGTTCTGTCGGTGCTATGGTGGCCACGGAGAGACATCTGTGGGAGCTCCCACATACTGTGGTTGCCAGGTTACAGGCCTCACCAGGCCTTCCTGGTTATGAGCTCCCACTGATTGTGGTCACCGGGTTACAGGCCTCACCAGGCCTTCCTGGTTATGAGCTCCCACATGCTGTGGTCGCTGGGTTACAGGCTTCACCAGGCCTTCCTGGTTATGAGCTCCCACATACTGTGGTTGCCAGGTTAAAGGCCTCACCAGGCCTTCCTGGTTATGAGCTCCCACACATTGTGGTCGCCAGGTTACAGGCCTCACCAGGCCTTCCTGGTTATGAGCTCCCACATACTGTGGTCGCCAGGTTACAGGCCTCACCAGGCCTTCCTGGTTATGAGCTCCCACATACTGTGGTCGCCAGGTTACAGGCCTCACCAGGCCTTCCTGGTTATGAGCTCCCACATACTGTGGTCACCAGGATACGAGCTCTCACGTACTGTGGTCGCCAGGTTAAAGGCCTCACCAGGCCTTCCTGGTTATGAGCTCCCACACATTGTGGTCGCCAGGTTACAGGCCTCACCAGGCCTTCCTGGTTATGAGCTCCCACACATTGTGGTTGCTAGGTTACAGGCCTCAAAGGGGCCTTCCTGGTTATGAGTTCCCACTTTCTGTGGTGGTCAGGTTATAGGCCTCACCAGGCCTTCCTGGTGATGAGCTCCCACACATTGTGGTTGCTAGGTTACAGGCCTCAAAGGGGCCTTCCTGGTTATGAGTTCCCATATACTGTGGTAGTCAGTTTACAGGCCTCACCCAGCCTTCCTGAATGTGGGCTCCCACATGATGCGGTAGCCAGACTACAGCCTCACCACCTTCCCTGAGCACTTTGCTCCCACTCTGTGGTCACCAGGCTTCAGGCTTCATTGGCCTTCCTGGTTGTGAGTTGTCACATGTCAGGTTGCAGGCTTCACCAGGCCTTCCTGAATGTGAAACCCCCACTTTTCGTGGTCGCTAAGTTGTAGTGGTGAGTCTTCACATGTCAGGCTGAAGGCCTCAGCGGCCTTCCTGAATGTGAGCTCCCCATGCATTGGGACTATCGGGTGTTAGGCCTTGTCAGGCCTTCCTGATTATGGGTTCCCACTTGTTGTGGCTGCCAGGTTACAGGCCTCAAGTTCGGCCTTTCTGAATTCAGAGTGAAGTACACTAACCCCTACTTCACCTATTATTGTGGTAAATCACATGACGGGATGTCTTGTGTACTTTCTAAAATCCATTTTGTATGGTAAGGGTCACGCGTGGTATGCTTCGGTCCCTTCTTATGTGGCTCAGACCCCGGTCTTCCCTTGGGTCCCACTTTAAGTGGCGTCCTGTCACTGGCTACAGGGACGCCCTTCTCTGGCTAACTTCTGGAAGAAGTAGCTTCCACTTGGTGGAGTAAGCTCCCACAGGTTGTGGTCACCAGGCTGGGTCTCACTGACCTTCCTGAGTACGAGCTCCCACCCAATGTGGTCGCCAGGTTACAGGCCTTACCAGGCCTTCCTGGTCATGAGCTCCCACACACTGTGGTCGCCAGGTTACAGGCCTCAACAGGCCTTCCTGGTTATGAGCTCCCACATATTGTGGTTGCTGGGTTACAGGCCTCACCAGGCCTTCCTGAATTCAGAGTGAAGTACACAAACCCATACTTCACCTATTATTGTGGTAAGTCACCCGACGAGATGTCCTGTGCACTTTTTAAAATCCATTTCTTATGGTGAGGGTCACGCGCAGTATGCTTCGGTCCCTTCTTATGTGGCTCAGACCCCGGTCTTTCCTCGGGTCCCACTTTAAGAGTTCTTAAGAGCTAACTTCTGGAAGTAGCTCCCACTTGGTGTGGTTTTTCAGGTACACCAGGCTGGGTCTCACTGACCTTCCTGAGTACGAGCTCCCACCGGATGTGGTCGCCAGGTTACAGGCCTCACTAGGCCTTCCTGGTTGTGAGCTCCCACATACTGTGGTCGCCAGGTTACGAGCTCCCGCATACTGTGGTCGCCAGGTTACAGGCCTTACCAGGCCTTCCTGGCCATGAGCTCCCACACACTGTGGACGCCAGGTTACAGGCCTCAACAGGCCTTCCTGAATTCAGAGTGAAGTACACAAACCTATACTTCACCTATTATTGTGGTAAGTCACCTGACGAGATGTCTTGTGCAGTTTTTAAAATCCATTTCATATGGTGAGGGTCACGCGCGGTATGCTTCGGTCCCTTCTTATGTGGTTCAGACTCCGGTTCTTCACTTTGGGTCCCACTGTAGATGTGTCTTTGTCGCAATACATTACGACAGGCACTTCCCTTGTTCAAGCTATCTCCCACAACTGTGGTTTTAGGTCTGACTAGACCTTTTTCGAGGTAGCCCAACATTGTGGGTCTGTCAGGTTTCTAGCCTCTGGCTTTCCTGAAGGATGAGCTTCCACATGCTGTGGTCGTTGGGTTTCAGGCCGCACAACGTACGGCCTTCCTGACATGAGCCCTCATGTATCGGAGCTCCCCACACATGGGGTCATCAGGTCTTAGGTCTCTTTGACCTTCCTGATTTTTGATCCCTCTCTTACTTCCTCAGTGCTCAAAAGCGAGCACTGGGTGGAAACTCGTGGATTGAGTGTACGATTCCCATTGGTTCGAGGTTGAGTCACACTCTCCGGAGGATCCCGTCTCTGTGATCCGAAACTCGATGGTTTTCCGCCAGCTTCGCGGGCCTTCAGTTTTTGGATGCCTTTTCTAGGCAATTTCCAGAGGCTCTGTCTTGGACGGACAGGCTATGGCCAGACTGTGTGTCTTAGTACAGATCACCAGGCCAGCCTGGGGGCATTTCAGGAGGAGTGTTCTCCTGAATAGTGACTGGCTGGGGTCTCTTTGGCCCCCTAGCCACACTCCCTAGAAGGGACCCCTTCTATTTTGAAGTTGTGGTCCTAAAGCCTTTGAGCTGGCCCTGATTTACTCACGTTATTACGTTCTGGTTTTTCTTGGTTCATTAGCTTGGGCTATGACCGGTAGGGAGTGCTGTCACTGACAGCCCGATGTAACATAGGGTGAGTGGTTTCAGTGTTTCTTGGAATTACTGGTTCTGACAGTTGTCACTGCCTTTCGGCATGCACTCCCCTCAGCATGGCGGAGTGGGTATTTCGTTCCCCATAGCGTCATTCGACGTATTGTTGAGTTCCCTTCGAAAGGGAACGTCTCAGGTTACAACTGTAACCTATGTTCCCTGAGAACAGGGAACGAGACAATACGTCTCGTTGCCATGCCTCGGGGCCTGCCTGCAACAGTCCCTTCAGACGATAGGATGTTGTCACGGTTTCAAGGCGCCCTTCTTATACATCCAGATTGACGCGCTCATCATTCAAGCTGATGATGCACGGGCTGTCGCCGGTCAACCTGATTACTGTGAGTTGATATTTGATTTCAGACACCTGTCACGCCTGAGGCGTTCCCCATAGCGTCATTCGACGTATTGTCTCGTTCCCTGTTCTCAGGGAACATAGGTTACAGTTGTAACCTGAGACGTTAATTATTATTACACAGTACTTAAATGATTTTAAATGTCTTTACTGTCACTTCTGATCATTTTTTGGCATTGCTTAATCTAAAAATCTAAAATTTTGAGGGGGTAGCATATACATACTAAATTTATATTTTGAGGAAAACACACAAAATGCAGTTAGTAATAAATATTTATGGATGGAGAATTCCCATTTTGAATTCCCATTTTTTTCCCATTTGTTTTCAGGTGGTTTATCGGTGACTGGTCAGAATGTGGGAAAACCTGTGACGGAGGCATCCGAACACGTACCGTTTTGTGTATACGTAAACTCGGTCCCGCCGAGGAGGAGACCCTGCAGGACAGCCACTGTCTGACCCATCGACCAATAGAGCAAGAGTCCTGCAACAATCAGTCCTGCCCACCCCAGTGGGTGACGCTGGATTGGTCTGAGGTGACCTGATGTGTTCTTCCTCTTTAAAGTCTTTGGATAATCTTCTTGTAAGTTGTTTTCATATTGTTGCATTGTGTTTTTGTCTGTACTGTAGTGTACCCCAAAGTGTGGCCCTGGCTTCAAACATCGTATTGTTCTGTGTAAAAGTAGCGACCTGACCAAAACCTTCCCACCAGCCCTCTGTGCGGACCATAACAAACCTCCAGTCCGGATTCGCTGCAGCCTCGGTCGCTGTCCGCCGCCACGCTGGATCCCTGGAGAATGGGGACAGGTACAAAGATTTTTTTCAGGATTCTTCGATGAATAGAAAGTATTCATTAAGTATTCAGTATTCAGAAATTTGTAACATTATAAATGTCTTAACGGCCTCTTCGGATCAACTTAATGCATCCTTGTTGAATAAAAGATACAAATCTTACTGATCTCAAACTGTAGCGTATATGCTATACATCTGAATCTGAATCGGAAGTAATCACTAAAATATTCAACTCCTCCCTTTTAATCATCTAGCCTCATTCTGGTATGTAATGCCCACTTTTTTCGATCCAATCAAGTACCATCCTACTTGGAATATTGTTTCACTCTTACATTATGGAAGTAAAATCAATGCGGTTTCATGTTGACTGTAAACTACAAGCTAATGCGTGTAAGTGTAAGAATTTCATGTGTCGTTAAGATTTAGAACAACTAAAGAAAGAGAATTGGTGTGCAAAACATGCGTAAAGACTGTTTTAATACAGCATGAAAAAGACCATGTGTTTAGTTGACGTCAACAGAAGTTACACTCGCATGATAAACTAGAGCGTCTGGAAAGCCAGTGACGTGTGTTTCCTTGAGTGACGGCGAGTATAACAGCCCAAGAGTGTGTAAGTGGAGGTAATATCATCCAGATTGTTTGAAGTTTATCTCTGCGGTTGACAAGGTTTTCTGTCAGTGCCAAGAATATGTTTTTAAAAAGACAAAACAAATCACTCTCAGGCGGCCCTGTGGTTTCTCTCTTGAAAATAAGGATACGATCAGGATAACTGTGGTGGCTTGTAGTAAATCTTTTTCAAAATTCTGTATAAACAAAATAGTAATAATAATATCTACCTCTTTACAGGTAGTATTCCATAAGGGGAGGGAAAAAATGTAGGGCAGTTGAAAAGGAGAGATCACCCTGGTTCCCTCAACTAAAGCCCAATAGGTTTTTGGATTACTGCAGAACATAAGCTCTGTGACAAATTTAGACTTTTGAAGTCTAAATACAATCAACAGAAATAAAAGCTAAACATATGCAAAGTGATATGGAACTGTAATGTGGTCAGATTTTCTCACATCACCTACATTATAAGCAACAAGGTTACAAGAACAACTATATTTATTAATGATCTGAAATATAACAAAAGTATAGCTTTAACTATCATCCCGAATGAAGTGACAACTACTGTATTACGAGTTTCCCGCCATCCCATGATTCCTGCAATGAACTGAGACTCTCGTAAATGGAGTGGCTGTTGAAGGGAGCCTTCTGGGCCAAAAGGTCACTGGTTCAAATCCCACTTAAGGCATGCACTGACATATCCCGTCTGTCAGGGACTCCTGCTCTAATAAAGTCTGTTTAATACAGAGGGGATGAAATGGGAAGGCTGCTGGAAACTCATCTGAGATGTCTGCACTCAAGTCCCGTGAGGTGTCCTTCACTGTGGGTCTTACACGTGTTTATGACTAAATCCTTGTCTTGGCATGCGTCATCAGAGTTTCTGTGGCATTCGCACTAGGCGCTGCAGCACAGTGACTAATGAGCTCAATTTTTTGTATTGTAGTGGATTGCTAGGCAACTCTTTAGTTTTTCCATTGAATCACTGTGCTACATCATGGTAGGAGACTACTGGAATACATCTCAGTTTCACTTCAGACAGTCGCAATTTACTCCCTCCAGCAACGTGGAGAGCTCTAATGTAGAACAGCTGACAGTAGTCAGAGATTCAATTAAACTATTACAACGACATTCCGCAAGTAGCTCTCGGTCCTTTGTTTTGGAGCACCGAGTTTGGGCCCGAATTCACAAGCATGCCACGGACCGCCTGACACACACCACACACAAAAAATGCCTTAAAATCACTCACACCAGTCTAATTGGTTGGTTTCTTCACAATGGACTCTATATGCACACTAAAAACTCCACACTACAGAAGCTTCTGGTATAGTATTCTCCCATAGCAAACTGTTGATTACACCTAACTATATTAAAATATAGAATATTATATATATTTATTAGTAATTATGGTAACCATAATATTTTAGTACATTACAATGTAACATGTTAGTAATGATTTCAAGAAGATTTAAATATATTTAGATAAAGGTGGATGGTATCAATAGTGCTTTGTCCTGTTGAGGGACACTTCCTCAAGATTATTATTTTTTATTTATTTTTTTCACTTGTTTTTTTTTTTTTCACAATTTCAGTACACTTCACTGCACTGGAAGTTGTGTTAGCCATTGAGGCTAAATGCGGAAGTGATTGTGCATATAGTTCATTTACAGAAGTCATTGGGTTTTTATGATTTCTTGAGAGTTTGAGAGATTTACTGTTTAACACAACCAACGTTGGGTTGGATTTTTATTTACGTAGAGTTGAGGTAGCAAATCAGATGTACAGTAATTCTGAAGTGCTCACTGAACACTTCAGAATTACATCTGATTTGCTACCTCAAAACTCTACGTAAGTAAAAATCCAACCCAACGTTGGTTGTGTTAAACATCATTCAGATTTCCCTTTTCCTGTTTAACTCAATGGCTGGAAAGTGGATTAGACTTAATGTCTGTTGACAAATAGGTTGAAAATACTGTTCCAATTTTGGGCCAGTTCCTGAAGTCTAACTTCACTGACTCGTTGTGGCAAAGTGCCTTAAATTATATTAATCTTAATTTTGCTTGTTATTTATACATCACACCTTAAATTTCATCTCAAAAATACTCTTCACTGTTGCTGATGTATTTAAGATAACCAAGTACACTAACTTTTTGTTTTTTACAGTGGTGGTGAAGTGTATATAAATTACATTATAATGTAAAATTTTTTTATTTTTTTTTAATTATTTTAGACAAAATAAGGAATTTTTATATAATCCATTTATCTGTTAATAGCCTGTTATTATTTATCTGTTATTATAACATAAAAAATAAATGATCAGTTTACGGTTCTGAGATATGGATGACAGTCTGAATTTACGGCTCATTGCATGCTTTTTTACAGTGCTCTGCTCAGTGTGGCCTAGGGCAGCAGATGCGGACGGTTCAGTGTCTGTCGTATACGGGACAGCCCTCCAACGAATGTCCAGAATCACTACGGCCCAACAAAATGCAGCAGTGTGAAAGCAAGTGTGACGCTACACCCATCTCCAGTGGCGACGGTAAGTCAGTCACCCTTCTGCTAATCCCATGAAAGAGCGGCGATGACGACTTTCGTATCAGCTGCATCTGGCTTTGATCATAGTGTTGACATTTACAAAGTTTGTGTCCTCTGTTTTCAATCTCGAATTAACAAAGGATTATATTGTTCCATTCTTGCCGTTATGAACTACCTCTGTTTGGAATCGAGGCTGGACACTATTTAGGCAATCCTGGATTCAATAAAAAAACTCCATGACCCTTGCAAGATGGATCCCTATTCAGATTCCTTCACTGGGGAAGCAGCGTTAGGTTATCTCTCCTAATGGACTCTAATGGGATTAGTTGTATCCTAATCAACAGCAGTGACGGAATGTCTACTTTCATTGTGATCAGCCTTGGCAGTTTAAAGACTCTAATAAGAGACACAGTAATTGCGATAGGGCCGGTTAGTGCGCTGCCACACTAATGCAGATGGCTGTCTGCCTGCGCTGTGAATCAGGTCGCTCTCTTTTACGCTGTAATTACTTTAAGAGGCTTGTGTCCAGGCCCTGAGTCATGGCCTCTTTTAAGGGAGAGTTTTGAGTCTATTATTTTTCCAGTGCTACAGGGTAGATCAAGATCCTGTCCCCCTCCAGAGATGGTCTTATTATTAGGAGATACCAACCTCCACTGCTCTTCCAGAAGGAAAAATCATAATGCTCAACTTGGATCATGTATGCCTTGATGACCAATTACATTACAACCTTGACATCATTGAATTTCCGTCTGAGTTGTGCGACATTCAAACAATGTTTGAGGATTCAATAGAAATGAATGAGAAGTGCCTAAACTAAATCCTAAAAAATACCAAAAGTACTAAAAACAGCCATTTCAGGTATACACTCTAAAAATAGGTCAATCCAAAATTAATGTTTAATGGGAAACATGTTGAAGATTACTTTCCAAAAAAAAGCTGTTTATTCAGCATAGTGAAGCCCCTTCCCCATTGAGATCCATTCAAAATACAGCCACTTATTCTTATTTTATTTTATAAACTAAACTTGGAGTCTGCCCGCCTCTTGCAGAATAACCGTCTGTCCTTCATATTCACACAAATAAATGTTCTCAAGCATGTTTATTTTATATTACAGACACAACCTCAGGTACTATGATAAAATGCACACACACTTATATGTTGAAAAACATATCAGTTATTCAATGTGCATAACCATGTCCTTTTATGAAAAGTTATGTGCTATAAAAACTCACACTGGTTAATATTTAGGGTTAGTAGAATGTATATCATCAAAACTAATTAAGCATTTGTCCGTTTTTTTTTTTTTCTGTAAGTCTGTAAGCTAACCAATTAGCCTACATGCTGTGCATAGTCCAAGGCAATTATGACCTAAATGATTAGCCTGCTATCTTATACACTGCTATTAGGCCCAGTTTACACCTGGTATTAAGATGCGTTTTGCTCAATTGGATGGCTAAATAAAAGTGTAAAACGGGTCTAAAACTTTATGAGTTTGTCCACTTTCGGCCACTTCCAGAGGTAGTCGAAAACGCATTCGAACGGATTGCTTTCGTAGTGTAAACACTCGAATGTGTTTAATGTGGTCGAATGTGTGAAATGTGTCTCCCTCGTCTACTTGTGAACCCATCAACCAAAACACATCTTAATACTAGGTGTAAACAAGGCCAGAGTCTGCTAGCTTAATATGCTAACAGATTAGCCTGTAACCTTAGCATACCATTAACTCATTGTCATTCTAGCTTAGTATATATGGAATTTGCTACACTACCACTACTTTTTTGTACTATTTACTATTCGTAGCTACCTCAGCTACAAAATGATAATAACTTGATACATTTTGAGGCTACTTATTGGGGTACTAGAGGGATAGAATCTTGCACAACAAAAATAACTTACTGGAAATTTATCATGCTGCATCTGATTTGGACAGGCTGTCACAATAGGTTGGAATAGACAGGAAACGAACATTAGCACAGGCTAAGTTGTAAAACATCCCTCTGACACTGTACCATCGTCCTGTGACGAGGCGGTGAGATTTATATAGATCGCTAAATATCATCAATGTGATGAAGACGACAAATTCTGAGTCGTTCCATTTGCGCTCCCTTTCACAAGTGTATTAAAACCCTGGACCGATTACCACCTGGATTCGCACAGACATCTAAAATATGGCTTGAATTTCTAAGAACCCAAAAGGTTGTCCTCAGAGGAAATGCAAACATGCTTTTCATTAAATGATAAGCAAGTCCATATTCCTTATCCAAATCCAAAAATCCAAAATTAATAGTCTGTCATTATCAACTTGCCTCCATGTCGTTCTAAACCAATCTGTCTTTTTTTTTTTCTTCTGTGGAACTCAAATGGTGAATGCTTGAAGAATATCCTGTCTACTTTGAAAAGATTTTGAGTGAATACCAACTTCAAATGCAGTGTTTTTCTCACACAAATCAATTATATCATGGCTTTGTAAGTCTTGGAATACAGCACTGGAATACAGCTCACAAAGGTATGTCCTCGTATGGAGTACTTTTAAGATACCTTTATTCTGATTTTGGAGTTGACAGTCCCAACTCAATTTCACATTTTGTGTTCCACAGAGTTTGGAACGAGCAAATAATGACAGACTTTTAATTTTGGGGTGAATCATCCCTAAAAGTTTCCCCTTTGTGGTTCCCCAGCATCGACCACTTTACTCACTCCTCGTATCCTTTCTTATTCCACCTTTTTCTCTTCCCCTAGAGTGCAAAGACGTAAATAAGGTGGCATATTGCCCATTGGTGCTGAAGTTCAAGTTCTGCAGTCGTGCGTACTTCAGGCAGATGTGCTGCAAGACGTGCCAAGGACACTGACCCTGCGGAGAAGCAGAGACAGATGCTGCAACAGAAAACTGGCAGAGAGAGAGAAAAGCAGACCAGTGTTGGAGGAGTCAACACTGGGCATGGAGAAGGAAGCCTCTCTCTCTTGCTCATCAACACACACATAACTGCTTTTAGCCCTGTGGAACCCAAACCACTGCTCAGCACTGCGCTGACACCTGTTTAATTTTCACTTCTGTGAAGTGGGAATGTATAAAATGATCATTATTGTTGTTATTTTTATAATAATAATAATAATTGCTAATGGTTATTATTATTATCAGTGTCTTTCTGTTGTTATAATCCAAAGTGCTGGACACAACGCTCACAGAAGTAGCACGGCAGAGGTTTACTTCAAGGTGGCCATCTACAGGAGTTTGGGATGTTGGTATATCCCCTTGTCTTACATAAACACTCCTCCCACGGTTCTTTTGGCAACTCAGAGGCATTCCAAATGATGGCGATTACTCATTATGGGAGTAATTGGAAGTCATTTGTTTTCAATAACAGTTGGCGATTTGAAGCAACATGAGCATCAGAGACTGACCACAACCAACAATGGGAGTGCGAACACTGCCATACACATTATCTGCCACATGATAGGAACATTTCCAAAAAATGGACAGGACAGCGACTTGGTGACATGAATGCCTCTTTAGGGTTATAAAAAATGTTCACATTTTCCACCCAAATGATACTTTCCACCCCTAAAAAAAAAGTGTAGATCAGGGGTACCAAACCCTGCTCTTGGAGTGCTACCTTCACTGTAATTGTGTCTAAACACTGCAGGATGGTAGCAGGGTTGGCTACCCCAGGTAGAGATTGAATTGACCTTTGATTTCAAAAATATAGACCAGGAGTGTCCAATCCTGCTCCCTCCTGGAGGACCAACTGTCCTACAGAGTTTAACTCCAACCTGCCCAATAAACTTGTCTGGAAGTTTCTAGTAATCCTGCATTCTTTAAATACTTGGTTCAGGTGTTTTTAATTGTGGTAGAAGCTTAACTCTGCAGGACAGTGGCCCTCCATGAATAGGATAGGACACCCCTGGTACTGTAATAGATGGTTAGAGCCTGTGTTGGTCAGCTCAACTGTTTATTTTTGGGGTTAAATGGAGTTACCCAATACTAGATATGCATGTGGTTTTTATTGAAAGTTCAACTTGGAACTTCTCTGTACTTCTATGTACTATAAACTTCTTGGCAGACACTTTTATCCAGAATGACTTGCATTGAATTCAAGGACTACAACCCTTGACCTCGGAGTTGTTAGCGGCAGGCTCTGCCAGTTGAGGAACTTCTAAACTTGACAGCCCTTAGTTGTTACACTTTCGACAATAACTTTCTAAAATAACATTGAGACCAGGGCCAAAAGGGCCAAAGACAAACATGGTTTGTGATTGGATGCTGAATTTGTGCAGGAGAAATCTCAATTAGAGCTTCAGAGTCCAGATGTTCAGTTGTGCTAGTCACCTGTTTTACTGAGCTGAATCACATGACCACAGGCCAAAGAATTCCACCATTGTCTGACACTCGAACAAGGCCTGAAATTCAGATTAGCTCCAAAGGGACATTTCTACTGTGTCTTTAGAATTACTGTGGACACCAGAGAGATATTAATTGCGATTCTGACGTGATTCTGCTTTATGGATCCGTATTTTGCTTTAAATTCCGGGGTTCTGACATCTATGCGTTTGTTCCGGGGCCCGCCGTGTTCCAGACGCAATAATTCTCGCATAATGCGTGCTGCAGCCACAATCCGCCACATTATCAGCACCATACACAGACAATTCATCAGCACGGGGGTGACTTGCTTGGATACCTCCTGGTCTGTGACGCTGAAGCATTAGTAGAGTTAAGTGAAGGGCCAGTGCCTGGGTAACCTGCCAGATCCCGCAGATCCAGTTTGCCATCGACTACCTCCAAAACACCTCTTCCTCCTTCCCTGAGATAGCAGTGCTTCCAGCCCACTCCATTAAACCCTCCACACTCAATGGTGCTTTTCTTGTCTCAGTGGAGGACTGTTTGTTCCACTGCCCTTCTTCCGTTCATCTTTTGAGTGGCCCTGTGGTGCTATAAGACCTTGATGCATTCTGGGTATGCGGTCTAAGCAAATGACAGAAAACCAAGAATACTTTAGTTCTGTTCCAAATTCTAGTGAGCTTCCTACCTAGACCAGATTTTTAAGGCATCATAGTTGCGTTCCTGATTTGAAGACTTTTCCAAAAAGTAAGCTGTTCCTTTTATGTCACGGAAGGCGGAATAGCATATTTCCTTTGCAAAGGCAAAACCAGAATCCATTGTGTTGTAAAACATTCTAGATTGCAGACTAAGTGAGAAGTATAAATGTTTGACTTAATACTGAAGAGTATGAAAAATGTATAAAAATACAATTGAACCCAGTACTTGTGTGCTGTGCATTTTTATGCTTGTCGGACTATAATGCGTTAAAGGGGTCATGAATTGGCTTTTTAAATTTTATTATATTGTTGTCTGACGTCAACTTATAACGTTCGCTTGGTTTTTGATTTCAAAAACATCAAAATGAAAAAGTAATAGGCTATTTTGCACTCAAGTTATGAGCCTTCCTGAAAAAAGGTCGGTTTTTATGTGCTTGTCGCACGGAAGACTTGGAAATAAACGCCCACTGCTGTGAGTGGATAACAGTTTTGCATATTATAATGAGTTTAACTCACCCGTCGGTGCACGTGGGGGAAAACGCCAATGTTGTCAAATGGCAACCGGATTCGCCCATACATGTTCGACCCAGAGTCTGTGTGTTGCACAATTCCTGTCAGATCCAGACGGCACAGCACCGTTCTTTACTCTTAATCGTTCTGCAAATCCAGTTGTTTACAAAACAATCCTCAGTGAAATGAAGCGAACAGACGACGATGTTTTACCCTCATCAGCTGGAACGTCATTAAAAATAAAGTTTATCCATGCAGTCCTATTGGAATCCACAGAAAGCATATGCAGCGACTTCTTCCACAACCAGGCACTGCACAATATTCTGTATTACTGGATAGCTTGATCTGGTTTGTCATCACGAGGTAGGCATGTTCTGTGTTACTTAGCTATGCGTGTAATGCGCGAATCGGTGGGCGGGGCTAAACCGGCAGTGTTGAAGTAGGTGTTGATCTTCTTCTGCGGGGGTGGTGTTTTAACCCTTTCGACGTCATAGTTCCCCACTTTTAAAAACGAGTCGTTTTCAGAGGCTGGTGTCAATAAAAGCTTTTATTGGACTAAAAAGGACGTTTTCAGTTCTGAAACTTACAGGATATTCTTATAATATGATGACCTCTTAGATGTCAAAAGCTCAAGGAAAATTTGATTTCTCAGTTCATCACCCCTTTAACTTACCAGCATGCTAGCATTAAACTCTACTGGAATCAAGTTTCCTGTGCACTTTAAGAATGCTATTTATGTGGCACAGTAGCGAACCGTGACTCTTGAACCTTGGCCCTCTCACCAGCTTCCCGCATCGGGAAAAAAGTAAACTCGGCCTAAAATCATTGCAGCTTACTGTGTCCTCATCTATAACTTTGCATGTTGTCTTTGACAAAAAATGCCACAACCAAACATCAAAGTATAGTAAATACCGTCAGCTATTTTACAGGTGGGTTTTTTTTTTTTTTTGATCGCGTTCTGATCGTACTCCATACACTCAGTGATAACAAGCCCCACCCATTAAAAGGGAGTGTATGATTGGTCGATTTTCCTGTCAATTGATATTCGTCTCTTATTGACTCACTAGACATAGACAGAAAAGCAGCTCGCTGAGTTTTGGAACAGAGCTTTTGCATGTTTTTTTCTGTCTTTCCTTCCTTTTTTACCTGGTTTAAGGTCACAAGTTAACATTCCACCAACTACATGTAGCAGTTTTCCACCATCCATGACTGAGTGACTTTACCCTGATCTCTTAGCCAAGGGAACATCAAATTCTAGAGCTTTGGGGGACCTCAATCGTAGATCTCACCTTTGTTATGGGACACAATTGATTATTGAAGTTGAGGGACAGTTTTATGTTTTTAGTCATACAACCATTTTACTTTTGCTGCTGCTACTCTTTTGTAGCCACAAACAACATTAATTGGATATGTATTGTTATGAAATGTTTAAACTGGGTTTATTCAAGAGTGAACCTTTAACAGCAGAACTGTAGGCCCAACATGCTGAGCATCCGGATATTGTGCTCGGTAAAATTCTAAAGCTTGAAGTACAAGTTTACTGGCTTTGGGACACGGGCTCTCAATAAGACACTCAATGAAACTGGTACTGATCGCTGTGAACTTGTGTCTTTGAATGTCACATTGTTTAACCTGTACCTATAGAAGAGTTTTGCATTTTTGTGAATAGTTGCTTACATTTTATATTCAGTATTATTAATGTTGGTACACTGTTACTAATTTTTTTCATTTGTAAATTATATGCTAATTTATTGCCATGTGTCACTTGTCTTATGTATGTTTCACTGCATGCAAACCAAACTGTAGTCTAGTGAAAACGATGCAGTGGAATAACACCCATCACGATCTTATTTTAGTAAAATGTGAGTTTGAATGTGTCTTTTTTCCTACTATAGGCCGCTCTTAAAATACGTCAGAATGCTTTCGTGTGAGTCAGTGAGTTTGAGTGTGCGTATGTCGGTATGGTATTACTGCACTGTTTCTCAAGGGCCAGTGCTCACAAAAATAATGGTAAATGGTGTCAAAGGGTAAGCAAAAAAATATATTAACTTTAACATTCTCAGTCCTTTGGCTTGTACCCTTGGTGAATCCTACAACATGTAATGGATCCTGAATAAAATGACTTTAAAAGGGTTGTGTTTGCTTAGATGTTCTTTCCAGTGGTCTCCCACAAATGCCTATAGTAATTCTAAATGAGTTAATGAATGAGCCTTGTTGTTCTCCAGTATTAAAGGGATGATTCTCCCAAAAGAAAATTCTGTCATGATTTACTCATGTTGTTCCAAACCCAGATTGTTTTCTTTATGCCGTCGAACACACAAGAAGATCTTGCTGAATGTCCAGAGTGTTCTGAATCTTTAAAAAAAAAAAGTCAGTAAAGTTGTTTACTTCTTAATGGCTATATGTGGATAAAGTTGCTACTGTTCGCATAGCATGTACGGCAACTGCCTCCTAACAGATGTGTTAGCAAGCCAAACCTTGACCACCTGAAGGAGATGGACTGGATTATTTTTTTTGCATTGCTTTATGGGATTGTATGCTTGCTGCTGAGTGGAAGATCTCTCGTAAGGATCATGGATAGTGTAGTTCTTCACTGGGAATTCAAACGTGACACTACAGAACAAATCAAACATGACACTCAACATAAATTTTCCTCATCACTTATTAAAAACATTTTTGAATACTTGATTCTGATTGGTCAGACTGACCATCCGGGTAACTAAGTGGCTGTTTTCAACTTAAACCTTTTAATGGCGTTTTGGGTGCCTGAAAAAGCAAACTTTTGTTAAGGGGTTTTAAAGTAAATAATTTTTTTAAACTGTCTTATTGTAAACAACAAAAACGTGAATCTCTGAAGATGACGTCATGCACGTTTATTATGTGTTCAGATCACCATCTAATGGCCTGGCAGCAGAATATGACACTTTTAGTCGTTTTCGCGGATCCGTGTGAATGGGGATTGTTTTGACAAATTGTGTCGTCTTTACGCAACTCAAAGGAAAAACTTCTCAGTTTTATGCATATCGTTTGTGTGTGTGTTGTGTAAACGTACCCGAAAACTGGCTCAACTTTTATGTCACTCTTACTTGTTTCATACAGTACAAACTCAATGCCTCCATCTTGCATCTCAGTGAAAGTTGTTGTGAAAATGACCTCAGAGGACAGTATTCATATTACTTATTATATTCATATTGCTCTATATTCATATTATTATATTCATATTCATACTGCAAACCCAACTATTGTGCTATTTGAACACGTATGCCCTACTTGCCGTAATGCTATGAATTACTAGCAGCTCTGTTTTGTCTAAAGCAACTACGTTTGAATACCTGAAAAACTGCTTGGGCTTCTGTCTCGTGTACTTGGAAAAAGAGAGCGATCGAAACAGAGACTGAGAGAAGATTAAGAACGTCTTAGCAGCTGGCTGCAACTGTCAGCTACAATTCGCCTGTTTACATGTCGACTCTTAGCATAGCCACAACAAAGATGAAGCAAGACAGCAGAGACACTTGCCAAGAAACAATTCCATTCTTTATCTCTTTGTAAACTAAAGGGACAGGCTGAGATGTCAAAAGAAATAATGATATAGCATAACAGGGCAGACCTATGCATGGAAGCCAAAAACAGTTAAGTTGAAGCCTTTATGTTGCAACAGCATACATGAATGTCAACACATTTCAGTCGATGGCAACATGTTGTGAACAGCATTCGGTTTTGCGCCCCCAAGAGCTGAGCGTTCTCATTGTTAGCGTAAGGGGGATGTGCATAAGGCAATGGTGATCAAAGACATGCTGATGGCAAGATTGCACTCGCGTTTTTTACTTACCCAAAACAGATGTCTATCTTAAGGTTCTCAGAGGAACAAAGGCTTTGTTTACTCTGGAGTGGCTAAGCTGTTTGCCTGAAAGTGCCTGACCCCCCGAGGTATGGTTTTAATGCTGTCCCTATGTGGTCTTAATGTAGATTAGCCAGTGATTCATGATCACTGATCACTTCTTCGTGATAGAGTATATTGAGGACGACAGACAAAACCACCCTCCTGTATCACACTTATAACATTTGTACTTCGGGATTATAACAGATTCGGCAGAATATACAAGCTTTCAGTTCTGAAGACTATAACAATGACAAATAACAATAGCAGTGTTCAAAAACCTAGTGAGCTGCCGACCTAAATTTAAGGTAAAAGGTTCTTAACTTAAGCCCTCGAGATCCACTGTCCGGAAGAGTTTTGCTCGACTTTAATCAAACACACCTGAACAAGCTAATCGACACCTTCAGGATAATTAGAAAGCTATCCACAAGTTTCCTACGCCCCATGAGGCCTTGCGTCAAAATTGGGCGCGTTTTCGCCAGACAGCAAACTGACATTGAATCAACGTGGAAACGACGTCTCTCATGACATTGAAACAACGTTGATTTTGCTCATCGAATTAACGTTGAACCAACGTCAGACGCGGCATTCTTCAAAGCTAAATGAAAATCGAAAATTGGTTTGCTTTCATAACGTTGAAACAACGCGTTGATTTCAAGTTGATTTTCCGTTAGTTTTGAAAGAATGACGCGTCTGACGTTGGTTCAACGTTAATTCGATGAGCAAAACAATGTCAGATCAACGTTGTTTCGATGTCATATTTCCACGTTGATTCAATGTCAGTTTGCTATCTGGGTCCGGTTCGAAGTAAACAAAGCGCGACACTCGTTCATTC